AGCCAGCAGCGTTGATCGCAGCGATAGCTGTTACCCACTCGCGATTACCAGGCTGAACAGCCTTTGGCCGGCCTCTCCTCTCTAATCTAGTCACAACAAGCTAAGTTGTGATCTTGCCCATCATAAAGCCAGCCTTATCAAAGTTATAGACGTCCTTATCACAGATGCTGTACTTGGCCTTTGTCTGCTCCACGAGCCTGAACCAGTCTTGGATAAGAACAGGGTCCTTGCATAGAGCTCTCTGCCTGTTGTACGCTCTGTTGAAACGCGTTGTGAGAGAGTCTGTACGCTTGACAAAGTTGCGTGGCCAGTGGACGCCGACGTGACCTGCGCTGCGCGCAGCTAGCAGCTTATCAGCCATATCACGTACAGCTGCGTACGTAGGCGCAAATCCACGTTGATCTAGATCCAGTATATAGCTTGTGATCACCTCCTCCTCGCGCTGGGTAAGCTTCTTTGAGTTGGGCTGGCAATCGCGTCGTGAGGGCCTGCCAGCGCGTCAGTGGCGGAGCGTTGCTTCAGGAACGTTGTAGATTGTGGCAGCAGGACAATTGCCCTAGATCTGTTTAGTGTTGATAGATAAGATAGCAAGCTAAATATCTGCTTCATTTAAAGGCAATTGAGTAACGTTGCGTGGAGCCATTATACGTTGAGATGGAAGAGGCAGGCAAAGTTGGTGGGGCGCGTCGCTCGCTTGTACGCGTCGCTCGCTTGTAAAGTACGTTATGGTAACGTGGTTTATCACCGAGCCGCCAGGTATCACCAAACCGCCACCCCTCGCCAATTTTGCGACTATTACAATAATTATTACAATGCCATCACAACACAACGCGCAATTACCCTATAACAAAGGTACACTATACCTTGCTATCTAAGCTACAAAAGCTACTGTGCCTAACAGTATAAATCACGTGTCTAAGGCCTTTAGTGTTCCCTAATTAATATTAAGAGACTAACGCGCAGGAGGGCTTGCACAACGCAATTGCAAGGCTAATTTAAAGAAGCTAACAAAGGTAGAAGAGGAGGCAATAGTTAACTATATACTTGAGCTAGACAGGCAAGGAATAGGCGCAACAAAGACTATAGTGCAAGATATAGCTAATAATCTGCTTGCTGCACGTAGTGAAGGACCTGTTAGCAAGCTCTAGGTAAATAGGTTTAACACACGTACCTAATAAATTAAGCTTTAACATAGCCAACTATACAATTATTAACAAGCCCTAAATAAAGATACACGTGTTATAACGCCCTAGTTTAAGCTAGTTAGGAATACAAAGGAGAAGTACAGAATCCTAGATAGAGATACCTACAACTTTAATAAGACTAGGTTTATAATAGGCATAATTAGGTCTAAGATAGTGTTTACAGGCTTAGAGAAGTAATCTAACCCTAAGAATATCCAGCCTAGCAATTAGGAGTAGGTCACAATCATCATCAGTGTCTGCGCTGCTAGCTAGGCTATCCCACCCTTTATTATCTTCTAAGGCAAGGTCCTAATTACAACCTAGTACCCTAATCTGCCTTGTAATTAGGTAATTACAACTAGTAAGAACAGCTAGATAATAAATAAGCTTAGTCTAGAGTAGTTAAAGCACTTTAATGTGTCTACAAAAGAGTGTACTATTAGCGCCTACTATCTGCTTATTATTAATAGCTATAAGAGCTACAACTCTGCAGAGTTTAAGGAATACTGCGCAGAATACAAGATTATTACCTTGTGTATGCCCCTACACTTATTGCACCTATTGCAGCTGCTTAACGTAGCCTGTTTTAGCCCCTTAAAGAGGGCGTACTTAATTAAGGTTAACGCCTAGTTATAATACTTAAAGATATAAATTAAGAAAGAGTTCTTCCTTACTAGCTTCTAGACAGCCTATTACAAGGCTATTATAAAAGACAATATCTACAGAGGCTTTAGAGGCGCAGGACTAGTTCCTTTTAACCTAGAGTAAGTGCTATTAAAGCTTGATGTGGTCCTTCGCACGCCAACACCACCACTACTAGAGACTACCCTATAGGAATCTAAAACACTAACCAGCGCAAAGGAGGTTAAGTCACAAACGTTGTATATCTATGAGCGCATGCGATTGCACAGAGATTCGCCCCTGTCTCCTATTATAAAATCACTTGACTTGCTTGCTAGAGGGGTTGCGCAGATAGACTATGCCAACGTGTTGTAGAGAAGGGAAATAGATAGCATAAAGAAGTGTCGCAGTGAGTGCAAGCAGTGCGCAAGGAATTGAGGATTGAACTGAGGTTGTATTGTGTGAAGCTACAAATGGTATATCTACATAGGTGGCTGTAAACAGCGCTAGTGCAAAACAGGGAGTTGCCTCTCACCAAAGGTGAGGCGCGGGTTGCCTATGAGGCAAGAGACACGCAAACCATGACACACCCCCTAGCTACCATAGGCTTAACAGCAGGGAGTTAACAATAGCTAATTAGTGTTGATTTAGTAGGTGATAGATAGCATCAATGTTATTGTTGTCAGCCTGACGTAGGCCCTTTAGGCGCTTAGTAATGTTAACAAGACTAAGTTGGCAGATAAACTCAGCAAACTTCTGCTTAGGTAGAATCTTCGTGAGTCTGTCAGCAGGCATGTAATTAGTAGGTACCTATTTAACATTAATACGTGAGGCAGTGACCTCCTGTTAGATCTAGAGCTAATAGATATTAACGTGTTTAACTTTTGTGTGAAGCTTGTTATGCTCCTTTGTGACAATACAGACAGTCTGCTAGTTGTTGCACTAGATTATAGGTATATAGTTAAGCGTGAGGTTGATGCCAGCAAAGAAACGCATCCACTCTTCTATCTGCAAGGCTGCGAGGGAGAGCAAGAGCAATTCAGACTCTGTGGTTAATTTTGTGACTGTGCGCTAGACAGTTAATTTCTAGTTAATTATAAGTCCTCTAAATTTGAAGGCGTATCCCTAAGAGCTCTAGCGAGTCTCAGGCTCGTCAGCGTACGAGGCATTAGATGATCCAAAGAAGAGAGGATCGCGGTATGTAGGATCGTTAGTGAGATACTCAGCCATGTCGTGCGCGCTGGCAGAAGCTTCAAGGGCGAGAGCCTTCGTGCTGAGCAGGTAGCGCCAGGTCTGGCGGATCTTTGAGATGTGAGACTGTCCTGGGTTGATGAGGTGGCAGGCAAAGACAACGTGCGTTCGGGCGACGTCAGGTCTACCCCAGACAGCGATGTATGCAAGAGAACCAACAAGCTGCTGGTAGAGCTTCGTACAAGCAGTATCAGTCTCCTCAGTAGACTGTGGCAGCTAGTTCTCCGTCAGTGGGACGTCTGGAGCCTTGCCCACAGCCTCAATGCTAAATCAAGCGCACACCTTGTCAATAAAAGCGTCTTGGACTAGCCAGGTCTTGTGCAGAGCTCAGTCGCGGACAATGTGGATACCAAGAAACCAGGTAAGGTCTCCTATTGCTTTAATATTGTATAGGTCTACTAGATCCTTCTCAAAGGACTAGTGGTGATAGGCGTTTAATTGATGAAACGCCATAACAATGTCGTCAATGTAGACAAATATGATAAGCTAGCAGCTTGTATATAGGCATGGGAAGCCGTTAACTGGCTTTAGGCCTAGTTTTACAAGCTGTTGACGTAGCTCATTGTACCATAGGATTGGTGACTCCTTCAGGCCGTACAGGGCGCGGAGCACCAGCATGATCTCGCCTTCGGTATGGCGGAAGGCCTCAGGCGTTTCAGCATATAGCTTGCGGTTGGTTTTTGCGTTCAAGAAGGCAGTAGGGACGTTGTACTGCTTTAGTTCAAGATTAAAGTAATTAGCGATTGCAATAAGAGCGCGAAAGTTGCGGATAGCAAGTGTAGCAGCGTATGTGTTGTCTATTGGAGCTTAGAGGTCTCCTTAGACAACAAGTCGAGCCTTAAACTGTGAGAGATATCCATCTTTATCTGTCTTGTAAGTAAAGACCTATATTAGCAGCAGTACCTTACTATCTATAGTAGCCTTTGATTGCTCTGTCTGTCTAAAGACGCCTTTGGCGCGTAGATCTCGCCATTCAATCTCCATAGCACGTTGGAATTAATTGCCGAACATGTGTGTATCAAGACAGTTTTCTGACTTTGGCAGAGGCGGCAGCTGTGACTGATGGATTCGTGGTACTTCATCTGCGCTGGCTAAGGCTCTGTTAGAGAGGATCTTGGTTAAGAACGCTCGCAGGTAATCAACAAGAGGCTCAGGTCCTATCCTCGCTGCGTAGATCTGTACTGCAAAGTTGTTCAGATCCCTTAGCTTTCAATTGCGCTTGCCCAAGACAATCAGGTTTGTGTTAGTTAGATCAAGATTAATGTCCCGTGGCGCTTTCTCGCCTTGTCAGCGGTAGCCCTTAGGAACCATGTGTATTGTGTCCTCCTCAGGTAATGTAGAGGTTAGCAGTGTGTCGTCAGATTCGAGTGCGTCGTCAGCCATCTCACCCCCCAACTGGGAGCCTCCAGCTGTCGGAGCTGAGGTCACAGGTGTTGTTTGGCGGCTGCGTTGGCGCGCGGTCAGCAGGTCGTCGATGCTGACATCATCATCCTGCGGCATCTCTGGATATTCGAGTAGCTCGATCACCTCCTTGATCACTGGTGTAGAGGCGTAGCCATCTATTCTATCAAAGAATAGCGTAGGTTCGAATACGACGTCGCGTGTGACAATAACAGTGTCTTTTGTAGGCAGCCATATGCGGAAGATATTAGTGCCTTGGTAGCCAACAAGGTGGCTGATGAGAGTACGCGATTCAAGCTTGTCGGCAGCTCTCAGGTCGCGGTTGTAGACATAGGCGCGACAGCCAATAGGCCTCATATGAGCGACGAGTGGCTTTCGTCCCCATACAACCTCGTACGGCGTCTTCCAGCCTAGTGCTTCAGTTGGCGTACGATTGAGGATGTACGCGGCGGTGCGATACATCTCCTGTGATAGGTTCTTGGGCAGGTTGGCGTGTATGCGCATAGCGCGAGCTCGCTGCGTAAGGACTCCGCCTGCGCGTTCAATAAGCCCATTTGGTTCCTTTGTGCCAGCTGGGGCTGGCTCGTATAGCATGCCCAGCTCTTCTGTAGTGTTGATAAGATCGTTGCCAAATCCTTTCTTGTTGTTGCATTGGATGGCGACTACGTCCGCGTTGTACACACGTTGGATTTGACGGATCAAGGCCATGAACCAACGAGTAAGTGTTGGCTTATCCTTTCGCTTGATTGTGGCGATCTCATGCCACTTCGAGTACTCGTCTATAGAGTGTAGGGCGTACTTGCTGCCGTCGATACACTCCTCTCCCACAGGGATGATGTAGATCAAGTCTATTGCAATTCGAAAGAACAGTCGTTGTGCGCGGCTCTCAGCCGGGCGTCTGGAGATGATGTGAGTCATTTGAGCTTCGGTGCAGGTCTGGCAGAGACAGTCTATGTGGTCTCCTGTCAGTTGGACGCCAGTGACGTTTGATTCAAGCTGGTCGACTGCCTTTCAACCTGGGTGGCCCCAAATTTGATGAGCAGCGCGTCGATCAACGACGTTGGCAGGCTTTGGCGCGTACGACGGGCGATATGATGCCCCAAACATACTCAGCGGTGTGTTGAGAAGCGACAGCAGTGGTCGGCGTGATGGCTCAGCATCAATCAGCCAGTGTCCTCCATTGTATTCAAGTTGTGCGATAACGTTCAATGTCTGTCGCATGTAGAGGACGTCGCGGCCGGAGTTGAAGTGGATTGACTCTGTACGGCAGCGTGCGAGTCCTAAGACGCTTGTAAGGAAGCCTTCGACGTACGCGACGTGCGTTAGCTCCAGCTTTAGCTGTCCATGTGGTGTACGGACGACGAGTTCCATCGTTCCCCACGCGGTGATGAGGATACAGGTATTGCCAGCGTTGATAGAACGACGTTGTGGATTGTCACTCGTCCTCCTCCAGCCCTTCCATGCCTCTGTGTTGACGACGTGCGTATTGGATCCTGGATCAACAATCCATCAATTGCGTAATTCAGTCTGAGTGATTTCATCGACAGCCATTGTTGTAAGAGATCCTGTAGGCTCAGTGTGAGCGTCAATAGCAATAACAACCTCCTCATTGTGGTCAACTTGATTGTGCCTGTCGTGACTGTTGTGGCGGTTGTGGCTGTTGTGGCTGTCGTGCAGAGGCTTGAGCAATGGGCCAGTTGATATCACGAACGTTTCAGTGTTGACAGGTGGCTTGCTGTCATTAACTCGCAGTGATCTAGTGTTCTGAGGTTAGCAGGTTAACCATCTCGCAAGAGTAGTCTTAATGCGCGCGTTAATCTTAGAGTCCTTCCGCGCTTCCTCTACCTTGCGTACAGCCTCATCTGCAGGCTGATAGGTCTTCAGACGTGCCAGGTGGCGTGGATTCAGGATGAAGCAGTCAGTGTACCAATGCTGCTTCCCACATACGCAGGTAGGAATTGATTGTGCACTGTCACGGTGACCGCGACTAGTTGATTGAGTCTCAGTTGGCTTCGTGATTCTGAGCTCAGCAGCAGAGACTGCCAGGCCTGTAGATTGAGGCTTCGTGCGGCGTAGGTATGTGGTCATCTCAGCGACGTATGTCTCAAGAGATGAGATCTCTGCAGTAGTGCCACGCGCTTCATGTTTGAAGATCTCGCGTAGGCAGGACGTAGCATATTCCTGATCCAGAGCCTTGCAGGCGATCAGAAAGTCCTCTTGCGGTCGGTTGCCGTCAGTTTCCGGCAGCGTGATTGATTTGCCTTGGGCGGTGATGTATACCCAGTCAGTGAGCCATTGCTCGATCTTCTTTGCAGCTCGTGGAGCAGTCTTGAGAGTGTTGTACTTGTCAGCAAGCTCGCGGCGGCGAGTTGCGTCAGTTGGGCAAAGGAACTTCTTAAGAGCGACCAGTCGGTCGTAGGGTGTCTCGTGATCCTTGATTAGGTGGATGTGGCGTACAGCAATCGTCTTGCTGATGTCCGTGTTCAAGTCAGCCAAGGCCTTCTTCTGGGTGTGGTATTCAGAGCGGCAGCGCTCCCATCGATCGCATTCCCATTGATAGGACTCTCGGTCATCTGCAGTCAGGTCAGAGAGCCTGGTAGCTCCAGCCTTGTAGTCTATGAGTTGAGGCTCAGCAGCCTCAGTCAGCGCAGGGAGCAGCTCCCTCGCTATATCAGGGTTGATGTACTGCCAGAGACCGTGGCGGTTGGCAACGTCTCGGCGGATGAACAACCAGGTAAACCAGTCGTCAGGTGTGTTGAGTATGACAGTGACACGCGTCACTGCGGGATCAGACTCAGCAGCCATTGCAGAGGCTGTAGTCGTGTATGAATGGATCCAGGCAGAGATCCAGGCAATGTGCGTCGTGGGTGGACGCGGTAACAGGTGCGCTGTGGTAGACGCGGTATAGCAACGTGCGACTCAAGTAGAGTGACAATTGCAGCAGCAGGTGAGAACAATCCTAGGTTGCAGCTAGGCTCATAACTGTTGCAGTGAGTGCAAGCAGTGCGCAAGGAATTGAGGATTGAACTGAGGTTGTATTGTGTGAAGCTACGAACGGTATATCTACATAGGTGGCTGTAAACAGCGCTAGTGCAAAACAGGGAGTCGCCTCTCACCAAAGGTGAGGCGCGGGTTGCCTATGAGGCAAGAGACACGCAAACCGTGACAAGAAGGCTATTAAGGCTCTAACAGCGCAGCGTGGTCGCAAAAGAAAGTATATCTAGACAGAGGAGGCTCTCACAGTTAGTAAGGTACAGGATATAATAGCTAAGAAGGACGGTGGTGGTAGTGAGGTATCTGAACAGTCTAGGAAGAAGGTGCGCAAAGAGAGGCACTGCGGACGTTGTAGCAAGACTGGCCACAATTTGCGCACCTGCACTGCAGAAATATTAGATGCAGATAATAGCGCTGCTTCTAAAGAGTAATTGTAGCAATTGTAAGTATTAGTGCAGTGTTGTGGTTAAGCGTAATAGTTGTGTAATAGTTAGTGACTCTAAAAAAGTTGGTGAGGGGTGGTGGTTCGGTGATACCTGGCGGCTCGGTGATAAACCACGTTATACACTTTTCCATCACTTTTTGCGCTTATTTAGGCTCACGATCTTCCTCAGTTCATGGCCGTGCAAGAGCTCGCTCGCAACCGCACTGTGGACCACGAAAAGCGGACTAGCCTACGGACCTGCTGTAGGCACTCATTCTGGGCTTACACATGTTTGAATTCTTGCGCTCTGGAGCCCGGATCCATGAGATAGAGCCCACATATCGCAACTGTCCCTTGCTTTGGAAAACCTAACAGCACGCCGGGATGCAAAAGAAGTACGGAGGATCTAGTTCCTGCGAATGGTGAGGGCAGCTGCGGGTGCCATTTCTATATCCGCTGTAAAGTCTCGCATCCTACAAATTCTTCGATTGATACGAGGGTACGATTCAAACGCCGCAATCAACGAAGATCTACTGATCATACCCAGCGTACGTTGGTCCCCGTCTGCGTAATGAGCGGAGCTGCAAGGCCCCTACATGGCACACAGCGGCGCCGGTAGCATCCGATTGGCCGCGTTCGGACGTGATACAGACAGGAAAGCAACTCCCGGATTACAGCATACAACCAGGACTTAAGAATCGTCTGGATGTGTTCGCCGTGCAGGCTATCAATAGGTGCCATCACAATCATTTTCCCTTCTGATCTCTCACCGAGGAGTTGATCGCTTCTCCTCGGCCCGTCTCGAGACACGCAGACAAGATTCAACTCGGTCTTAATACGGGTGGTCAAATGGCGTTATGCCGAAAATCTGAGCGTAATACCCCGTCGGTGTCTACTGTGCCATAGTACTCCGGCACGTCTGCTCTATTGAGTCAGCCTGACCGAATTCGTCCCGGATAGCGGCCACAAACGGATCCTGTCCGGACACTATACCAAAATGATATACGCTTGGCGCGAGGGATCTTCACTGTTCAGTCACTACGAGCTTTCATGGCTGTGTCAAGCATCCTTGCACCTCGCGACTGCAAGCGTCATCCCAGCAATAGCCAAATATATGTTTTGGCACTGCAACCTACCCTACCTACTGGGATGCTCAAAAATGCAACTCGGGGGTCTGCACCTGATTAGTCTTTCTAGCCTTGGACTGCAACCCTTGTCACCTCAAGAGTGCAGTGGAGTGTTTGCAATCTATGTATCAGTGCTGGCATATGTGTATCCCTCCACAGCCTTAGGTATATCATCTCATGGTCGCAGCACTACATCGTGTGAGGTGAGCCAAGTGTGAAAAGACGTTCAGAGATAGCCAACCACTCGAGCAGCATGAAGCAAGATTACACAAAAGGCGGCATGATCGGTCTGTCCGTGGCTTTCATGATACTGCCGCTCACGTTCATGTCTCTCCGCGCTTGGGCAAAGATCATAGGGAAGCGTCTTGCTTTGGACGATTACCTCCTCGTGGGCGCGCTGGTGAGTCGCAACCCATAAACCATTTTCTGTTCCCTCTAAGTAATCAAAGTTGGTCTCGTTGACTTGTTGCATACTCCAGCTTACAAGTAAGTGCACCCGTAAAAGGAGAGCTCATCAGCACTGACCAGCGTTTAGCTGCAATACATGGACATCTTGGGCAACATCATCAAGTCAATGCAGCTGGAGCACAAATCATGAACGACGCTGGACTGATACTTTTCGAACAGGTATGCTACGAGCCTGATGGTTCAGGGGCCCTACTGATCGCGTACAGACGAAGTTCGCACTGAACATGATCTCGATTGTTGGACTCGGGCTCGTGAAATCCTCCATTCTGGTCATGTACAAGAACATATTCGACACTCCAAAGTTCCGGACAGTTGTCTACGTCGTTCTCGCATACGTCATCGGCTGGACCGTCAGCTTCACAATCTCGCATCTCTTCACATGTTACCCCATCACAGTATTCATCGAGCCGTACTACGGAAACAGCTGTGTACGCACTGTACCGATGTTTCTGGCTCTCCTAGTGGGTTGCCTCCCTTCATATGAATACTATCTGCTCAACTATATGTGTCAGACAGCACATGTTCCAGGAGTCTCACTGATAGCGTGTAGTACACAGATGTCCTTGCTGACTTCGTCATCCTCGTGCTCCCAATACCCATGGTCTTGAGCATCAAGCTCGACATGAAGAAGAAGCTGGCTGTTATTGGTATGCTCATGCTCGGGACAGCGTAAGTCTAAAAGATTCGCAGTCGCAGAAACCTTACTAATGGTTTAGGGTGTGCGCTGTGAGCGTCACGCGCGTGATAGCAACATACGCCATTGCCAAAGAATACATCAAGCACCCGGACGATACCATCTACTACACTGCACCAGTTTTCTTCTGGACCAACATTGAGCTCTCTCTAGCTATAGTGTGCGCCTGTCTACCAACTTTACGGCCGATCTGGTTCCACTTTCGTCCTCGGCCCGCAACAACACACAATGGCTCCGCCTACAGTTCATCCAAGCTCACGGGTACAAAGAACAGCAGCTTCGCTGTCAATTATGGCCGCCCCTGTAAGCCGTACCAAGAACTAGATGAGGTGTTAGAACTTACCCGACACAACGACGCGACTTCGCAATCATCCGATATTCCGTTGGTACCCGCCGAACGAGGGATCCTGAAGGCGGTCACCATTCATCAGACGTTGACTTGAACGTAAAGATGCAGCTTCCGGGCGACTAGAACTCGGCTCAACCATGGACATGGCCGCACCGCGCATGCGGTTGGGGCAGGCTGAAAGACGTTTTCAGGAAGTCTCGGTCCGAAGATGTGCACCCGACTGTATGGAGTAGGATCTGTATTCTCGTATGTAGATCACGCATGGTTTAAGGGACGGCTTTCTAGAGTAATGGATGACGACTGCCGACTGTCACATCTCGTATAGGCCAATGACAGTTACAAATCATGACGGCATCAGCAGTGGTACCCCTAAGAGGAGGGTTTAGTAAGGAGGTAGAGGCAGGAGGTGGCTATTATGCCCCCCACCCCCTGCTCTCTTTTCAAGGGGCCTTAGCTGGTCCCGGCTTACTGTCAGTGATTGTTACAGGTTTTCAAACGACAACAAGCGACATACGGCCTCCTGTTTTACTATCCAACAAAGCCGTCTGCAACCGTGACGTAGATCACCTCCGGAGCACTCAATATCCAGCTCGGCACGTTCCGTCTGCAATAAATGATCCTGCCGAGCGAGCACTCCCACGTGCATGAGGCTCCGTCTTGGCGACTCTAATTGGCTGGCTTACTGGTACAAGCATGGTCGTTGACAAGGGTTAAATGGATGCCCAGATAGGAAGGACATCCACATTTCGGACCTTTCTATCGACGGATCGAGGAATGAATACACCGGACGATGGCGGATCCAGGAGTGCATGTATCGACAATGGCGGACTTCCCTCAAATAGCCTGCAATTCACGCACTACTAGCAGCACTGCCGGATCTTGGACCGCACCTGTCCAGCTTCCGTTTGCAGTTGTACCCGCTGACGAATCGCACGGCTGGTTGCACGTTGCTTACTGGCTTTGGATATCTGTCACGACTTAACCCCTGCACGTCAGTTATTAACACTCGTATGCACTCTCGTCGGGCAGAACATACACTGATGATGGCGAGTAGTCATAAATAGTTGAGAGATCTTCAGTGTGGAGGACTGTCATATCTCTCTTACTTCACGATGAAAGGCCTCATCGTATTCTTATCTTCGCTGTCCTCAGTGGCAGCGCTTACCATCAAAGCGCCGACAATAGCGCGAGACCTTGTAGCTCTGGTGTCGGCGTCCTCATCTGTGTCGGTTGAGCTGCAGGCAAGATGGAGTGACTACAATGCACCGAATCCGTCCGTTGTGGTCAACGTCACATCGGAGAATGATGTCGCTGTGGTCGTACGTGTACACGGAATAGAATAAAGACTTCCAACTTATACTTCTCAGGTCAAGTACTGCAATGAGCAGAACATTCCGTTGCTGGCTCAGAACGGCGGCGTAGCATGGGCAAATACCTTCAACCTTGGAAGCGACGGTGTGCTGATCAACCTCGCTGGACTCAACGCCGTCACTATCGCGGAGGATAAGAAGACAGCAACCATTGGCGGTGGTGCAAGTATCAGCGACACAATCGCAGCCGCAGATGCTGCCGGCGCTCTCGTCCTGACCGGCAACTGCAACTGCGTCGGTTCACTCGGCGCCTACCTAGGCGGTGGCTATGGTACGTCTTGTCCTCGTCCAGTCCGCCTCAGCTAACCCTCCAGGCAACCTCATCGGCGAGGTCGGTTTCGGCGTCGACAATCTCATCTCCCTCCGCGTCGTCACCTCCAACGGCAGCATCGTAACCGCCTCCAAGACGTCCCACCCCGACCTCTTCTGGGCGCTCCGCGGCGCAGGCCCAAACTTCGGCATCGTAGTATCTGCAAACGTCACCGCCTTGCCCGCCACGGCCCTGGACCGCTCAGCCTGGATAAACAACCTCTTCTTCGATCCCGCCAAGCTGCCGCAGGTCGCACAGGCAATCCAGGACTTGCCCCTCCTCCCCTTGCAACGCGTCTACCTCGTGCTAACCAGCTCGGGGCCACCGCTCAACGAGCCCTCGGTGCTCGTCACCGGCTTCCTACGCAAGGGCACCAACGAAACGGGCCGAGCGGCCTTTGCGTCGCTGTACGATCTGGGCCCCAGCAGCGAGTCCAGCGGCGTCGAGCCATATCTAAACTGGAACGACGCCAACATTGCGTTCTGCGAGCGCGGCGGCCGAAAACCAGCCTACAGCACGATGATCACCGGCATGCAGCCGTCCACCTGGCCGCAGATCTGGGACCTATACAAAACCTTCCAGGCCAAGGGACCAAACAGCGCGATCCTAATCGAGCGCTACAACCTAACGCACGCCCGCCAACAGACTCCAGGCACCGTGGCGCTAAACCCAGCGCTGCGCAACGCGGCGTTCGCACAGGCGATTGTTATCCCGTGGTACAATGAAACAGCTCTGGATGCAGAGGCACTTGATTTCGGCAAGAGCGTCAGGGATATCTGGAGCGATACGCCGGATGCGACGCGCAACCCGACGTACGCGAATTTCGCGCACGGCGACGAGACGCTGGAGGCTATCTACGGCGACAGCTTGCCGCGGCTGCGCCAGCTGAAGAAGGAGTGGGATCCGAAGGGGCTGTTCCGGCAGTGGTTTGCCATCAAATAGATTGGCTTACGAGCGCGGAGCGCGGAGTCTTGCATTCCGGTGCAAAAAAATTTGGCATCTTAATACATCTGCTATACTTTCCCGGCGAGCGCGTGATGGTGTCGGTGTAATATACGCGTAGCGGCGACTGCGGATCACGTGAGCTGTTCGGCACGGCTGTGGGTCGACGCCTCGATATGCTTCCGGGCCCGCATAGGATCCTCTCGCTCCCTTTGCCCCCGGAATATCCAGCGAAGAGACTTGACGTTCCTGGCACACCGCCTTCCACCACTTTGTGGTAGCTACATATTCCAACTTGGTCCAGGAATATTCACAGATCACGTGAGGTTCGATGGTGTAGTTGGTTATCACGTCAGTCTAACATTGTTAGCACACTGAAGGTCTCCAGTTCAAGTCTGGGTCGAATCAAGTTGATTTTTTTGCACGCTGTCCAGTATGCTTGGTGCGTGTTGTGACGTGCGTCTGTGGGACGAGAGGTTGCTTGCAGAGGGGCGAGATGGGAGGAGTTTGCATGGCCGTGTATGTGTTTGTTGTGTTTGTTGTGTATTTGTTTGTTGTGTGTGTGGTATTCGGAACAGGGTGTTGTACATATCCATATCGAGCACGTAACCTCCTACAACACCAGCCCGCCTTTTAGATGCAGTGATATGCAATGCGATATAATACACTCCAACAACTCAAATCGTGTCTTTCCTTCCAATGTGCGCTCTTCGCTCCTTTGGTGTCTAGTCTTCTCGTTCCGTAGTCCTTTACCCCCGCTCAGTCCCTCTCAATCTCTCACAGCCACTTCTAACGCCTGTCGTAGCTGCCTTGAGACAGTTCGCACTCGCTACGCTCTACCCCTTGACATCCTTCTCGTCGGGCCGGTAGCTGTCGGGCACAAGGCCCAGCTCGCGCCTGTTCTGCTCCAGCTTCTCTGCCGAGTGGGGGCCCGCGGTGTTGCCCTTGGAATCCTTCACGGGCGCGTTGACGGGCGTAGCGGTGGCGGTGTTGGTCTCGCCGGACAGCGCGGGCTCGGGGGATGTGGACGAGGGGACGGCAACGTCGGCGGCGGCGTCGGCGGTCATGTCGTCATCGTCGTCGTCGTCGTTGTCGATTTCGCTGCCGTAGATCTCGGGGTACTGGCGGAAGCAGCCCTGCATGTCCCTGGTCGGTGTCAGCTCTTTATGTCCCATGCGATAGCCGTCCTGTCCCCTCCCCAGGCCCACAATCCGTGACATACTTGAACTTCTCAATGCAATCCACGCCCTTGGGCTCCTCCTTGCTGAACACAAAGCAGCTAAATGCAGCCTTGAACTCGTCGCCGCACGGCCCCGTCGCCATGCCGCCCAGACACGGACAGTCCCAGTTGATCTCGCCCGTCTCGGGGTTGAAAGCACCCTGCTGGTCGGCCTCGGCCTCGAGGCCCTCCACGCCGCCTGCGGGAGCACCGCCGTCCTGCGCCGCGCCATCGTCGCCGGATCGCTGCGGCTGCTCCTGCTGCCGCGCCGCTTCCTTCTCGCGCTGCAGCTCGAGGTGCTGCTGTACGGCTCTGCGCTGGGCGCGCTCGGCGGCAATGGACTCGATGGTGGGCAAGCTGCCAGGCTCGGTTTCCTCCGTCGACGAGCGGGCATGCACGGGTGCGAGGCCTGCGCGAGTTAGCAGCGACTCTTGCCTGCGGCCGGGGCGGGGCGGAGCGTACGTCGCGGGTCGTCGCCGAAGACGTCGGTGGTGTTGTAGTAGTATATTATCGCGCCCGCGAGTCCGAGGCGCGCTACCAGGCTCTTCCAGCTCCGGCGCTTTTGCGCGGGGGGCGCTGTGCTGATGAATCGACGGGCGGGGAGCGAGGTGGTGGCGCGTGGGATGCGCAGGGCGCCCTGAGGGAGACCTCGGGGGGCAATTAATCGAGGAGCAGTCCGGAACATGGCGACTCGGTAAGAAACGACCGAAGAAAGGAGACAAGTGTGGTGGTAGCCGTGGTGTCGCGGTTCGTCGTCACCGATCGAAAAGTTGCGGCGCTTCTCGGAGCTGCATTGCTAAGCCGGCGAGCGACTGGTCCGTGCGGCTGGGAAGCACATGGTAGGCACAGCAGCAGTGAACAGGGAGTGATCAAGCAGAGACAAGTCCGACGCCATGTAGATGGAACAGCACCGTGTAGATGGAACAGCACAATGTTCATGGAACAGCACCATTTCCATGGAACAGCACCATGTTCACGGAACAGCACAATGCTCATGGAACAGCACAATGCTCATGGAACAGCACAATGCTCATGGAACAGCACCATTTCCATGGAACAGCACAATGGTACATTGAGGAATCACACCTTTGTACACGCAGCACCCCACGCCCTAATTCTACGGCTGCTATTCGATACACCTAAACCAATGCACGAGACGCAAAGAACCGAACAAAGTCTCGTCATAAAGTGCAGCGCCAAAACACCATTCCGTCTCCGCGACAGGGCGCTCAGATGTCCAATTTTGCAAAGCCCTCGGCGCCCTCGGCGACAGGCTGCGCCCCTGCGTCGACGCTGTCGTGCTTGACACCGACGCTGTCCTCGCCCTTGGCCACGCCAAACGCGCGAATGGCGTCGGCGAGGGCCGCCATGGCGTCCTCGTTGCTCATCGACCCGGGCAGGCCCTGGCCCTGCATGCCGGAGCCAATCTTCTTGGTCGCGTCCTCGAGCGCGCGCACGCGGCGCTGGAAGTTGAGGCGGTCCATGAAGAGCTGCTGGCGGCGGCGCTGCAGATCGCGGCGCTCGGCTGAGAGCAGCTTCTCAAAGTCGGAAAAGTGCGCGAGCTTGAGCTGCAGCTTCTGCAGCTGCAGGTTGACCGAGCCCGAGACGAGGCGCGTCATGTGGCGCTCTTCGTGCGAGGCGAGCGCGGAGGCGCGAGCGGCCGAGAGGGCAAAGGGGAGCGTGACGAGCGGGTTGCCGTCGGGCGATGCGTCCTTGGCGGCGACTGTGAGGTCCTGGCTCGTGTCGACCTCCATGGCGTCGTTGGCCTCGGGCTTGACGTCCGAGCCGCCTGTCGCGGGCGCCGCCGGCTCCGCGCCTTCCTTTTCTTTGCCCTTTTCCGAGGCTGCAACGGGCGCCTTGTTGATCTTCTCCTGGAGGATGCGCTTCATCTCGCCCACGCTGCGGCCAGATGCGACGGCGGCCTCGGTGACGTTGGCGGGCGCCAGGCCGGCGAGGAAGCTGACGACGCTCAGGATGGGGTTGTCTGCGTGGTGAAGGGGCGTGCGGCCCTCGCTGAGGTAGTCCAGGTCGCGCAGGAACTTGGCCGAGGGGGTGGCGGCAGCGGCAGCGGCAGCGGCAGCGCCATCGCCCTGGGGCACGTCGGCCTCCATGTACCTGTCCTCAATCTCGAGCTGCAGGAACTTCATGACACACTGCTCGCGCGTCTTGGTCGACACGTGGTCGGCGACCCGGTTCCAGTCCTCGTCAAACTCCTCCAGGCCCTCGAGGAGCAGCAGCGTCTCCTCCTCGGTCCACTTCTCCTCTGACTCGGACGCGGCCGAGCGCTCTGGGTTCGACACCTTGGCAAAGTCGGCCGACGACGTGCCGGCGGGGAAGTTGCCCTCGACGAAGCAGCGGGGACAGAGATCGCGCTTCAGGCCGCCGACCGTCTTGGTCTGGCCGGGCTGCTCCGACGGCTTCGCCTCGTGGAAGTGCACGCGGGTGCACTCGACGCCGCAGCTGAAGCAGTTGATGACCTTGGCCGCCTCTTTGGTCGCCGCCTCGAGGTCCTTGACGTCGGGCGGGCCGCCGTTTGCAGCGCCCTCGCCGTTCGCCGCCTTGTCTCGGGGCTCTGCCGACGCCTCCTTGCCGTTGGCCTCGTAGATGTTGCGACCCGCCAGCGAGCGGGTCTCGGCCTTTGCCGTCGGCTGCGCGCTGGCCGCCCGGTCCGTCGCCGCCGTCGGCTTGCCCTCGACGAGCTTGGCCCCGGGCCCGGGCTGGAAGGGCTGCAGGCCGCGCGGGGTGTCGACGGTGACGCGGAAGTGGCCGGTGAACGGGGGCCCAATGTTGGACGGGCGCTCCTGCGGGTCGACCTGTGGCGCGTTAGTCGCAGACGATATGCGGGTGGGCGGTCGCGGGCACTCGCCTGGTAGTTGATCAGCCCCCACTGCTCGAGGAAGGCGTGCACGCGCATGATGGCGCAGACGTCGCCGGCCAGGTTGCGGCGGCACGCCGTGACGGTCAGGTACTCGGCCGGGTTCAGGCGGTACGTGTTGATCATGAAGTCGCGGTAGTCGCGGTAGACGGCGGGCGTCTTGCTGCGGTTGCGGCCGTTGAAGAACTCGGGCAGCGCCTTGCGCTCGCGGTAGTCGATGTAGCGCATGTCGAACCACGTCGCGTAGCTGGGGATAATGGTCGCATACGTCTGCGCGACAAAGTGCGAGCGCGCGGCCGCCTGCAGGTCAGCCTTTGCGGCCGCCTCGGCGTCGGCCGGCTCGGGGGCATCGCCCTCGCCCTCGCCCTCGCCCTCCGCGTCCTTGTCCTTTTTGGGGTCGTCCAGGCCGCCCATGTCCTCGTCGTCCTGGCCGTCGGCGTCCTCGCCGTCGGGGCGCGGGCCGTCGGGCGCGTCGAGCGGTTTGTGCGAGACGGGCGCGGGCGTCGCGGCTGAGGGTTCGCGCGACGACTCCTTTGCTGTGGGCTCGGGCTCTTCGAGCATGTGGGTGTCTGCGGGTCGCGTTGGCATGTGCGGCGGTGCGGCGCTGCAATGGCGCTGCAGTCAGTGCGACGTACCTTGGTCCAGCGCACTGGCGGGCGCCGTGTCCTCGAGCGAGGTGTCCTGCGCAGGCGCGCTTGCTGTCGCGTCGTCGGACATGGCTGTGGAGGGAAGGAAGCGGGAAGGAAAGGCTCGCGGCGGGCAGACGAGAGACGCGACGGCGCAGATTGGGCGGGCGCGCGGCGGGCGGCAGGGGAATTCAAGTCGCACAGCTTCTACGAGCACTCTGCGCTGCGTGGCGGGGGTGGGCGGCAGCAAATGAATGTGGGGACGTCGGGGATGCGATGGCGTCGTCGTCGTCGCGTCTAAACTTGATGTTCGCGATGCGCAGCGGACCGTTGGACAGTTGGACGCGGGTGGACCGGGTCACGTGACGGCGAGCCTGCTTGCATCGCAGGCTAGCGCCGGTTCACGGAGGCCTGTCTTGAGCCTGCCAGGCCAGGCCGAGGCTTGCCACGATTGGCCTCTACACTTCCCTCCCACCACACGAGACCCCACAGCGCCGGGCACGAGCAGGAACCGAAAGGGACAGAACGAGCGAATTGAACAAGACAACGAGCGAATCGAACAAGACAACGAGCGAACTAAACAAGGCAAAACGAGCAAACTAAACAAGACAAAACGAGCAAACTGAACAAGACAAAACGAGCGAATTGAACAAGACAACGAGCAAGTTGAACAAGACAACGAGCAAGTTGAACAAGACAAAACGAGCAAACCAAACGAGACAAAACGAGCAAACGAAACGAGACCGGAAAAGAGACCTGCCCGTCATGTTCGCCGCCGCTCGCACCTCGGTGCTCCGATCCGCTCGTGCACAGCTCCGCCACACGCAGTCGCACGCCGCCTGGGCGCGGCTGGCCTCGACACTCGCCGTGCTCGAGGCCAAGGAGGGCACGCTCAACGTCGCCTCGCTCGCCGCCATCACAGCCGGGACCAAGCTCGGCGGCTCGATTACGGCCTTTGTCGCCGGAAGTGGGGGCAAGGCCGTCGCAGAGGCCGCCGGCAAGGCAGTGGGCATCGACAAGGTCATCTACGTCGACAATGCGGCATACGACAAGGTCAGCTTGGCGGAGACGGGCGCGCTGGCTGCGTGGGCTGACAGTGACTGTAGGGCCTGGCCGAGAACTGGGCGCCGCTCCTGATCGAGAACATCAAGAAGGGCGGGTACACACACGTCCTGACCGGCCACTCGGCGTTTGGCAAGAACCTGATGCCCCGTGTCGCCGCTCTGCTCGATGTCCAGCAAATCTCCGACATCACCGCCATCGAGAGCGAGGACAGTGAGTGGCGGACAGGCCCGACGCACGCCTGAGACTGACGCACGCCTGAGACTGACGCGCTCGCAGCATTCGTCCGCCCCATCTACGCCGGCAACGCCATCATGACCGTCCAGTCCAGCGACGCCACCAAGATCATCACCGTCCGCGGCACTGCCTTCCCCGCCCCCGAGACAGAAGGCGGCTCTGCTACGCTCGAGGAGGGCACAGATCCCAGGGCCGAGTGCCCGACCGAGTGGCTGTCCGAGGACCTCGCCAAGTCTGACCGTCCCGATCTCGGCTCTGCAAGCAGGGTCGTCTCTGGTGGCCGTGGACTGAAGTCCAAGGCCGAGTTCGACAAGCTGATGCCCCCTCTGGCCGACGCCCTGGGCGCCGCCATTGGCGCGTCGCGAGCCGCCGTCGACAGTGGCTTCGCCGACAACAGCTTGCAGGTCGGACAGACGGGGAAGAACGTTGCGCCGCAGCTGTACCTCTGCGCCGGCATCTCGGGCGCCATCCAGCACTTGGCTGGCATGAAGGACAGCAAGGTCATTGCTGCCATCAACAAGGACCCCGATGCCCCCATCTTCCAGGTCGCAGACGTTGGCCTGGTAGGCGATTTGTTCGACAAGGTGCCCGAGCTGACAGAGAAGCTGAAGCAGTAGTTGTGACGTCGCTGATACCAGCAATCTGTATACATTTCAATGTAAATCTTCAAATCGCCTCTCCGCCACCTGCAGCAGACATGCGTTCACATGTAAATCTTCAAATCGAATCTCCGCCACCTGCAGCAGACATGCGTTCACATGTAAATCTTCAGATCGACTCTCCGCCACCTGCGGCAGACATGCGTTCAAATGTAAAGCTTCAAATCGAATCTCCGCCACCTGCAGCCGACACGCTTCACAGCCAGGCCCTCCTGGTCTCATTCCAATATGTCCGCATATGACACGGTCAGGCTAGCGCATTCGGCGACGTACCTTCCCTGCACACCCCACTAGCACCATCACACCTCGCAGAACGATACCCGGCCTCGACAGACACAATGCTTCCATCTTCTCCCGTCCTCCCTGATACGTGCCAACGTCCTGTTCCCATCCAGCCCGTAAGCCTTCCCACAAGGACAAGGCCGTCCAAGTCCGTAGTCCCGCTCCGCCCTAGCGTCGATTGCTCAGCACCTGTAAACCCCCCGGCTCAGCCACCAGATCAACCGGATCTACAGTAGCTGAACTAGAGGCAGACTCGGCTTGACCCCATATCGTTTCGTCTTTGTTGTTTGGACGGTCGTTTTGCGGGCGTTGTGCGCGACCACTGGCCTTGTGGTGTTCGACTTCTGGTGTTCGACTTTGCTCTCTTCTGGATATGTCTTGAGCTTCTGCGACGGAAACCCAACACAGTCGAAAGCATAATGGTTGACGAACATCTACCATGACATCCACATTGGCATCACAAGACGCTGAAGCGGAGAAGCCGCGCACTTCCGCGAGCAGTGACGCCACAGCGCCACAGCAGCAACACGTGCACATCCAAGAACCTGTCCGAGTCGCCCCCAGGGGCTCTTCGGATGCCGGCCACAGATCAAGACGCTGGAAGATATGGCACAAGTGGACCGACGGCGACACAAGCTGGTGGTTCGCCTCAACCGGCATCCCTCTGCTCGCCGCAGCACTAGGCCCTCTGGCAAACCTCTCCTCAATCGCCGCTCTGGTGACCAGCTGGCGACAGAACAATTTCCTCGACGGCGAGTACGTCTCGGATCTATTTGGAGTCCCCTATGCTGACCCAAGATGGTGCTACTGGCTCAACGTCGTATCACTCATTTGCGGCTTCCTCGGCAACGTCTTCCTGCTCTTCAACTTCACCCAAAAGGTCCGTTACATCATTGCACTGCCAGCAACCATCGTTCTGTGGTACATTAGCTCCGGGCTGCTGACTGCGATAACCGCTTGCATGGAGGTGTATGATCCTCCAACTCGGCCCTTTGAGATCTACACTCAGGGCTACTGGTACGCTGTTGCTGCCGCCGTCTTCTACTTCGTGTGCTCGGTGCTGCTGATGATCAACATGCTGGGCTACTACCTTGGTCATTATCCGGACCACTTCGCCTTGAGTGACAGTCAGCGCACATTGATTCTGCAGACCATGTTCTTCTTCATCTGGATGGCTGGTGGGGCCGCCATGTACTCGAGGATCCAGACCGATGCTGGAGAGGCCCAGTGGACTTTTCCCAACTCGCTCTACTTGTAAGCAAGATCAAAGGCACGACCCCTAGACGAGACTGACTGCTGCTAGCTGCTACGTCACCATTCTGACCGTCGGCTTTGGAGACCTGGTCGCTACCACTGACCTAGGAAGAGGTCTTCTCTTCCCATACTCGGTAGGCGGCATCATCACGCTCGCTCTTGTCGTATCCTCTCTGTATCGCGCGGCCCGGGAGCTAGGACAGGACCACATTGTGCAGAAGCATCTCAAGCGCAGACGCGAGCAAGCTCTCGCCCTGACGGCTACAAATTCCGACGACTACCGACACCTCCAGCACCAGGTCGTTCGCCGTGGTACATTTGGCAGACTGAAAATCAGCGCACCCACTGAGCCACGGCCTTATCGCACTGCAATGGGGAACAGCGTTCAGCACGCCGCTGCGTTCCCTCGGCACTTTGCTGTCCCACCTCGACTGGACCGCAAACCGCGTCTGCTGTTGCTTAAGGAGGAGAGAGATCGATTCGATGCGATGCGCAGGATTCAAGCGGACGGCAAGAGGTTCAAACGATGGATGGCTCTCTTCTGGTCAGTCACCACCTTCTTGATCCTGTGGTGTGTAGGAGCTGTTGTCTTCTGGCAGACAGAGCAGGACACGCAGGGCATGACGTATTTCCAGGCTCTGTACTTCTGGTGAGTTTCTTGGTCCCTTTTGTGTTGTCGGGCAGCGAAGGCAACTATCGTTGTGTGGTTGCATGCACGCTCAACGACCCGGTTGACCTTTTCCAGTTACATATCTCTCCTGACCATTGGATACGGCGATCTCTCACCCAAGTCAAACTCCGGCCGCTGCTTCTTCGTCATCTGGAGCCTCATCTCTGTGCCCACCATGACGATCCTCGTCTCGGATCTGGGTGACACCGTCGTCGCCAAATTCAAGAAATGGAGCAGCATCGTAGCAGACTTCACCGTCCTGCCCAAACGCGGCATCTGGCAACCCTTTGTCGATAAGACCCCGTGGCTGCAACAGCGCATGCAGGACCGCAAAGCGAAACGGCGCGTGCGTGAGGGCTTCAGCACCGCGGACCCCGGCGGCAGCCCAGCCTCCGACGACAGCCCAGCCTCCGACGACGGTCCAGCCTCCGACGACAACGATGTAGAACTCGCTGCCGACGCCACCCAAATCGCAAACCCGGACATCGCCAGCCTCGCCGAGGAAGCCGAGACCGACCTCGTGCACGCGCCGTCCCAAGCCTCGCTCTCGCGCCGCATCGCGCTCGCCATCAAAAAGGTATCCCTCGACCTGCGTCTCGACGTGCCAAAGCGGTACTCGTACGAGGAGTGGGTCGAGTTCACGCGCTTGATCCGGTACACGACGCCGCGGCGACTGAACCGCGTGCTCGGCACGACGCTGAACGAGATCGAGGACGACGAGGGGCTGGTCAACTGGGACTGGCTGGGTGAGCACAGCCCGATGGTTGCGGGCGTCCGCGAGAGCGAGTGGCTGCTTGAGAGGCTTGTGGAGAGCCTGATCCGGCTCGAGAAGAGGCGGGAGATTGCTTGCGACCACGGGGATCTGGCGGGGGTCAGGGATATGGAGGGACGTCGTTTGCCGCTGGACAGCTGTGGCGGCGACGCTGAGAGTACCGAGCCGCGACCGCTAGGTTGACACTGTCGACTGCGCATGCTTTCAGTGCTCCGACTACCTCCCAAGATGGGACACGAGAATCCCACAGACGCGGCCGTCCACATACACTACGCACGCAAACCCACCTAGAGATAAGCGTCATGTTTGCCACCTGCGAGGCAACGCGCTCCTGCTCGGATTGTCCAGCCCCTGCGGAAAGGCTCTGGATGACGTGAACTGATGTCTGAACTGGCCGAGCGAGAGCCCGTCTTGGCCGACTCTGAGCTCCTTGAAGAACAGACCCAAGTGCTCCCAGGTGACGGCGTAGCGGAATGGCTCACGACGAACATGGTATCCTTTTCCAGCATACGGATCTCCAGATTCGACGTATTTGCTAGGCACCGACGCAGTCCTCGTCCGTAACTTGCTGTCGGCACAACGTTGAGCAGGCTGACGCTCAAGCAACAGGAGGAGTGCCGCACGCTGGCGCAAGTTCTGGCGCAGCGCTTCTTAGACTCCATTGCCACGAACGCTCAAGATTACCGGAGTGGACAGCGTCAATGCCACCTACGCACTCGGAGGCAGGACGTCAAGCGAGGCAGGACGTCAAGCGAGGCGGGACGTCAAACGAGGCAGGACGCCAAACACCATCCTGTGAAACTCCAACAGGAGATCGAAATCGCGGCCTTGGTGCGTCGCTTGCGGCTCTAAAACCGCCCTTGGATGCTGAAACGCACGCTTTGTCGCTGTTGACAATCTCTCTTTGACCGAGACCGTTGCTTTACGAGGGCCTTGCGGTCGGATGGGAGCAGTTGCAAGGCTCGCAAATCGGGCGGCTCGTTTCCGACGCGACGTAAACGATGCATGGTCGCGAGCCCGGATTTCCGCAACGAAAGAATGAACACTGAATAGCCTGTCGCGAGTCATCTCTCGATGGTCAAGCATCAGATGCATGAGTGTATGAGCATGCCAGATGGCGGCCATCTAGGCCGAGCAGCACAGAGGCACGCCACACAGGTGCCTGCCGTTCCAACGATGGCAACCCATGGTGTGCTGTTGCCGTCTGCTCTCTTTCCCAGGCTGCCATGGTGTGCAGTTGTGCTGCGACGCGGGCCCTGTGGAAACGACAAAGTAGACAGATGCAAAGCATCGCGAATCACATGCAATGATATCTACAGTCGCATACTACATGTCAGACGAGACGCGCTGTCAACGCATCGTAGTCGTAGGCGCCTCCAAACCTGGGGCTGTGAATTGCCATCGAACCGGTGACGAGGTCGTCGCGAGCAAGCGAGCCGCGAACGCAAAGTCGGAAAGGGCTGTCGGAGCTCCGCGCGACCGATCTGTACTACGTGGTGCTCCAAGATGTCCCGGCCAGAGCTCGAAGAAGGACGAAACTCGCTGCCTAATGCTGGCTAAGCATCTTGGCTCTCTCATCAGAGTGGTTCGATGACCTTGGTTGATTTGCGCGAGACCAACAGACTCATCGCTTGCAGTCGCGTCCCCGTTTGGGACATAACTATGGTGGCGCTCGTTATATAGTGCGTGCGATCTGCAGGGGCTAAGGGCTCATACTACAAGCTCCGAGTCTGTACGCTGTACGCGCCTTCACTGCACCGAGCAAGTATGTAGATTTGACATCACGTAGCTGCCTTTGTTGTAATCCCCGATCATCGCTGGTCACTGACATGCGCCCGTCTTGACCGCCCTTGGGCTCGCACGCAAGTTACGTGTGTGTCTCACTCTTGGCGCTCGCGTATGTAAACAAGCAATACGTCTTATACGGCTGCCGGCTCATCAGCACCTTCAGGCACCAGTTTCTGGTCTCTTCTTCAACGCGCGTCTTCGCATAGTTTCTGCCTGGGGCACTTGATGACAAGCCTGAGTTTCTCATGTTCTGACTGCAGTATCAATCCAGACATGGCCGACACCAAGCCATTACCTCTGTCCGCAAGCGCGGAAGGGGAGACTGCTGCGCTGCAAGCGCAGGTCGTTGACGCCGGCACAATTGACAAAAACCATGCCGCCAAGAGCGGCGAAAAGCCAGTGAACACAGCGTCACAGTCCAAGAGGGATGCAGATGCTGGCTTCAAAAACTACATGGTAAGCTGAGGGCGAATGTTGATGTTCAGTGAACTGACATTGTGGCAGCGCGTGTTCAAGTACGGGACGGCACTCGACTATTTCCTCATCGCACTATGCTGCATTACATCGATCGGCTCGGGCATAGTGAGTGTATCGTACTGCACTGTCATGTACATGCTAACGATCAGCAGGCGTACCCGCTGATGAACATTGTGTTTGGTACGCAGTACAATTTGTCGGCTGCAAGCAAAGTCTCACCAGTCTACAGGACAGCTCGTGGGAACCTTCACCGAGTACTTCCTTCCGGTTCCCACCGTCACAAGGGATGAGTTCCAGGCGGACATCAACAAGCTCACGCTATACATTGTATACCTCTTTATAGCGAAGTTCGTACTAACCTACGTGTCAATGGTGAGGCTTCCTCGATGCTCGGTATCACCACCCACGCTAAGATCTGGAAGCTTTGCATCCGCATTAGCGGACTTCGCATGTCTGCTGCTCTCCGCTTGGCATATCTACGTGCCCTGTTCGCTCAGCCTGTAGCCACAATCGACACCATTTCTCCCGGCAAAGTGTCGACCCGAATCACAACTTCGTCCAACACCGTACAGGTTGCTATCTCGCAGCACTTCGCCATGCTCTTCCAGTCGCTCGCGTTCATCATCGGGCTATATGTCGTGTCGTTCGTCAAGGGCTGGCTCTTGACGCTGGTAGCTTCGGCAGCGCTGCCTTTCATCCTGCTCGTGTACGGGTTGATCGTCCCACCTTTTATCAAGATCCAGAAGTTGACTACGAAGCACCTCGAGGATGCCTCAGCCGTGGCGTTTGAAATGTTCTCGTCTGTTAGGGTCGTGGTGGCTTTTGGCGCTGAGGCTAAGCTCGCCAGGCAGTATGAGCTTGAGGTTGTTAAGGTAAGACTCCTCCGAGTGTGGATCGTCGGATGCTGACTCCACCTCGCGTCAGGCTGGAGAAAATGAGAAGAAAGCTGCGCCCTTCTTGGGCCTCTTGATGGCGCCGCAGATGGCGGCTATGTACGGCACGTTTGGTCTCACGTTTTGGTTTGGCATCAGGCGCGCGTCCGAGGGACACGGTAATGTTGGCGACATCACGGTGTGAGTTGGCCTTAGCTAGAGCCGTGATACTGCTGACATGTCCAGCGTTCTTTTCTCAGTGATGATGGCTGTCATGAACATCGGTCGATTGGCAGGTCCGATCATGGCGATTGTAAAAGCAGCCACGGCCGCACATGAGCTGTTCGTTACTATTGACGCACCACTACCGAATATTCTAGGTCTTAAAGAGCCTGAGGTTACAGCAGATGCCGACATTACTTTCAACAATGTCGCTTTCTCCTACCCGAGCCGGCCGAACGTGCAGATTCTGGATGGTCTGGACCTCACGCTTCCCGCCGGCAAGGTCACTGCGATAGTCGGGCCATCTGGATCCGGCAAAAGCACCATAGTTAGTCTCATCCAGCGATGGTACGAGCTCGCAGGCACGGTAGCAATCGAGAAGGTCGAAGCATCGCCCGTTTCGCCGGTCGCAGACGAACAGCAGACTCAGAAGGCCAAGAAGTTCTGGCAACGGACACCAGACAGTGACAAGAACCCAAAGCCTGACAATTTATCAGACAAAGCAGATAAGGAAGACGAGGTTGGTCTGGGCCAGAATACCTGCACTGGTACCATAACCATTGGCCAGACCAACCTGCAAGATGTCGACCTGAAGTGGTGGCGTTCCCAAGTTGGACTTGTACAACAGGAGCCATTCCTCTTCAACGACACGCTTTTCAACAACGTTGCATTTGGCCTGTGCGGGACAAACATGCAAGACTTGTCGAAAGAGGAGAAGATGAAGATGGTCGAAGACGCATGTCACGAGGCATACGCTGAAGAGTTCATCTCGAAGCTGCCCCAAGGGTATGACACACTGGTAGGCGAGAGCGGCATCAAACTCTCCGGTGGCCAACGTCAGCGCATCGCCATTGCCCGAAGTATCATCAAGCAGCCCAGGATCCTCATCCTAGACGAAGCGACCAGCGCTATAGATGTACGCACCGAACGAATTGTTCAACAAGCCCTGGATCGCGTCTCGAGGAACCGGACTACAGTCGTGATCGCCCATCGTCTCTCCACCATCAAGCGCGCAGACAAGATTGTGGTTCTGCGAAAAGGCCAACTCGTCGAAGAGGGTACGCACGATGAGCTCGTTCGCCTCGAAGCAGGCATCTACCGTGGCCTTGTGTACGCTCAAGAACTGGCCATGGAGCCGGAGGGCACCAACGAAATATCCGAAGACGCTCAGCTGGAGAGGGTGAACACACTGGATGCCAAACGCGCCGCTGCACACGAAGCCCAATCTGAGACATCTGAAGCAGATCCCGAGTACAAGGAACGAGGCCTGGTGCTCAGCTTCGGCCGCCTGCTCTACGAACAACGAAGCCAGTGGTTTCTTTACTCCATCTCAGCCATCGGGATCCTCATGGCCGGAGCTATCTACCCGCTTCAAGCCTTCATATTCGCCAAAGTCATTGAGGTTTTTACTTTCACTGGCGACCGGCTGGTCAGTCGAGGCAACTTCTGGGCTGGCATGTTTGGCGTCGAAGCGGCAGCTGTCTTCATCGCGTACTTTGTCATTGGCTACGCGCTTCACTACGTCGAGGTCATCGTGACTGCAATCTACGGCCAGGAGTACCTGAACAACATGATGCGCAAGCGAATCGCGTGGTTCGACGACCAGGGACACAGCCCTGGGTCGCTCACCTCCCGCCTGAGCTCAGACGTCACGCAACTGCGCCAGCTTATGACTACGGAGATGAGCATTGCGCTGATTGCAGTCGTCAATCTCGCGGGCTCGTTGCTCATTTCCTTCGTCTACGGATGGAAGCTCACACTCGTGGCGCTATTCTCCATTATGCCGATAATTCTGGGTTCTGGCTACATGCGCATGCGCCTGGAGATTCAGTTCGAGAAGAAGAACGCCAAGGTGTTCGAGGAGAGTAGCCAGTTTGCCACCGAGGCTGTTGGCGCCTTCCGGACGGTGCTCAGTCTGATCATGGAAGACACGATTGGCGATCGATACCAAAGCTTGTTGGTCAGCCATGTGAAGCACGCCTTCGGCAACGCGAAGTATTCGACAATTGTTTTCGCCGCAAGTGATAGTCTTGAGTTGGGTTGCATGGCGTTGGCGTTCTGGTACGGCGGCAAGCTGCTCGCTGAGAGGGAGTATGATATTGTCGACTTCTTCGTCATCTACACTGCGGTAGTTCAAGGTGCTATCGCTGCCGGCATGTGGTTCAGCTTTGCACCGAGTAAGTGCTTCGTGCACTCATGAAACGTACTGTACTGACAGTTCAACAGACATGGCTCAGGCGACGGGAGCTGCAAACCGGATTCTGAGCATGCGCCCTCCAAAAACCATAGCTGCTCCTACCTATCCAGCCCTACGCAGTCCCTCTAGTAGCGTTGGGGTTGACTTCGAGAACGTCAGCTTCGCCTACAAGTCGCGCGACATACAAGTCCTCGCGAACCTCAACCTGCATGTTGCCCCCGGGCAATTCGCTGCCTTGGTGGGAGCATCTGGATGCGGCAAATCCACCACCATCTCCCTCCTGGAGCGCTTCTACGATGCAACATCGGGCACGATCCTGTACAATGGCCAGGACATAACGAGCCTCGACCCTGCGCTCTACCGGCAACATCTCAGTCTCGTGTCGCAAGAACCGACGCTGTACGAAGGCACCATCAAAGAAAACATCGCTCTCTCTGTCGACAGCGCCACTGATGCGGACATCGAAGCTGCGTGCACCGACGCGCAGATCCACGAGTTCGTCGTGTCTCTTCCAGATGGGTACAACACGCGTCTCGGCCCCAAGGGCATGAGTCTGTCCGGCGGGCAGAAACAGCGTCTCAGCCTTGCAAGGGCGCTCTTGCGCAGGCCCAAGTTGCTCTTGCTCGACGAGGCCACTTCGTCGCTCGACAGCGAGAGCGAGAAGCTGGTGCAAGCTGCAATTGAAAGGGCGGCTGGCGAGGGAGGCAGGACTATCATCGCTGTTGCGCACCGACTCGCGACGATTCAGAAGGCGGATGTCATTTTTGTCATGGGTAGTGGGAGAGTCCTTGAGCAGGGTAACCATCAGGAGCTGCTGAAGAAGCGGGGTGTGTATTGGCAGATGGTAAGTCGGCCCTGGAACCGAAGTGAATTTCTGCTAATGGTGCATAGTGTCAAGCTCAGGCTTTGGATCGTTGAGCGCAGATGGATCGTAACGCAAGTGAGGAGGGACATAGTCGGACTCAAAGGCTTTGGTAGCTCTAATCATCGTGGTGGAATCACAGTTGGAGCATTTCCAGGGGCATATAGATGAGCGGAATTTGCCTCTGAGGGGTTGTAATATAGATATTTCGATATGCTCGGTGCCGTCTCATTGTTATCCGGTGCCCTGCGCTCCATGCGTGTGCCCTGGCGAATTTTTGCCAGAGTACGGTCGGTCATCGCCGAGGTTCGCCAGCATCCCCACGCTACCGATCAAATTTGCACCGTCCGCGCCCAACACCTACATCCCCGCCAGTCTTTTATTACTGGTGTCAGCACCTTTTATTACTGGTGTTAGCACAGCTCGTCGGCGAGGTAGAGCACCATCGACTACTGGGGATATAATCCTTGCGTCGTTCCCACTTTCCATCAAACCAGCATCAGCAAGCCCGGCTGGCACAATCGGTAGCGCGTGAGACTCTTAATCTCAAGGTTGAGGGTTCGAGCCCCTCGTCGGGCTTTCCTTTTTTGCACTTGAAATGGAGTCGATAGCTATCGTGGTCGTCGAGACATACTTGGTCGAAGCCGGGTGTCGTTTGGCCGGCCGGATGCGATAAATAAGGAACCGTGCGCCTTCTTTCTTTTTGTCCGTGGTGGCTTCAGCCACGCTCAAGGGCAGGCGGGTCCGGAAATACCCAGCTCTTGACTTTTGCCTCGCTCGTTGGGTATGCCCTGCAGAAGCTGCTAGTTCCAAGAGCGACCTTGCAGGACCTTTGCGCTGGTGGTTGTTTGACGCTGCTCTCGTCGCTCTTCTTGTCCGTATCGATGTTAAGGTAAGAAACCCTCGTCCTCGGTAGTCGAGGGCAGGCATGCGTAGTGTGTTGAGGACGTCGACAGTCGACTGAAATTGTTGCAACAATGCAATTTCTTCGCCTGACGATGGGTACGCGTTGGTTTAAGCAAGAACGGCGTACAGTCATGTGTTAAATGTTATCGTGAGGTAGCTTCAGCGGCACGTGTAAAGAATTCCAAATGGGCTTTTGGCGGTCGGAGACTACGAGCAGTCTAACGTGTGCTCTGCTTTGCTGGCGGTGACTATACTTTTGCCGCCAACCTGTCGTCTCCGCATTGTCTGAGCTGTACGGCAACTGCTCATGATACACGTGGACGAAGTGGCACCATCATATTGCCTCCTCGTCGTGCTTTCTCGCGTGGTGTCCGGTGGTCTTCTGTCGGTGCAGGCGACACGTCCTCGCTCTCCTGCTTTCCTTCGTGACTTTCCTCATTTTCCGGTTGCGACTCTGTGCTCGTAGCGTCCTCTATAGTCTTCCCCTCATTCTCATCGCACTCGAGGCTTCTCTTATATCCTTCCCACAGCTTCTCGACACTATGACCACAGCAATCATGCCATACCTTTTTAGCATCGTACTTGCATCCCCTCAGCGCCTGATTGATCCTCCTAACCACATCCTCGCCATGTTCTTTCTCTAACCACTCCAGAAAGTACGCCGTGCGCTCATATCCAGCGTCCCAGTCGCAGTCCCCTCTGCGTCTCCAATGCGGCGGCGCATACCCAGCCTTTAGACGCACCCAGTCCGCAACACCCTCTGTCAGGCCTCCCGGTGCCGTGTTGCCGCCGTGATGCTGCCAGCAGTGCACCATCTCATGTACAAGGACACCGTTTATCTCCTCTTTCTGCCGCGATTCCGACACGTGCTCAATGTATTTGGTGCTTAGGTGGATCTCTTTGTGGTCGTCGTCAATGTCAAGACCAGTTGTGTAGGCTACACCGTCCATATCTCTCACTACCAAGGTGATCGATCGTGTTGGCGGTATGCATGACTTGTCAATGTCGGTGTAGAGTTGGCGCAGGACCGTATCGACTGCGGACTCGAGGGCTGCGGAGGCGTGCACGAGGCGAAGGAATGCGCGCGAGCCATCTGATGAGAGATCGCGAAGCTCGAGGCGAAGCAGAGGCTTTCTTAGAGGGTTGACTTTTGATTCCGAGGGGCTATTTGGTGCTGATGTGCCGTGTTGTGTACTGCTTGGCTGGTCGTGTACAGCCGGGGGCATTGCGGAGGCTTGTGGGGCAGGTGGGGATCCTGACAATGACGTTGAAGTTGGGGCTGGAGACATGGTTTGGAACATCTTCGGTGTCGACGAGGATGTCATTTTGAAGCTGGGACGATACTACAAGGGATTTAAGGATGGGCTGACAGAAGGCAACAAAGTGGCTGGTGTGCGTTATTTGGTAGATCTTAGGCAGTTGTTAGGCAGATGCGTTGTCATCATCGAAACGGCAAGTAGCTCCATCGATAAGAGCTACGCGCCACGCGCTAGTTCTACACGTTAAGATCTTTTGCATCTACTTCAATTCTTGAACGCTGAGATGGCTCTTGGGGAGCTCTACAAGTCGTCTAATCAAGTCTGTGATCTAAACGTTGAATCTTCGTCACCTCGTCCTGAGCAGCATCTAAGCTTGTGCGCTCTTGAACACCTCCGGGAATGTCTTCCTCAGCTCCTGCAGACTTCTGATTTGGTGCTTCGCGGCTTGTTGGGGTGGTGCGTCCATGCCCGGGTCTAGATAGTGGGCGACTTTCCACCCTCGTGCATCCGCGGCCTTGCAATTTATGTACGAATCATCTGAGATCATCAGTATACTGTGGAAGATGAAGATGAAGATGGATTCTACAACATACCAACGAAATAACAATTCTCGTTCTTGGTCACGCCGGCCTGCACCATGGCCTTGTCGAACATCTCTGCTTGCGGCTTGCAGACGAATCTTTCAGAGCTGTAGTCGCAGTACGTCATGCCTTCAAAGAGGTCGTCGATCTTCAGCAGTCGAACAACACGCTTTCCGTGCGTGACGTAGGCATTGGTGAGGAGCCATAGCCGGACCTTGCTCGTATCGATGTCTTCAATGAGCTTGCGCAGTTCTGCGTCTGGCTTGATTACGTCGTCCAGGGGCAGTGCATCGTCAACCTGTTCGTTATAGTCCAGAGCATTGATCTTGTGGTGTCGAACAAGACCCTCAATGGCAAGACCATAATCGCGATAGTACTTGTAGTGAAGCTCGTTCGCCTCTTGCTGCGATAGCTCGAGGTGAGTCTGAAAGTACTTGTCTACGCAATGATGAGAAGCTGGTCTTGGAGGCGGGGCCAAAGCATACTCACCAATGAGTTCGGCCATCATGTCATGGATCTTGAGGCCTGGTGAGATTAGCATTTGTCAGCCGAACGTTATGTCCAGCATCCTACTCTTGGGGTAAAGCTACGGCAAGGTTAATGAGATGTAATTGATGTTGCAGCGAATACATACGCAATTGTCAATATCAAAGAAGAATACTGGCTTCTCATCTTGGTCTGCCATGGTGCTGAGATGCTTCTGTGGTGCTTGGCTTAATAGAGATGGCTTCGACTTTGTAGAATAAAGCTGCGCCCTTTTGAAGCTCTATGCGGTGGCGGACTCGGGCTAGAACGTGGAGTATTGTGGAGTGGTCTGCGTATAACGACTGGTCCAGGACCTGGCGCTTGACAACCCGGTTTGCACAACGTGCAATTCGATGTGAGCCAAGCTTTGGTATGGCACAAAGTAGTGAAAGCTGCATCAATTGTATGCAGGGAAAGGGTCTGCAAGAGTCATGACGCGTGGGGGTGAAGCCAGCGCGAGCGCCCGTTACGGCTAGCGTATCCAGCGCGCCTGCCCAGGTGCGAATTTCCACCGCGGCTTCGTCGGCCTTGCTGGCGTCTTGCTTCTCAACCCCTTCACTTCCATCAACCGCGACATCAGACGGCAGCGTATACACTGCCCCTGTTGCGCATCTGCGAACTTTTGATTACCGACTTCTGTTGGTCTGTTGGTACTGAGCTCTAGCTGCGGATTGTTGCAAGGTCAATCGCCTGCCAGCTGCGCAATGTCGACGATTGCGTCTGTACAGCCGCATGTCAACGGCACGGGGGTGGTATCCGCAGAGTTTAGTCGCGAGACCGACTTCTTGAAGCAGATTCTGCAGATACGCGACGACGTGTTTGCTAGCAAACACCCGCGTATCCATCTCCCACCCAAAGTAATTGAACAGGTTGCACCACGTCCGCCGCAGACCACTCCGCCGAGCAGGCCCTCGACCAACGGCTTTGCCAACGGCGCCAGCGCCTCGCAGCTGTTCCCGCCGCGCCCGAACAGCTCTACGCAAGCACCTGAGCTTGTCTCCCCTGCACAACCCATACAGCGGCCCTACTCCGCCAAGTCCGCGTCTTCTGGCATCGACCCGGTGCTGCTCACCAAGTCTGACCACTTGATCAGGGCAGAGTTACAGCTCAAGCGACAGCAAATAGAACGGATTCTGAAAGACCAGTTCGACAAGAAGGGTCGCGGCAATGACAACGAGGAGCGCGAGGCACATTTTAATGTGGAGCAATGCTTGATACAAGCCCATCTGCGTGTCCCGCCTGTATCTGGCTTGCGCTTGCAGTCTACGACTAACAACAGTGATGGCGCTGAGTCTTTTGACGAGAACTCATACTACTCTAGCAAGGCAGACAGTTGGTCCTCGGAAGATGTTGATGTCAACCAAACCTCTAATGCTGACGCTATAGTGTCACATGTTTCTCAAGGGATTCAGCCCGTCAAGGCGGCTCGTGCTGAGACAGCTGTGATTGATCTTGACGAAGAAACATACGAGCCTGCCGATGATATTGAGATCTATGAGCCAGAGCAGGTCGATCTTGGGGACGATGCAGACGAAGAAGACTACTCACCGCCTCCGGCTGATGTCATACCTGAGCCAAGCAGAGGTCGCGGACGACAGCGTGGCTTTGGCAATGGTGGCACAAACGGGTATGGTGTTTCCTTTTCCTTTTTTTCCTCTCTCTTTCCAGTCGCCCCGACTATGAGGTCACCTATTCGCCGATCTAATCTTCAATGATCGAGCCGATTGGTTTCTCTCGGGCTTTGCTTGATGGCCTCGACGCGTCACTTGAGCGAGTTTCAGATCGCGTGCGTTCATGTTCGAGATCATTGGCAGACAAGCTTTCGAGGAATCCGTTTGGTTGATGAACGATGCAGCTATATTCTAAATATTTAACAACCGTGAGAAGACACTCGATACTGACATGCTGCAGATCACGCCGCAATAGCCCGTCGGGCCCAGCACCCCCGCTACAAAATCCCCGTAAACGCAGACGGGAAGAGAAGCGCCAGGAGAAGAAGCGCGAGCAACAAGCCAATAAGCGCGTGGTGCATTCGCCTGAGCCTTACATTAAGGAGGAGCCTCAGTCACCGCCACCTTTTGCCGAGTCCCAACCCAGCAAGCGTCGTGCTCTCCAGCCTCTGCCCAACGATGTCGAGGTGATGTCCCCACGCGGGCCCGTCTACTACCGCGAGTATGATGAGCCAACTTCTCCGACCGTAATCCACGCACCACAACGGCGACCACAGCCTCAGGAACAGGACCTGAGAAGAGTTGCAAGTCTACAGTACGCCCGCCGCCCATACTCGCCCGATGGCAGCAGTGGTGAGATCTATGCTGCACCTCCAGAGTACCGACCCATTCGCGCATCGTCTCATGCATACGCCGATCGACCAGAGGTACCGGTCTTCCGAGAAACTCCATCTCGCGCCTCGATGGCGCCCCGCTACGTTCGCGAACGCTCTCGCTCGCCTATCTACGAACCTATGCCTCCACCTCGCCGTATCGTTGTAGATCAGTATGGAAACAAATACTATGCGGCACCAGTTGACGCGCGAGAGTCAGCTGCGCCGCCTAGTCGGCGAGTCGAGGTCGACCCCTACTACGAGCGTGCTGTTACTCGAGAGCCCACAATGCGCGCCCCTGCGCGTTCTAAAATCTTTGAGGATGAGCTTGGCCAGAGGATGCCTCCACCACCGCCACGGAGATATATGGAAGCGGCAGAGCCTGAGCTTATCGAAGCGCGACCGTATCGCCAGAGGGAAGCATCTCGCCGCCCAGTCGAGGTCCAATATCGACCGCAGGAAGCGATGGAGCGCCGACCAGTACCACAATTTGAAGAGATGGGACCACCACAATACATGCCGCCTAGGGCATATAGCGTGCGTCCAGAGGTTGTTCGGAGAGAGGCTCCTGAGGTGTACGTCCGTCATGAAAGCATTGCGCCGGGCTCGATACGTCCGTCAGCACAACCTCGCTATCGTGAGGTCAGCGTCGCGCATCAGGAGCCCGCAGAGCGATACGCAATGGCACCGCCGCAGAGTCGACGGTACGTCGAGGAGGAGGCTGCACTGGATGGGTACACAGCTCTGCCACGACATGTTAGCTATCGCTACTAGTGTTGGATATAGGATTAGTGTAGCTGTCATACTGTTGTCACAATTACTAGTACGTATAGCACGGCTGGCTCGTGTTGTAGCTGTGCACTTTGAGCAATATTCAGAAACGATTCAGCATTACTCTCATCACTACACAATTCATTTGGCCAGACAGTCGCACCCACACCCGCACTTGTATTCGGATTTTAGAAGGGCCTGGTATTGCACTCAATTCTCCTGCGCAATCGGCCTTCAGCAGAGAGGCGTATAGCGTCGCATGCAAACTTTATCCATCACCAGTTTCATGGCACGAATCACAAAAAGAAATCCTACCGTGCCAGCCAAACCCTAAGTCGTCTCAGCGTCTTCAGTCAGCCACGGCACTGCATTGACTGCCTCCAGGCTGCCGATCATATGCAGCGTGGACGGGTTCTGCAGATACTCAATGTGCTTCTGGAATTGAAGAGGAGCCATAATCCCCTCAATCGTGTTCGAGCATGAGCTCCGCTTGCATCTTGACTTGACTCCCTCATATTCATTCTTTGATTTTTGCACTTGGTCAAGTCGTAGCTTCGCACGATCGTGGTCGCTTACAGATCAAATGACGACGCACCCACAAACCCGTCAACTCGGCTAGGCTGCAGCTAAGGCACCTAGCTTCAACAAGGCTTGGCTGATTTGGACATGATTGCGGAGGTGCCGGATATTAGTGGACTTGATCGTCTATCGATATCGCAAATCGATAGGTTAGCGGTCAGTCTGGACGTCAATGATGACTGATGAGCGTCGAGGTGGTCAACAGCCTCCCAAAGTCAAGGAGCGTTCAGCGTGTTTTGTAAAGACCTGGCAGCACAGCGAGATTCACGCGCGTTTGTTATGTACCCTCTTGTTGTATACCCTCCCTGGCAGGTAAGCCGTTCTTCCACTTTCGCCCGAGCACAAGCTTCTGCACAGCCTCAATCTCGAATCTTGATTTGGACGTGCCTGGACGAAGGCATGCGGATGATAGGAGGCATGCGGCAGCACATACGGATGGGCGGATAGACACGAGTGAAATACGTGCCGGGCAACATGTTCGGTGCCTAGCAGGAATGAACTCGACGACTGTCGATGATGCTGGCATGGCCAATGCCATGGTCTGGAGGCCAGGCAAGATAGCACCCATGTACATTGATACCCAAACATGTCACGTTCGCTCGGTTGTACCTGCAAGAAAAGCCCCGAGCTGCCTGGTCTCACGCTCGCATTCCACGACAGGCGGGTCGTGGCACCACAGGCGTTCGCGCCCTGCATTATTGGACCACACTGCAGGTCTGGATGAGGTTGCTGCCGCACTTGTGCAGGTCACGGGGAGGGAGGGAGTGCATGGTTCAGCAGCCTCGCAGCAGCTCGGGGGAAGGTCAAACAGTGCTGGTTGCGGGAGAAACTTTGTGGGCGAGTGCGCTGAAACGACGGGGTGGGGTGTTTGTTCGCACGCACTGTAGCAGAAGCGCGAGCGCTCGCAGCAGACGTCGAGTCCATCTCACACTCTTGGGCCGGCCCCGGGGAGTCCACGGGCCACGGCCCCAACAAGCGCTGAGCGTGCGCCGTCATCTCGCAGGCGGCTCTCGCAGGCGGCTGCGAGACAGACAGCGCACGGCAGCACGGCACAGGTGTCTTGCCGATGCAGGAGGCTCTGCTAGACAGTTGCTTCGAGCCAGGTGGTGCGCAAAAGGCCAATGCCAACGGCGCAGTGGCTCCCGGCGGCGCGGCGGCTTTTTTGGGCGCGGTGTGGTGTGGTGTGGTGATGCGAGATGCGAGGTGGTGGAGCGTGCGGCAGCCGTCGATTGGCCGTCACGCATCAGCCTTGCTCAATGGCTCGCTACGTCCGCTTCGACTGCTTTCTCTCCCTCTTCATCACCACCGCCTGCCCGCAACCCCCCAGGGCGCCCGTTCCCCCCTCAGCATGCACAAGATATCCAACTTCACGGGCCAGGCCCGGCACGGCTGGGAAAAGATGACGCCGTCGGCAGGCTTCCCGTTCTCGCGGAGCAACCACGAGATGCCCGTTACAGCGCCGCTCAAGCGCCCCAGCACCGCGACGGCCGCGCCGCCCGTCATCCCGCCTGGCACGCAGGTCAACCTCAGCTTCAATGTGCCCTTCAGCAGCAATCTGGCGGGGCCTGACCCTGACGACGTCATGTGGGCGAGCCCGGGAGCAAAGGCGCGCTGGACCATGCCGGAAGGGACGGCTGAGGGCACACCCACGCACAAGCTGCCCGTCCACGCCCAGAACGTCGACAATCTGCGCGCCCTGTGCCGCGACGTCGGCGAGCAGACCGAGGGCCGCGTCGCCGCCACGGTCGTGTCCGCCGAGAGCAAGCCGCTGCCCGGCCTGCAGCGGGGCCCGTTGCGCGCCCTCGTCACCAACGTGTGCCTGTCCGGCGAGCTGGAAATTGTGAACTCGATGCGGTGCAAGATGCTCAATAGCACGCCCATCTCTCTGGTAGGCTGATCCGCGAGCCCCCGCGAACCGCGCGAGCGCCTCCTCATGCAGTGGCTGACTCTTGGCACAGCGGTCGTCGTTCGTCGACATCGACTCGGATCTCATCATCGACCGCGCCACCCAGAACATCAAGGGCGCCGTGCTGAACCAGTTGGATCTAATCGCGAAGACGACCAAGGCTGACGTCTTCCTGCTGATGCCGAAGACGCCGGACATCGAGTCGGCGAGCTTCAACGGCAACCTCGACTCAACTATGGACCCGCGTCTGCGCTGCGCCATTTACGGCGACCTCGAGACCATGGAGCACGCCAAGACGCGCGTGCTGATCATGATTGACCAGATCGTGAGTCTCGCAATGCCTGATGTCCATCTCCGCCAGCTGACTCCATCACAGCTGAAACGATACGTTGACACGATGAAGCTCGAGCTGACCATGCACACGCTGATCTGCGGCCGTGGACGCAAGAACATTAAGATGATCGAATCCGCCACAGGCACCGCCATCTACTTCCCCCCGCCGTTCCCGAGATTGTTCGGATACACGCCCCCGGGTGCGCAGAGAAGGCCCGACGATTTGGTATACATCACAGGCGAGAACTCAGAGTGTATCCTGCGTGCCAAGCAACGACTGCACGATCTTGTCATGTCCACCAAGGTGTTTGTGAAGCCCGTCATGGTGACTGACACCAAGCTTGACGCCATTCTGCTCGAGCGCCTCGACAAAGTGCGCAAGATCATCGAGAACAACGGCTCGTATATTTTGCTGCCACCGCTAGGCGTCCAGCGAGGTGTTGTTCGCGTGCAGGGTACTGATGTCCTGCATGTCGAGCGCACAGTGCGCGAACTGATGGCTCTCGTAAGTTACACGCACGTGATCATGTCACCCTCTTTACTCATGACTAGCAGGCTGGACAGTTCTACAGTGCCTCGTGGTTCATCACTCACCCTGATCCTACACAGCGCCCACCCACCGCAGCTGATGTTCGCGCTATGCTCTCCGATATTTGCATCAACTCCGGTGCCGAAGTTAGCTTCGAGAAGCTCAACTTCCACATCTATGGCTCAGACGATGCTGTGCGAGCCGCTTTGATGGTGATTAGCAACATCCCATTTGTGAAGAAGTCTCAGTACAACATGAGTGTCAAGATTGAGCTTGCCAACGAACACAAAGAATTCGTCAGCGGTAAGAAGAACGGTAAGATCAACAAGATCATGAGCCACAGCAGCGTGCAGATTGTGTTCGACGGCTTCAACGAGTACAACTTCTACATTGTAGTTCGTGGTGCACAGTACGAAGCGACCAAGAACGGTCTCGACCTCGTTGAACAGGAGATGCCTGCCGCCATCTCCTTCCACGTCCCAGATCAGTACCACAAGCGCATCATTGGTATTGGTGGCCAGCACATCCAGCGAATCATGAAGAAGTACTCCGTCTTCGTCAAATTTTCCAATGCGATGGACCGTGGAGGCTTTGGCAAGGAGGAAGATGACATCAAGGTCGACAATGTCATCTGCCGCACCCCTGCTCGCAACGCCCAGAATCTCGACCTTGTCAAGCAGGAGATTATGGATATGGTCGAGAAGGCCGATGCTGAGTTTGTCTCTGAGACGATTAACATCAATCGTCTTTACCACCGTGAGCTTATTGCTCGCCTCGACAAGATCGACGAACTCGAGAAGAAGTTCAACTGCAAGATCACCTTCCCCAGTACTGAGGAAGCGAGTGACACTGTTACTGTCTCTGGCCCTGAGTACCAGGTGCCATTGGCAGTAGACGAGTTCCTGGTAAGACCGACCACTGAATCGAGGTTGTAGCCATGACTAACAGTGCATAGGGTATGGTTCCAGAAGCTCACGAACTGTCTTTCCCTTCGGCCACCGAGCTCTCCGAGCACATGCGCTCTGCCGATTTCAAGGCTGAAGTTCTCGACAAACTTGAGACTCAGCACGTAGTTGATGCTCGCCTCAAGGACCCCATCACCGAGACGATTGAGGGCAAGGAGCAGACGATCGAGACGCTCCACCTCAACTTCACTCGCAACAATGCTGGCGGTCTGAAGGATGCCCTTGACTTCCTGATCAACCATCTTGTCATGCACGGACTGGACGCCAACACCATCAGTGGCAACCTTCCACGGCCCAAGTCTGACTCGTTTGAAGATTCGCTGCCCTTCTTCGAGTCTAAACTGCTCCAACGCGCTGAGCCTCCCGTCGACAACACTGACTCTCCAACTCGCTCCCACTTCGGCGACGAGGATACGACCCGTCCTGTTGGCATGCTCGACCGCCTCCGCAAGCCGGGCAGTATGTCCTCGTTCACCTCCATCTTCAATGGACGCAAGAACACCAACTCCCCTGGGTCTCTCTTCAAGCACGCCTCCAGCAACGCCTCGAAGGCGTCACTTGCCAGCCTGGAGTCCACGGGTAGCTACCGCAACCCCTGGAACGACAGCGGCATCAACCTTGCAGACGACGAGCACCACACCAATGGCTGGCCTCAGCCCATGCCAACCCCCCGTTACGAATCCAAGTTTCCTTTTGGTTCTTCTTCCGCGGCACCTGGAGACGTCACTCCCAGGTATGATCCGCGGGGCTCCGTGGACAGCGGTCGCCCCAGTACTTCTCATTCTGCATCTGGATACCCGGCCCCTATTGGGCCTCCTCGTTAAATGATACACCATTTTCGACGTCTCGACTTGATATTCAGCGCCGGCCATACCTTTACGAAGAATACCCCTGTCTGCGCCCCGCACGACTGTACCGGTGCCGGCACGCGCGTGTTGTGCACGAACGACAAAAGAATTATACCCCTCTCTATACTGGCGCGTCAAGTGCAAAAGCGGTATTTATCTGCTTTTGGCTGGTGTTGAAGTGCTGCACATGATATCATTGTTGCAAGTTGTTACTTTGCTTTGCTGTTAGGCTTTGTGCTGGAATGTTTTTGTATTAAGGCGCGTGTGGTATTTGAAATGATTCCCCCTCGGCGCAAAAAGAATATATACCAATTTGCTGCTTATCTTGTGTTTTCGCAACTTCGGTGATGATGAGCTGTGCTACTTGGTGATGATGGGCTGGTTTTCCCATTCTCGTAAAGTCAGACGGCATGTGCTTGAGCAATGTAGCATGGACATATCGTACACCCTAGAAGGAGGAGCTAAAAGAAATGTTTGTTGATCAAAAGCCACTCGGCTACTAACTCCCAAGGAATACCTTGCTCCGCTAATCTCGACCATCGTAGACATGACGGGTAGTGAATCGAGAAGCACGCGTGGTCACGCACAAGTGACGTCGGCGGTGAATCATATAGCTCCGACCTCCGAGCTCTGGGGCTCCACTACATCGTCATTCGGAAGAAACACTGCACTTCAATTGCGTGTGTATGTTACTCGAGTCCACAATAGTGATACACACCATCATGGCTGCTAGGACCGCTTCTAAAACTATGCGCCTGCCAGGCCTCGTCGCTACGCATCCCCATGGTCTCGTCGCTGCACGCCTCGGCGCCGTGCGCGCTGCTGTGCTACCTGCGAAAGAAGCAAGCATGGGCTTGCGTAACTTCACCAGTATCCCCAAGAACATCGCTGGTCTGCATAAGAAGTCGGTGATAGGATTCGTCAACCAGTGCTCGCGGAGGAGGTTTATCTCTGAGCGGCCAGATGGCCGTGGCAGGATCTATGAATTTGAGGATGTACGTCTATTCCAATTTCACAGTAAGGGCTCGCTGCATCTCATCTGACACACCGCAGGTCCTCTCCGCCATCGAAGACCCCTCCGATGCCCGCCTCCTAATCGACGTCCGCGAACCGCACGAGTTCGGCACAGACAGCATCCCCACCGCCATCAACCTGCCCATAACCTCGCGCCCAGACGCACTCCTCCTCCCTCCCGCCGAATTCCAGGACCAATTCGGCTTCGCAAAGCCCCCCATCGGCAAAGAATTGGTCTTCTTCTGCAAGGCGGGTGTACGCAGCAAGGCTGCTGCTGGCATTGCGCGACAGGCGGGATACACGAATGTTGGCGAGTACCCGGGGAGCTGGAATGATTGGCAGAAGAAGGGCGGGCCGAGGACGCATAGTCCGTCTGCGGCCGGGGGTCTGGATGAGAGGTAGAGCAGGGTTAGTGAGACCAGCTTCACGGGTGGGAAGAGCAGTGGGGAGTTGCATGAAGTGGATGGTGTTGCGAAGCCGCCTAAGGGCGGGCAGTTTGGCACGCAGTAGACGAGGCAGCGTCTGCATGTGGGAGTCGCTGAGTTGTATTAAAAAGAGTGTAAAGTAAACACATCGAAATACTGCCTTACTGCGCTCCATCAAAGTTGACGCAGCAAATAGCGTCTGCCTATGATTTCTACCCTATTCCTGCCCATACAGTGCCACGCTGTAGTCGACAAGCCCATCGCAGCATTGACTTACCAACAGCCGTCCACAGCCGAGGTAAACTACGCCTCGTCGACTGCCCCAATATCAGCAACGCATGCGATCACATCTCTAACGCCTACTCCCAGACGTCAAAGAAACCCCCAAACCCCCAATCAGCTATCAAATTTCACACACCAACTCAGGACATGTCAGCGCGGTGGTGTTATCGACCGACCGAATTGCGCAATATATGGCGCTCAATCGGCCAATCGCCGTCACCGAAGCACCACCTGCCCAGCCGACCCCAACCCGATTCACACCTAACGCGAACCATTCTTAGACAGCCGACGATGGGAGCGAGCAGTAAAGGCGGTGTCTCGCAGATCATGGGAGTGCTTACATCTCGCCGGCGGCGCATTCGTCGTCTCGATGCTCGCATTCATCATCTCGACGCCCGAATTCTGCTCGCTGATTTGCTTGCACCACAGCTTTGACGTCGAGCCTTGAGTGGCATGCTATCGAGCACAAGGAGTATTTACAGCCAGAATTCCGCTGGTGCGGGGAATATCTTGCTGAAGAAGAGATTGGAGTTGAAGTCCGATTCGTTCGAGGAAGGATTCAAAAAGGATATCGAGATGCTGCTCATCCGCCCACGGAAGCGCAGCCTAGCGACCTCCGACAATGATCGTGCCATCAGCTGTCGGGAGAGCTGGCAAGTGAGTGCGCAGAATACGTCTCCGTGTGCGCACGCTTCTCTGGATGGCGGAGCGCTGTCAGATGCGTCGGCAATGCGTTCGAACTCCAGCGCTATCTCAAAGACTGAGATCGTAGCACTGAGTCTGGAGCAGCTTCAAGAGCTCAGCGTCCTAGTCGCGAATCGTATGCAGATCAAAAGGCGCTTCAACAACACGCCGCTACGTCGCATCATTGCTCGCCAGGTGACACGCAGCGCCGTACAGGCACCTCCACGGTCGGACTCGGATACTGCCAGCCAGACCGATACACTTGTAAACAACGACACACCGGAGACGAATAGAGAGCCACTGCAGGTCAGAAAGGCGAGGTATAACAATACGCCCCTCCGGCGCATTCTGTCTTGCCAAGCGTCCCCCGGACGATGGGATGCAGAACGTCCCCACGACCCAATGCGCGCATGTAACGAGCCCGAATCGCTCGAAGTGCGCAAAGCACGGTTCAACGACACGCCCCTCCGCCGCATAGTATCCCGCCAAACCTGCTCCAACACAGTCAAGACCCCCGAGGCCATCGGTGCTCGACCCACTCCTCCTCCATCAGTCCCACGCTCACAGTCCTCGACCCCAGTACCGCGTAGCAACACGCCCCTCCGTCGGATCCTCTCGCGCCAAGTATCTACCCGCATAATTCCACCGAAAGAAGATCAGCTCTCCGAGCGCGCGGACTCCGTCATAGACCCTGGGTCACCCGTCCGCTCGCGCAGCACCGCGTCTGTGCCAACGGTGCTGGACGGGGCCTGGATGCGCAGCTTCGAGACTAGATCAGGGAATCTGAGTTCGAATTCTCCATCCTCAGCCCCAGTAGCCGCCTGATGGCGAAAGGGAGGTAGCGACGAGTCCGGGATTTGCGCATGAAGAGCGCTGTGGGCGCAGACGACGATACCTTCTGGAGTCAGGGCAGGGAAGGATAAGGAGAGAGGAAAGGGATGATAGGTTCCGTCACGGCGCTAGCGTCAGCGAAGTCCCGGTTTGACGTCGTAAACTCCAAAGGCGGTCCGCTGCGCGGATCCTGCAGGCAGTGCAGCAGCAACTGGCGGACGTCTGCGAGGTTGGGTGTTATATGATAAGACTGCTGTTGAAGTGGCGTGGTAAAGCAGTGTTCCTCGATCCGCTCGTAGAAAAGGGGTCGTTCTCATTGTACTCGGTCGGTCGGAATGGTAGTTTCGTATGCATCACCACTATCTTCCCACCCCACAGATGATCTCGCAAACTCTCACAGCCATTTGTATACCCCCGTACCTCATCCTCAGACCCACAAATCCAGCCCAAGAACAGCAATGCTCCACACATCCCCCTCACCATCATTCTTCGTCATCATCCTATTCCCTCACTCCCAAGCCTCCATCACAGATTCTCACACAGATATCACCACATCCCCACCAATCCGCTCGCCACCGGCTTCCACAGCTTCCTCCCAGAACAGCGCAAGCTCGTCAATCACAACCCTAACCACCACTCCCCAGCGACACAAAAACTTGTCTGTCACGTGTCTAGACGCAGGACCAGCGCAGAAGCAAGTCTTGCCGTACACTCTGCGCGAGACGGTTCTATAACCTGGTTATACGTGGAACGCGGGGAGAGGAGCGAGAAAGATTCGTCCAGAAGGGTTGAGCAGCCTGGCGACCTGTGAGAATTGAATGGGGGTGTGGGTGGGTGCGCGGGATATTCGAATCAATGCGTCGTTTCCGGGGAGTACGTCACTTTGTACTCTCAGGTACTAGGAGCGTGCGGCTGCTTGGCCAAGTCGCGGGAGAACGACAGCGCTGCGAGTAAGTCGAGCTTATGATGGAATTGATTGAAAGATCCCCCTTCCAGGGCAAGCACATTGCTTCAGGCAGACACACTGACAAGGGGCCATGGCAGAAGCGAGCAGATTGAGACGGATGGAGTGTATTTCCTATCAACTGTCCTGGCCACGACCATGCATCGTGGACGTCCAACCCAGTCGTTGGTCACTCGAACCGGACCAAACGTGGTCTACATCCCTTTCTGATTCTGCGGAACGCTCTCCGTATACACCACGCCGCTCTTCTCCCCCAACTTGCCCCGCGCAACCTCATACTCATCCACGAACAGCTGCTTCCCGCGGATCTGGGCCCAAACGGCCTTGTGCACGGGAGTCAGGAAGAGGGCGTCCATTTCCTCAAGCGTAATGCCCTTGGTCTCGGGCACGAAGAAGAAGCTCCAGATGCCCATGGCGACGAGAATGGAGGCAAAGAAGAAGTACGCGCCGTACCCGAGGTCGCTGATCATGTAGGGCGTGGAGCGGGCGATGATGAAGGATCCGAGCCAGGTGTCGGCGGTGGTGAGGGAGACGCAGAGCATGCGGATGTCGAGGGGGAAGATCTCGGATGCGTACGTCCACGTGATGCCCTGCCACGTCGCGCAAATGATAAACGCGTTGATGTACACGCACACCATGGCAAGATAGCCCCAGCCGTCGCGGTTGATGGTTCCTGCAGCAGCGGCGGCGGCAGGGTCAGCCTTCATGACGTACCCGCCAATATACCACATGGGAATGCAGCCAAGGGCGGCGCCCCAGATGAGACCCTTGCGACGACCCACTCGTTCAACAACGACGAAGGTGAAGGTGCACATGCCAAGCGTCTTTGCAATACCGTAAAAGCCGGTGGAGAAGAGCTTCAGGGAGGTCCCGGATATGCCAAGGGTTTCGAAGATGCGAGGAGCGTAGTAGGTGATGATGTTAACCTGATAGGGTCAGCTAGGATTGAGTGATTCATGGCTGGCGGTGACTTACTCCAGTGAATGACTGCAAGAACATGAGAGCGAGACCGATGGCCATGCGGTTACGCACGCCCTTCTGGAATAGCTTCTTGAACTGAGCCTTCTTGCTCATGCGGTTGGTACTGCGCTCTTCGACTTGTGCGCGGATCTCACTCATTTCATGCTGAATGTATGCGTGTGATGAGTCGAGGTTACGAAGTTTCGTCAGGATCTTTTCAGCTCCTTCGAAATTGTCCCCGCGGGCCAGCCACCCTATACGCGATTAGCAGCCGCGAAGTATTGAAGGAGAAGTACTTGCTTGGAGACTCCGGACACCAGGCAACACCCATGAGCAGCAAAAGACCAGGGATGAGCTGAATGGCGAGCGGGACTATCCACTGGGCTTGTCTCTCGACGTCGATGGTTCGATCGCAGGCGTAGTTGATCCAGAAGCCAAGCATACCCCCACCTTGCGAAGCGATCTCAAAGATACCAATGAGACGACCCCGAACAGAGGGTGGGGCAATTTCGGCGATGTAGACGGGCACTGTCATAGATGATGCACCGATGCCCAAGCCAGCTACGGCTCGGCCAGCGTAGATCATGTTCAGTTTACCCTGAGCTGCCGTCATCAGCGTGCCTCCGATGAGGAAGACGGATGAGGCGATAATCATCGTTTTCTTTCGACCGAGCTTTTCCGCAAGTGGGAAGGCGAAGAGGGCGCCGAAGAAGCAGCCGGCCTATGTAGGAGTCAGTGGTTGTGTTTCAGCCGCGAAGATATGTGTATATACCTGGAAAGTAGAGACTATATTACCCTGAATCGTATCGCGCTGATTCTGAGGGATGTTGATGGTCCCAAAGTCGCGTCTAAACGAGTCTAGGGCCATGGTTCCGCCAATGACGGCGGTATCGTAACCCACTTGAACTGATGTCAGTACATACTCACTTCAGACCAGTTTATTAAGATAGTCACTTACTGGCTAGGGCCGACATGGAGGCAATACAGGCGATGACATGGAGGCGCCAGTTCCTCACCTCCGGAGGATCTAACGTGCCAGATGCATGAGTGGTAAAACAGCCCATTCCAGGGAGTACTTGTTGAAGGGGTATTGGAGGATCGAAAGCGATTTGATTAATTTGAACAAAAGCGTTTACCGTCAGGAGCGAAGCTTGAGCACCCAAAAGTCGTAGGACACGGCGTTCTTATACGCATCTCCGTGATCACACACCGATGTGTCGTGCCACACATGTCGGCCTCAGAAATGTTACCCTCCCCGTTTTCCGAACCACACAACGCGGGGTGAAGTGCATTAGGATTACACATCCTGCCATACCATGCCGCACACCTTCTCAGTTCAGAAATCACCATTGACTATCGCAGGAAATCTGGGGTTTAGTAGCTTGGCTGCTGACGGGGTGATGGCTTGACTGGCATCTTGGCAGGAAGGGGCAGATCTAATTGGAAGAGAGAGGTCGAAGCATGCAGCAAGTCTGCTTCGCAGGCGGAACCGTTGGTACCTATTGTGAGTTATGTGGAGCTCGATAAGACGGCAATGGCGCTACCCCGCGACGTCAGTGGCTAGCAGATGCGGGGGAGACCGGCTGTAGACGGCGTGCCTCAAAGAGTATACCTCGTCAAACGACGAGGCGTGCTGGAAATCCATGATTTTTCCTTCTCCTCATTCGGAAAGGGCAGGGGGCTTTATACTTCTTCTGTGGGGCATGCTGAGGACTGTGTCAATGGCTGTCTGCGTTTCCTGTAGTCCTTTGCCCCTTTGCGCCGTTGCTGAGGCTGTCGCGCTGCAATCTTTGCTGAAGTCGGACATCCGACCTACAGGGCGTGACTACCGGAAGCATAGCTTCGCATGACCAAGATGATTGTCGCGAATGATTCGCAAATCTCCATGCAGGGTGGCTGATTTCCCCACTCTACATTCGTTACGGCAGATGACAACCGCTAACAACGGCCATGCAACGTCTGAATGTTGCAACCTCAGCGAAATATACGAGGATAAGCCGGCACTACCTGTTCAGACATCCAGATCGGTTTTCTATCCATTACCTTGACTGCGTAGCTGTCAGCTAATGACTTGAGCGGGAGCCAGCGACTGGACGTATGAACATAGTCAGCACGGCCGCGGATACTTACTCCAATTTATCCGCGTCCGTTGGACTCAGCGACTCTGTTCGGTATGATTGCCGCGTGAATGTGACCGCGGGGCGCCTTCGGCTAAATACACCTCGAGACGAGGAACTCCCGCTGAGCCTCACGGTGCGCGGCGCTCGAACAGTTGTCGCTATTATTACCCGCGAGAAGCGCTTTCGAAATCTCGACAGTTTCATACCCGCCACCAATACCCATTCACCCCAGTTATGTTGACTTATTCTCTGGAGGATATGCGGATCTCCAAGATGAGTCCCTTGTTCGATGTGTAGATGGCGCGCACTTGGCGATGCATGCGCCACTTCGTCGATCAGGGATAGTGGACAGGACAGCTCACCCCACACACTCGGCAGCTGCCCGAATGTGGGGCGACTACGGGGTCCAGCGTCTGAGTGCAGATCGTTGGGATGGCTGTCCTCAACATTGCTACTAGTAGTACCCCATGTATTTGAAGCTTAAATTTATCCACTTGGTTCTCCACAGTCACTGAGATGGTTCTTCGGGTGCATCGACTGTGCCATATCTGTCAATGCCAGCAGGAATAAATAAAGGTGCGATCGCTGGTGATTGTCCAGGTCAAGTAGTTGTTATGTCGTATCATTCGTTCGGCATCCCCATTCCACCGTATCCAGGGTATAATTCTTGTTGCTCCTTGAACGCCAGTGCTAATCGAAAAGGTAGGAAACATCGAAAGCTGCTCTTGATAGATATCCTCCAAAATGTGAGAGGCCAGAGTCTCTTTCAGAGCTACTTAGATTTCGCACCGTCCGTGCCCTCCTTGTATATGACGACAAAGTCATCATCCGAACCTTCCTCGGTCTTCTGTTTCTTCTGCGAAGGCTGATCGGCATCATCGGCATCCACGGGCTCGTCGGTGGGAGCATCAGGGAGCTGCGACAAAACGTCCGGAGTTGCTCGTAAGCCTTGAACCTCCTCTTGCTCTTCCTCTGTATCGTACTCCAGCTCGTTAGTGGCCGTGGCTTCGACTTCGGTCTCGGAGGTTCCAGGAGGGAAGAATGTGCTGTTCTACTGTAAGTATGTGGGCCAAGATCTTGCGTCTGGGAATACTTACGGAATGTTCTTGAAGTATGCATCTTCGTCTTTCTGGAGAAAGTTGCAGAAGATGATGCGCTCAAGCACGTCTGCCTTCTCGCCCTCCTCCAGGAACTTGCGTACAGTCTCCAGTGCGACCAAGCTGGCTTCACTGCTGGGGTATCCATACACGCCTGTGCTCAGAGCTGAGAACGCAATGCTCTTGCAGCCAGTGTCAACTGCCAGCTGCAGACTTGTCTTATAGCAGCCAGCCAGTAGTTGTGCTGCCTCATCCTTGTTCTTGTTCCAGTAGATCGGCCCCACAGCGTGGATGATCTTTTCTGCGGGCAGTTCGTAGCCATCTGTGATTTTCGCGCTGCCAGTCTCGCAGCCGCCGAGTGTGCCGCACTCATCGAGCAGCTCCGGGCCTGCCGCACGGTGAATCGCGCCGTCAACGCCGCCTCCACCGAGCAATGACGTATTTGCGGCGTTCACGATCGAGTCGACGGCGAGCGTGGTGATATCTTGGCGAATGATACTGATTCTGTCGTTGTATGCGGCGTTTGGTGTGTGCTCTGGGCTGCTGTCTGCTGTGGGTTCGATTTTGTTCAGCTTGTACAGCAGCGAGAGCGTTGGAATCTGGTCGAGTGGCACAGAAGAGGCCATCTTTGATTGGCCGCTGAAGGGCTTACTGGGTGGCTTCGCGAGGTAATAGGCACTGGTCATGACGCGTCTGGTGATAGCACGTAATATGCAAGTGTGTGGTGGTTGAAAAAGGGAAGCTTCAGTCGCGGGTTTGGGAAGGAGCTCATGCGGGGCGGGTCGATAGCGTGCAGGGCTGTGGCTTTGCATCACAGGTGGCGTAGGATTATTGCAGCTGCACGCTAGGGGTGAAGCCGCATTCGCTAGTGACTATATGCAGACCATGGAACAACAAGTGGCATGGAGAAGCGAGTCAGGGAAGACACAGGGGCTAGTGAGGCCGCGATGTAGCATAAGCAGTGTAGTAGCAGATCATCGTTAGTAGCCCTTTCGGCTCGGCCGCCGGGCGTAAATAAATTGTGTGTGTGTGTATATGCAGACCACCACAACGCGATTTTCATATGAGGGGTCCTCCACTGTTCCACAATCTTGCAAATTGTGAAATCAGACTTTGGCTTGTGTCGATCTCACTCGTCCAGGGTTGAAAACTGACTCGGTTCTCACCAAGTTTTCTATTGTGGCGGCTCTTCGGGCCACCGATTGTCCACGTGTGCCATCGTACTGGCTCAGTAAGAGTAGTGCCGCCAGGTACCCATAGTCCTGACAGGCGGGAAGCTTGTCTCTCCTCACCAGTGGCCGATCGTAAGTCCAGTCGGCATAGCTCGTGGAGTTCGGCGCGCAGCGCTTCGTCTTGTCGTGCTGTAGCGTAGTCTGATGCTCTTACCGTATGTAAATGCGGCTACCAAATCCCTACGTGCGATACTCATGCACCAGCTTAGTGCATTGTAGATCGCCCAACCGTACTGCGTATGCAAGTACCAGATACTCACGCAAGTACATGTCCGTTACTCCTGGAGTCCAGTACCTCTTCCGTAGACAGAAAAGATGTTCCAGGACTGTCGTACGTCCGTCACGTGCTGCTATCGTGAGAGCATTGTGTCCGTTTAGATCCTCATGCTCGATATCGACAGCAGTGACAATCTCCTGCTTTAGGCACGGGAGTCCTGCAACCAGGCATTTCATCACACCAAAATGAGAGCCGCAAGCAGCATACCAGAAAGGAGTTCGGTTTTGACCATCGAGTTGATCAAGGACATGCATGTACTGGACTTCATCCTTCTGAGGACGCATCTTGTTGATAATATGACTGGCCATGTCCACGCGACCGTGACATGCTGCAATATGCAAGAGTGATTGATTGTTGAGACACAGCCGGTGGATGTCTGCGCCCAATTGGGAAAGTGCGAGGAACGAGCCAACGCTGCCTTGACGAACGGCGACATGCAACACGGTCCGACCAGAAATGACAGCGCAATCTACAGCTTGAACCGAGAAATCGATTGAACGACCAAATGCTTCTGGCGAGAAGTGAATTAAACTGGAAGACTTCGCGGGGCCGGACCGCTCCCACTGAAAGGCGACACCAGCATCGGAAAGGGTGTGAAAGCTCAGATGTCCGAAGAAATCTTGATGTCTGTCGCCGCGTATCTGTTTCGCAACAGCCGGGATGCGGGCAAGAGCTTTCGGTATGAACATCTGACAACCTCTTCAAGATGCCGGAGACGAGAACGGTAGATTGGAGTTCCGCAACATTGTGTCCAGATCTTTTGTGAATTGATCCTTGCACGACAGTAGACTCATAATCTTATCTTGCGCAAAAACCACGCCTTTGTGTAGCAATTTCGTCAGAAGCACGTAAACTATGTTGCTGTGACCGACCCTTTGGAACAGGGCGATGCTAGCCCGAGCTTCGCTCAAGGATATATCATCTTTGCCCTATGTATACTCTAGGCGAAAATAAGGGATCGTTAATGCATTGAATGCATCATGTGCTGGGGCAAGCATGATCCCACCACTGCAAGCAAGCATTCTTGTTCTGACCATGCGGGCCAGAACTTTGTATTTATTGACGATCGCCTCAAGCACGGGAATGTGTTCTTCAGTGTGTTCCAGGTAAGCATCGCGGCGACTAGGCTGTAGCATGGTAACGGCTATATCTACGATTTCGCGCTTATAGCCATAAGGACGACGGAGTGTATGCTGAGAAGGAGTATACTGCCGCGTTTCAATCTCGATGGGGAACAAGCTTGGCTGACTGCAAACTCACGCGTCTTTCGAGCAGTCTGCTTGGGGTACAGCCGTTGCAGGCGTAAGCATGCTAGGTAGTGCAGAGACAGATTCCATGGAGACAAAGACTTTCGAGTCGACATGTTGATGTTGCGGTAAGTGTTCCAGAGGATTGCGAGGCTTTCCATAATAGGTCTCTGATTGCTTCTTGTCGTTCCGTCTTAAGGACATCAGTGTCGGTCTTGAGCAAGGTTCTTTCTCTCAATACACTTCTCGCATCGAGCTGGTCAAGGTCCATTCCTGAGGGGACTGAATGAGCACTACATGTCTGTCAATACGTGGCACCACACCAACCTGTACCGCTGACTTACAAATATCTTCGACTTCCCACAAAAGTAGCATCTGGGCTTCGTCTTACGATCCGATGGTTTCGGCTCCTTGAAGGGCTGCGTAAAGTCTGACATGCTGAGAGGCTCCGAGCCTACTGTCGACACTAAGAGTGGAATCTACAGACTGAAAAGCGTTTTTGAGGATAACATATTCTTCGAGGCTTGCAAGAAATGCTTTCGTGGCGACCTTACATACCGGTAAAGCGTGAGCGACGACTAGAATCCGCGGCGCGGAAAGTGGAACACTTGCCGGCGCGCGAGATGGTTCTTGGGTGCGGCGGGCGCAAGCTGCGATCATCTGAAGTATAGCCACTCTGCACACGACAACCAACATCCCCATGCAGCTGGCTGGCCTTAATGATGTCGCAAGGATCGCCGGGACGTGCTTGTTACATGGGCAGTTTATCATAAATAGCAAATGTCTGCAGGTGAATCGACAATAACAGTTCGCTTTGCCACAATTCTGTCACGGTTAAGACGAACTTACTCAAGGGAGTAAAAGGTTGACCTTTTGCTCCGCGACAGGTGACCGCAAGCGAGCCTGACACCCCACCAAAAAGACGCCAAAGAACACTGCGCAAGAGAGCTAAGAAGCTAAGTGCCAGAGGTTAAGGGCACAGACGTAGAACGCTAGACGTGTGGAGCAGAATATACAGGGCATGTTGCGTCACGACCTACATGTACAGAAAACCTTGAAAAGCTACCAGCTCTACGCGATTGCTACGATCTGGGGGGTGGGGGGGGGGGGGGGGGGGGGGGGGTGTATTTACTCCCTTGAGTAAGTTCGTCTTAACCGTGACATATTCCTTGCTGGAGACAGAGTACCATTTACTTCAATCTCCATACTTGTCCCGGTCGCTAGTTTTTGTTGTGAGAACTTCATTCAAGCGCAACTCTACCGAGAGGTCAGCATGGAGGCTATCGTGTAAGCCAAACACTTGGCTATTGCCTCGACTGATGGTCCCAGTGTGTTGGAGATACTGTTCGCCGAACTCTCGGTCCTCGTTGGGAGTCTTCCTGTAGTAATCGGCCTCTTGCAATTGCTCAAAGGCCGAAGGCGCCGGCAGTCATAGAGAAACGACAACATCCACGAGCTAGAGGCTATAATGCCCCAGGTACTTTACCCAGTTGGTACTTGCCAACTGGTTTACTGATACATGTGTAGATATGGATTTGCGAAAGCCCTGTGAGCGCTACAGAGAACGAATCTCCTGGTGTGTTGAGGTACAAATGAGCTGACCCATACCTAGTATCACCGTCAACCATCGGCTGATCCGGTGGCTTTTCAATATGGGTCATAGACGCCGACTGCAACATCTTTCGTAAAGTCCAATTCGTGATGATGACCTGACTGTCGGCAACCGAGGAAACGACGGTCTACTCTACCATCGAAATACGGCGGATATGATGCCAGAAGCTAGAACGTTATAGGTGCTCGTTGAAAATAATAGAGTGGAAGCGGGTAGCACGGCAAGCTTCGACACATAGACAAGCTGGGTCCGGAACCCGGCATCTTGGATGTCGTAATTGTAATTGCCGGAGCTCGTCGAAGATTTTCAAAGCTCGACGTGCTGAGCCTCGAAAAGACATAAGGAAAAAGAGTGTTCGTAAGGAGGCAATGTCAGCGATGGTGATGGTGGTGCAAAGGGCGGGTGGGGTTTGGTGGAGTCGCAGGCTCACGCTTCCAAAAGCTTGTTGCCCCGCTAGATCAAACAGGGATGACGTCGCTTCGAACCAGGAACCAGGAAGGCGCGTTGCTCTCCACACGAACGCCAGGACTCGACATGTTGCGCGACTTACTCCTGAAGAGCTGACACGGAATCCTCACATCTCACAATGGTAATCGACGATCACGGGATGCGCGCCGCACCGCAAGGCTGACATGGCACCAGGCTTCAATACTGCGGCAGATTGTCGCCGGCCCACGTGCGCGGCACGCTGAAGCTGGCCTCGACATGTGCTATGTCACAGACAATAGTACAGGACCTACCGTATATCTTGAGACTCTCCTGACTGTTCATAGTCATCGCCACATCAGGCCCCAGCGGCACATATCCTCAGCGCGCATACCGAAATCCTCTCGACTCCCTCGTGAAGTTCCTCGACTCAAAACATGGCGAAGACTGGGCGATATGGGAGTTTCGTGCTGAAGGTACTGGCTATCCAGACAGCGAGGTCTACAATCGCGTATATCACTACCCCTTTCCCGATCACCATCCGCCGCCCTTCGCCCTCATACCAAACATCATGGCCAGCATGCGCAACTGGTTGAAGGCAAAGGAAGGGCGCGTTGTTGTTGTTCACTGCAAAGCCGGGAAGGGCCGATCAGGTACAGCGAGCTGCAGCTACCTGATGAGTGAGGAAGGCTGGCCCATGGAGAAGGCCCTACAGCGATTCACAGAGCGGCGCATGCGGCCTGGCATGGGCTACAAGGGCGTCAGCATCCCAAGTCAGTTGCGATGGCTCACTTATGTTGATCGCTGGACAAAACACGGCAAGATGTACGTTGAGAGGCAGGTCGAAATTCTGGAAGTGCACTGCTGGGGTCTGAGAGACGGCGTCAAGATCCAGATCGAGGGCTTTGTTGAGGACGGCAAGCTTATCAAGAACTTCCACACATTCACCAAGGAGGAACGAGAGATCGTGAGGGGCGAAGTAAAGACAACAGGTATGGCACAAGCAGTCCACGAGGTCATGTACAAGAATGGTTTGGCCGGGTCATCTGGCAAGGCCAATGCACAGGTCGATGGCCAGAGTGAATCCAAGAACGCCAGCAGGTCCTCTCTGGAGACACCACGAAACGCAGATGGCGCCGCGACGCCTAGGGAAAACTCGAAAGAGAGCCTCACACCAGGTACGGGCGATGTCGTCTTCCGGCCTTCAAAGCGCGTTGTGCTGCCCACGAACGATATCAATATCGACGTCGAGCGTCGCAACAAAGCTGCTTTCGATCTCACAATGGTCACCGCAGTCGCACACGTTTGGTTCAACACATTCTTCGAGGGCAGCGGCGCGGAGAAGAACGGGACAGCAGACGAATCCGGTGTCTTCGAGATCGACTGGAGCGCAATGGATGGCATCAAGGGCTCATCACGCAAGGGCACACAGGCTTTTGAGCGCATCGCTGTCGTCTGGCGCGCACTCAGCGCTGAGGAGGGGCGGCCTGGTGTCCTCATTACAGAGCCAAAGGAAGGCGAGGAAGTGCGACAAACAGGACCCACAGACTGGAAGGGTACAAAGGGTGTCGAGCCGAGCGAGGGCAAGGATCTTGGCCTGAGATCTTCGAGCCCAGACAACTTAGAGCTCGACGTCAACCAAACAGAGGCCATCAAGAGGGCGAACGAGAAGAACAAAACAACAGTGCCAGTACCTGATCGCAGGAATAGTGACGAGAGCGACGACAGCGACACAAGAGATGTTCGATCGCACGGCCCCAACGGCGAGGAGGTCCTTCAGTACCCAAGATCAACAAGAACAAGCATAGAAGCCAGTGATAAGAAGAGCGACTCATACACAACAGCCTCACAACCCACAATATTAAGTCAGACGGATGGTGTAGCGGCGACAACATCGAGGCCTTCTTCCAGAGGGTCGCACAGAGGCGCAAGCCACGTTGAGAAGCTGATTGATAACGTCAAATATCACGTTTCTGGGGCTGCATCAACCAGTGAGCTGCCTGACGGCAGACCTGAGAGCGAGATGAAGAGCGCGAAAGAACACCAACTTGGACATCTGGGAAAGAGCAAGCTGTCGAACTGAGGCGTGCCAATGCGGCTCGACCAGAAGCCCGAGTGACCTCCAGCACAACGTGCCATAGGACGAGGCTCTGGCTGCTGATGGTTTGGGGACTCGATTTTAAAAAAAAAAAAGTGGTGCAGCGTATCAGGTTCGTGCACGAAGCACTTTCGCGTAGACGCTGCAGCTTGCGGGTGCATTGCAGGCGCGTTGTGTTGTGTACAGCACGGGCGCACGTGCTAGTGGGTATCGACTTCCCTCCTGTGTTGAAGGCGAATCGTTTTGCTTTGCTTTCGATATACCATTGTAGCAACAACGTCATGCTTATTTACCGATCAATTGTGCTGCGCATGTTCGTTCTGGGGGATCTTCTCGATCTTGAAGGTGTACTTTCGTTGAGGTTGCCACCAAAGTGAGGCGAACGCCTGCCGCCTGCTCGCCTGCCATTCCGAACCTCCTCCCTCAACTGTTACTAGCAGCCAGTAGCTTCAATCACAACCATTCTGTGTCACCACCGCTGCATAGGCTACGCCTCAATTTAGAATTCCGTCAGCAAGACCGGCATCACATACGTGTACATGTAAGATGGACTCGTGCCTACGCGGTGCAGGGCGAATGTCGCCGCGGCAGAAGGCGCTACAAAGCCTGTCGCCGCGAAGCGTCAGCATAGAAGCATAAGAACAGGTCGATACCCTCACCAGAATGATTATAGAACCACACAATTCTCCAAAGAATTAGGCAACTTCGAAACATTTACCGGTCAACCTCGGGTCCACCGAACGTCAATTGCGCAATCGCAACCCCGGCGAGGCTGAAAGCATCGAGGACAGGCTGACAGCCACGCAACCCCACAAGATTCGCCAACCCATCTGATCGGTCACCCTCCGTATCACACTTCATGCAAGCCATCCTGCATCCAAGAGCGAATCTAATCTGGCCACCACTCTAATCAGAACTTGGGCTCAAGTGTGGCCTATGATAGTGCCCCTGCTGACTCAGAGCCGCATCCCATCGCAGCCTATATTTACTCCAAGAAGGCGGGGTAAGAGGGATTGAAAGCTCTCAATAGCGTGCAGCCTTATGGTCGAGGAATACCCTAGCGTCGCGACTATCTAGGACTAGAAAAGCATCGTTACAACTTCTGCCTTTGCAGGGCACCTCTGTGCGCCGTTGCTGCAATAGTCTGCAAGAACCTACGAGAAGCAAGAGATATTGAATCAGGCTGACTGTCTAACATTGCCTTGCTTGCAAGACAAGAGGTGGACGCCTGCAGTGTTTACGACTATAAGGTTCGTGAGCGTTTGACCTCGTTTTTACCAGTTCACATCCTCGAGTAAACTTCTACACCGCCGCCTTCAACTTCACCACACGAATCGCCTCACGAAACGTTTGTGAAAATATATTCGGATTTGACCACCGATTGAGATATACATCTCTGCCACTCGATCATCGATGAGTGATCCACAAAGCGCGGAATCAACTCCAAAGATTCCTCCTCTCCCTCCACCAGCGAACATCAAGCTTTCAGAAACTTCGAGCTCATCACCTGTCACCCTACCAACACCTTCAGTATTATCGGAGTTAGATCATATCTCTCTTGACGGCACCTCCAGCATGGGTGCAAGCCAAGATCAAGTCGAGATTCAGAAGGCCGAGGTTCCGCCACCGAAGGTGGAACAAGAGACAGCAGTTGCGCCACCACTGCCAATTCCCCAAGTCCCCGACACGACCACCGGCGACTCTAAGGCTGACTCTTCTACAAAGAAGACTAAGTCAGAGAAGACCAAGCAAGGCAAGAAGAAGACCAAGAAATCCAAGAGCAAGAACATCGATTCATCCGCTTCCGATAGCGATGCAGACAGCGAGTCGGAAGATAGCACTGATGACGAGAAAGAGAACCGCAAGAAGAAGCGGAAAGAGGTGGCTAAGAAGACAGCAGTGAAAAAGAAGGCGACGAAAGGGAGAGCCGGTAAGAGTAAGAGTAAGAGCAAAAGCAAGAGCAAAAGCAAGAAGAAGGGCAGGAAAGTAGACTTGAGTGATCACTCCAGCGATAACTCATCAAGCGACTCCTCGGACTCAGACGCCGACTCCAGTTCAAATTCGGACTCGGAAGATACGAAGAAGAAGAGCCGACGCAAGGCTGCGAAGGCAAAAGCCAAAGCCAAGTCCAAGAAGCAGAAGAAGACCAAAAAAATCGAGAGCTCGACTGACGGTAGTGACTCGTCCTCATCATCCTGCTCCTCCAGCTCTTCCAGCAGCGACTCTGCCACTGATTTTGACGATGTGAAGGCCAAGCGCAAACGTGCCACAGCTAAACGCAAAGTCAGGCAACTCGTGGAAGATGATGGCTCTGCATCTGAGGGTCCGGTGACAGTCCATACTAGTGACAGCAGTGCTCCACCTCTTCCCCACGATGACATCAATACCCAGGTGACGAAGGTGAATGCAATCCTCCAAAACCTCAAGATGCAACAACTCGCCGCAGTGACTGCCGCAACTGCTGGTATCACTCCGCCAATCCCGAAGGCACCAGTCAAGAAGAATACGCACGAGTTCAAGCGCGTCGATCAAGTCTGGGACACCAAACTCCGTGACTACAAGCTCATTGAGAGCACGGCCGAGCAAAAGGATGAGTTTGAGTGTGTCTTCACTGTGCGCCGACGCTTCAACTGGGAAGGCAAACTCGGTGAGACACTCGTAGACATCAAGTCCAAAGCATTGAGGGGCGTTTTGCAAGTCGTCCTGAAGGAGTGCAAATGTGTCAGTCTCGTTGAAGACATACCTGAGATCGACCCACATATCCTGTATCACTATTACGACGAAATCAAGAAGTACGCGAGGAAGACATTGAAGCCAAAGCTCAAGCGTGCCAAGAAGGCGAAAGACCAGAAGCAACTTGCACAGGAGGTTGCCCAATGTAAGTTGCTCTTGGGATACATCGACAAGGACTTCGCTGCGACTAGAAAGGCTCTAAAGCCGTTGCTGAAAGCAGGCACCATCACTTATGACCTAACCTGGGCGCTGTTCAAGCCGAACATCATTGTGTACACTCCTACATACGGCAATAAAGAGGACCCGAGGTGTTTTAGGGTCGAACAGTGTTCTGAGTATGAGAGCTGGCTGAGCGGCGCCAAGTCTTGCTGCATCGATGGCAAATACCTCGAGTATGACGGTCAGACGTTTGGGCTTGGCGATCACCAGGCCGAGATCAAGTCTTTCAAGGGTCACAAGAAGATCACCAGCATGGTCGCATACCCACTGAAGTATCACAAAGACCCTAAGGTAAGCTCATCCCAATGAACCTTTCCAACCTCACACTGCTAACTGACCAAACAGGGTATCAGAGCACTCTTGATAGAGCGAGGCAAGAAGTTCATTGCACTCCAGGGTATGAACTATCGCTTGCAGAAGGGCATCGCCTACCAAAAGGTGAAGAACATGATCGCTAAGTATAATATTAACGGCCGTATTATGGTTGATCCTGCAATCTTCCGCCGCATACAGCCAAATTATCCTCTCTCCTACATCAAGCCGGACGAGTTGAATCGAGAAGATGAGGAGGCTGAGGATGCGATGAGCGACGATTGCTGTTGTTCAAGTGAGGAAGATGATGGCCTGTCAGAGAGCGAGAAGCCTGAAAAAGACCCAATGCGTGTTGTCATGTGGAAAGACAGCAAGGGTAAGAAGCATCTTCTTCAGGTGCCCCAGAGCATGATCGATGCCGAAAACGGTGTCGGTAACAACGAGACCACCAAACTCGAGATTGACGACGAGGGCAATATGGCCAACCACATCTTCACTGAAGAGGAACTGTTGATCGCTTCTCCTGTCGTCTTGGGCTTCGCGTTCTCCGAGAAGCTATGGCTCGAGTTCTCACTCTCTGGTATAGAGGACATCCAATGGAACGCCGAAGCATTCGGCTCACTAGTTTTACCGGACAAAATCAAGTCCAACCTTAAGGGCCTTGTCTCTTCCCATCGTTTCAACGCCGCCCGCACCATTGACGATGTCATCCAAGGCAAAGGCAAGGGTCTCAATGTTGTACTGCACGGCCCACCAGGAGTCGGCAAGACACTCACCGGCGAGTCGATCGCAGAGTACCTCAAGTGCCCTCTCTACGCCGTCTCAGCTGGCGAACTTGGTACCAACTCCGGCAGCCTCGAACGCGACCTAAACCGCATCATGGACATCACGCACTCATGGGGTGCGATCCTGCTTCTCGACGAAGCCGACGTATTCCTCGAGGCGCGCATGCCGCACGATATCCACCGTAACAGTCTCGTCTCGGTCTTCCTGCGTCTTACGGAGTACTACCAGGGCATTTTATTCTTGACTACCAATCGCGTCGAGACTTTCGATGAGGCCTTCCAGAGCAGGATCCACATGGGCATCCGCTACGAAAGCCTCAAACCTGCGGCGAGGAAGAGGATCTGGCAGCACCACATCGGTAAGGTGGAGAAGATGGCTGTTACCGAGAGCAAAAATAGGGAGGGCGATCAGAATGTGAAGACTTTCACAGAAGATGACTTCAATGAGTTGGCGAAGAGGAACCTGAACGGTCGACAGGTATGTGCTCTCTTATGAGGGGGTATTTGGATTCCGCTGATATGTTGTGTAGATCAAGAACACGGTCAAGACTGGCCAATCTATCGCGCTGTCGGAAGAAGTGGCGTTTAGTATGGAGCATCTCAAGCGTGTGCTTGAGGTTGCTCAGGCTTTCGAGGACGATATGCGTGGTGGGAAGGGTTATCGCGATGCCATGCAGCACTACACCTAAGTTGGGCACAAACTCCGAAGGGAACCGGGCTTTAATACCCATGCCAATTCGATTCTCCTACAATGCTCGGGCACATGTCGACTATACTCAGCGGTGAAAAAGTGCGAGGCTGATGGATAGTTTTGGGAGAAATTGAAGAGGTGGGGACTTGAGAAATGAAAAGCATCAAGACTGTGCTAGACAACGGCCGATTACACGGGTATGTGCGTCTCCTACAAGTGGTAAGGACTCCCATCTCAGGCAATGCATACGTTAGGGAAGAATTATAGAGGCAGGGCAGCACGTGATCAAGAGAATTGCCCCAGAGGCTACGTTTTTGGAGCTCCTCTTGGTCTGCCGGTGATGACGCTGAACACGTATGCGCTTCGCCCTTGCCCATGCTGTCTTCTTTACCAAGGGCCTGTCATCCACATGTCACGTCCTCGTCATCTACGTCTGCTCTTCCCTTTCCGCTACTATAATCTCACGGCACGCTCCTCCTTCTGCAACGTGACCCAGGGACACAGGTTTCACCTTCGATTCCTGTTCCTTAACACCTAGTGTGACATGCGCTAGCGGCTGACGACCCATCGGCACTGTTCTAGACTCTCACTACATCCGCCTTGGCGGTGGCTGGGTCTCCCCGCGAAAATCCCCGCTCAATCCTTCGGAAACCTTCTGGGGGCTCCTGGAAACATTACCTCACTTATTCCCGTCAGCATTGTACAGCGCCCTCGCGTCACATCCATGCAGCACCAGTTAGACTGTCATTGATATCGTATCTGTCAGCATCCCCGAAGCCACAAGGTGTTGAGAACGGCCGCGTGTGCCGAGCGCATGGCCATGAAAGAGGAGGCTGTCTATCCCTCAACAAGTCCCGAGGCTGCATCCAACTCTTTAACGCCCGGCGATCCACCGCCCAAGAAGAGGCAGAAGAGAAACAAACCAACTCTAAGCTGCGAAGAATGTGTTGAGCGCAAAACAAAGGTACGTCCCTGTCCCTGCATTGAGCATTGCTCTTGCTCGTGCCCTGGGGATACGTGCGTCATGACTTCAGCCGAGCGCGAATCTGACGCTGCAGCGCAGTGTGATCGTACCCGGCCTCATTGTCTGGCGTGCATCAAACGGCAGTCGACATGCAAGTACTCGGACATTGCGAATCTGATCGCAACATCTGCAGACGGGTGAGTCTCAGCGCTCGTACAACGACTCGTGCGCCCGTTGCTAAGCAATTCCACAGCGTTGGCACCGCGCGTAATCCGGGACGATCCAGGAAGCAGCAGCAGAAGCCCACACAACTCCAGCTTGGCAGCGACACGAAGCAGCATCCACTCCCTGTTCAGGTAATTATCCGTTCTTTATTCCCGCACGGTTGTTCCTGTCAGCCCCGTGCGAACGGGTGTTCATGTGCCCTTCGGCTCCACACGGATGGGTGATGCGCAGATGCACAGACCAATATGTCGGCAATGGGCCAATGGCTGACCCACATGGCAGCATCTTGCTCAGGTAGCGACCCCTGTAAGGTCAAACTATCGCAGTACATCGCAGTCTTCAACTGGATCATCGCCATTCTTACTGTCCAATGTGCCGTTCTCAAGTAGAGCCCCACACCCTTTCTTCGGCTTAGGCTCTGAGCATCCCTTCGCCAACTACTGGACCAGTCGCGGTGGACTCGCTGAGGTCGTGGGTGTGTTGCCAGCAAAAGAGCAGGCTGACATCCTTGTTGACAAGTACTTCGATGCCGTCGATCCTGTGTATCCTATGATACACCGACGGAACTTCTATGCCGACTATGAGCGCTTCTGGGCGATGTCGCCGGAGGAGAAGCAGAAAGCCGATCCGGTGACGGTTGCTCTGCACTTCGTCGTGTATGCCATGGGGACACAGTTCATTCATACGCCGTCAAATGCAGAAAGGGCACAAATCGCCGAGTTCTACGTATCAGCAGCACAGCAAGCGCTGAGGTTGTCGTCGTACCTGAGCAGAGCTTCAGTCAGGACATTACAGGCCATGGTCCTCATAGGGTACTTCCTCATGAACGATAACCACGCTTCCGACGCCTGGGCATTTGGCGGCGTCCTAGTACGGCAAGCCTACGCTATGGGCCTACACCGCGACCCAGACGTCATAGCATCCCGCTGTTCACGCAGCGACAAGCAACAACGGCGCAAACTCTGGCAAGCCATTTTCTTCCAAGACACATTCCTGACTGTACTTCTTAAACTGCCCCCGACAACCACCTTCTCCGACGTGCGCCCCGAATCCCTCGACGACTCTCTCGATGACTATGCCATGCCCAACGGCTCTTCCAACAGCTCGACCCACCCGGTCCTCAACCCCATGAGCATAACACACATTGCGCAACTTAAAGACGTGTATCCGCCCTACGAGCTTGCAGACCGCCGCTACATTCGCTCAATGTGGCACATGGCCAACCTCGTCTCGCGCACAGTTTGCACACCACGCTCACTTTCAACCCCGCTCACAACGTCTCTCGCGCACAAGAGCCAACTAATCGAAGAATACTTTGCTCTTCACCGTTCCTTCCCGACCGAATTGACTGCCTCGAGCGATGCTACGATCGCCAAACTGGCCGACACGAGTCCGCGCAGTTTACGACAGAATCTGTTCTTCCGCAGCAACTTCTGGCACTGCGTCATGGTGATTCAATCCGACGAGAACCCGGCTGAGGGGTATATGTGCGAAGTGAAGGGGTGTCTTGAGGCGGCGAGAATGGCGGTGCAGAGTTTCCTCCATTTCTGGCAGCATCTGAGGGTCGATGCGGGTGTGTGGTGGGTTTTCCAACACCGGGCTTTCGAGGAGGCTGTAAGTTCCCCACTCTGTTCTGTGTGATGATGATGTGGGGTTGGATGGGTGCTAACGTGAGGCAGCTTCTGATCGCGAGGATTCTAGGACAGCAGGAACAGCCCCTCAGTCCGGGACATAATGGCCCGCCGAGTACAGATCCACTGCTTATGGCAGCGAAGGAGGATGCGAGGAAGTGCCTGGAGATCCTGGATCTGGTAGGAATTGCGCCCGAGATGCAGAAGACGAGGACAGAGGTTCTGAGGACCGCGTTTGCGGATATCCTGTGGTGATCAAGTTAGGGTATTGATTAGAAGGGCGGGGAATGATTTGCTGGGTTCGAGCGATATCGATAAATTTATTTAAGCTTAGTTGATTAATACACACTTGAATACTGTACAGGCCGTCCTGGGTCACGATTCATAATTTTTTTTAGCAATATAGGTCTGACCACATGATTTTAGTTCGATCAGGCTGAGCAAAGTCTCCCGTCCGACCAACAAAGGCCCCAGACAGCTTGGGTGCTGCTAACATACTTTCACGCCGAGGCTGGATAGCATTGATCAGACGGCGCAACCCTTCAATTCCTCGGAATGGAAATGGAGATGGCATCCATCCCTAAACAAATTGCAAGAGTCTGCTCTCCAAAGCCCATGTTCTGAGTTAGTGCTTTAATACTCAAACTTGAAATCCAGTGAGATCAAGATTGCCTCCCAGGGCCCCAACTGGCGCCGGCTCGAACAGCTTTGAAGTTTTCACTGCTACGAGCTTCTCTGATTTCCCCGCGTTCGCTGTCAGGGACAATCGGCCTACTTGCTACACGTGCTACACTTCGCACGCTCGGCCTTGTGAGACTCAAGCCTCCCATGAACTACAAGCTCCTGTTAGCTAGGTTATGTAATTGCTTTGTATATATACGTGTCATCTTATCAATAACTAGACAGTAGTCTTCACAACAGATCACTGGAGTACTTGTTCGCCCGCTTGCCACACTCCTTGTGCCAAAATCCTTTATTACAGCTCAACATCCCCCGTCGCAGCACCATTGCACCCTTATACCAGCAACAGCCCCTACTACAATTCCGAGTCGTATTCTCCTTCACAGTTTGTGTTCAATCTCTCATCATAACAACTTGCTCAAATTCCATCTTTAGTACGATCTTCGCACTATCGTGCACTGCGACGCTTGCTTATTCTAGCAGTGGAGTGCGCTCCTCGCATTATCTACCTTGAAGTGCAAAAGCCTCTAGTCAAGCACTCGATTCGAGACTTAAGTGTTCTAATGATCTGTCAACTCGCACTCAAGTCCATTTTCTCACAATCTCCTAGCTCGAACTGCCTGCAATATTGCATCTTGCTTTGCCTTACCACGACCGGACATTCATCCTCGATATCGCACTTTAACTTCGATTCCGACTTCGACAATCGATAAACAAGATGTGATTCTGGCGTTGGTATTCAGCTTGATAGCGACGGTCATCGCACCGCCTTTGTTGTCGGTCGGGGTGCTGCAACTTTCCAACATGCGACAAGCCCAGACTCGCCTACCGGTATCGGCTATTGTTCTGCGAAAGACTCCAGCAATGATGCTGCGTGTAACAGCAAGTTTTTGGCGGATGCGGTGAAATTGTTGCAGCATGATCTTGACGATCGAAATGCTAACTTTAGGTACATCAAGTTGCCCATAGTGTCGCATATGTAATTAGCGGTGCGCATCTTGAGTGACTGTCATCGACTCTCTTCCATATTTTTTAGTGTTTACAGCAATTCAGGTGCCTTTTTTTTGAAAATTTTGTTTCTTACAACGACTGTCTAATCCGACAGTGACGGATAACGAATACGAGGTTTCCTAACGTTCCTCATGAGGTAGTTGATGGTAGGACCGAGGATCAGGCTGTGAACATGGGCCTTGATTAAAACAAGGTTGATTCCTGGTTCTGGACCATGCATGCCAGCGCGAATCAGAAGAACTGTGGCGCACACCGACGCAGGTCATCTGGGCTTAACCAACCCCACTAACAACTCCTTTTACTATTTCACCGTTTGTCCACAATTTGGCGCGCTTACTTCAAATCTGAAATCGGTCAGCTTTCGAGCATTTCGGTATTTCAGATTTTTTTCTGCTCATATGAACGTACGAGCTTGAGTCCGCTACCTTCTCCCTTACACACATCATTCGCCATCAAGTTTTTGATTGTTTTGATGTCATTGTCGCCTTTCGATCATGGGTGCAGAAATCCCGGAGGCAGGTAGCACGATGGTGTTCGGCATTATCGGAACCCTGATCGCTGTATCTACCTTACTAGTCGCTTCCCTGCAATACACGATCAAGGACTAGACATTTTATCTACGAGTTGGCATGAAATCAAGTCTGTCTTGGTCAGCATCAGTCTTCCCTTCTGATGGAAGTCGACCAAACAATTTGTCACGGTTAAGACGAACTTACTCAAGGGAGTAAAAGCTTGACCTTTTGCTCCGCGACGCAATTCGTGTAGGGCGACACTGCGCTGGATCCATGCAAGATTGTACCATTCGTAGGCACATCCCTGACAACAATGGCATCCTGCTTGTTCCTGACTGAACATCTCGCGTGCCTTTTGTGAGCAGTCCAAATGCCATTTTCTTCGAGCACAAATGAGGACCTTTGTTCTGATTGGCTGACCTTCAATTAGCCTTGTCTCGGAAACCGCGCTAGAGCTGAGCGCTTTCCAGAACTTCCGGAGGCAGGGGCGCGTTGCATCTACTTCCTCATCACTCCCATCATAGATATCCTTCTTGTTAGCATTGCAATTTTCTATTGCGATTTAAATGTACTGAAAAGTTTTATATCTCAGGGCCCTCTGCAAGAACGTGGTCGCAACCGCAGGCGTTGCGTTGTGCGGCGATTCAATGATCTCCCGCACCGATGTCACCCAATAATAACCTTTACGACCCGGACCAAGCTGCTCTGAATACGCGTTGGATACAGCCATGGAGCGAGGCTTTCAGGGTGCGTTGTATTGTGATCTGGAGTACAGCCTGAGCATTCAGTCAGCTAACGTGCCACAGGCGCAACGTGATGTTGGCCTTCGAGTTCCTATCGATTTTCACACCTCAGCAGCAGTCTCTTTGACGCAGGCCTGCTTTGTTAACAATCAATTTGAACACAATGCATTCATGAAGTGTTTCTCGAACCTTCTTGGTGTTGGTATTCCACGCTTCGAAGTCAATGTCTACTGGGACGCGCTGCGCTCCGTGTGGAGCCTGTGTCCTGTCCAGCTTCCAAAGGATGAGGGTGAAGTACAAAACGACGCACCAGTAGTGTCTGGCCCCACTATATCAGTATCTACGGGTACTGCGAATGCTAGGGTGCCAGAGACTACCGCAACGATGCCTCAGGTCTTGAGGGTTCGACAAGATAGTTCTATGCTCAGCGTGGTCGCGTCAGTGTCCCCGCCAGTAGCAGACCAAACTTCATCTAGCGCTCCGGCTGCGACGAGTGCGACCGCGCAAGCGACTGTCATCAGCTTTCCGACTGTGGACGGTCCGCCACTTCTGCAAATTGGTCGCTACAACTGCACGTCACAGACGACCTTTGGTCTGTTGACAGGCTTGCTAGAAGACTTTCTTCAAGAAACAGCGACTACCACTGGTGCAGCCATCTCGTTTCTGAACCTAAATATTTATGCTGCTGCTACGTTGTCAGACCCAGACGGTCCCGCGCCGCGGCTCACCTCTGACCAGTTACCACAATCTGGCGATACGTTGAGCCAGGTTGTCAATGGCAATCTGTCTCACATCTTGTATTCTGCCAGCAACTTAGCCGATCAGCGCAGGAATTTGAACAGTTCTTGGTACAATGTGGAATGGGAAAATCTCCCTGCACATGGCTACTACCAGACCTCGAAAAATTCCGCAGGAAACATAGTCACAGAAAGTGGTTGGCCAACAGAAGCATTGATGGAGTTTCAAGAGTTCAAGAGAGTCATCGTCAGCTTCGGCACTGTTGATGAATCAATGGCGGCATACAACATCACCGACGACTTCCAAGACATCTTTCCACCGGACACCATTACCAGGGAGCGACAGGCCTTGTTTGCCACCACAGGAGAGCAAATTTCCGGATGTTTTTTCCCATCATCTGACGTAAAGGTCACATCACAAACCAACTCATCGTTTGCACGTGCATCGCCCCCATCAATCGGTATCGATGCGAATCCTGACCTCAATGCCTCAATAGCATCAGTCGCGAACTTGACGCGATGTGGCATCATTCCATTTCTTAATCAGAGTCTAGCAGGCACAACGGCCGATAAGAATCCCTTACCATACGCTGCCTACGTGCATTCGACGCTCTGGTCGTGGGCTCCGGGTCAACCCTTGAACGTTACCCAAGGCAGTTCGACGGACAATCGTTGTGCCGTTATGACCAACTCGCCTCATTCCGGCCGATGGGAAGTTGCAGACTGTGCCAACCGCTACCGTGCAGCCTGTCAAAACCCGCAGGAGCCATACTTCTGGGAGGTCTCCTCAGACACCTCCGACTTCAGCAACGCCGAGGCTCTGTGTCGATCGCCGCTGCAGTTCGCTGTTCCGCACACTGCTCTCCAGAACGCACATTTACACGCTGTCTTGCAAAGATCAAGCGAGCCGGACCAGCCTATCTACGTTAATCTCAATCAGCTCGGTACTGCGGATTGCTGGGTCATTGGCATCAACGGCACATGTCCGTACCTACAGTCTACCGACACAAATCGAACTCGTATCGTTGTCATTCCTACTGTCGCTGCTGTCATCATTTTCCTTTGTGCGGCTTTAACATTCTTCATCAAATGCGCATCCAATCGACGGGAAGACAGACGCGGAAGAGGGAGAAAGATGGCTGGCGGATGGGTATATGAGGGTGTGCCTAGTTAGACGGTCACGTTAAGAACGACACCATCACAGGCTAGAGTGTTTGCTAAGGTCTTGTAGTGCATAAAATTGACAATATTCCTACACAAAAGAGACACAGTACGTACTTGCCCTTACCAAGTATCGAGAGGCAAGTAAAACGCACCATTGTCGATGTTCAGGTCCAGATCTATGCTAAATTGTTTGAAGATGGGCTCAACGGGCAGGAAGAGCTGATCCTCATAGTTGATGTTGCTGTCTAGAGGCATCAACTTTCAATCGAAGTCAGGCTCGTGAGGCAGACAGAGCTCATCCTCGTAATCGATGTCAGAAGTGCGGGTGTTATCGACGTCGAAGTACGGCTCATGTGCATCATCCAGATGGGCCCGGTAGTAGAAGATGTAAGGGTTACGTGCCTGAGGAAAGCCCGGCGTGGCGAGGTATGCGCTACGCTTATCTGCATCGCCCTCAGGGTATGATTGCCAGCACGCTACCCACTAGGTACTGGACATTCTGTACCGCGCGATGTACCGCTTGATCTGTTGCGGACAAGCCCCACTTCTTGAAGACCTTTCGAGCCTAAACGCGCGCATCGAAGTCTTGGCTCATCACATCCACATACCGCTGATAGAAGAGGATGTCGTCTAGATGCTTGTAGAAGCGGGCTTAAAGGCTCTCAGCTGCTCACACAGCTGCTAGATCTGCTCCGCGGTCATTGATGTCTGCCAGCCGACTCCATCTGACGTGTCACCGGCAAGACGCTTCAGTTACTTCGTACGTGGTGGTAATCGCGCCTTACTTCGTGATGTGCCTGACGAATTTTTGGTATTGCGCTCTGTAGTAAGCCTGAAGAGACTTCGACACGGTGTTGACTGTGGATCCATTAGCAACATCCTCGACAGCCGCGACGTACTGCTCCTCGTGGTACTTCTGAGCCTGTTCTTCACGATCGTACAAGAACAATGCCATCATTTCGGGGAATTGCTCTCGCACTGGGAGCGGCCAATACTGCTTTGGGCGGATATCGTGGACAGCTTGCATGGCCTTATGCTCCACCAAGTTATAGAAGAGGTCTTCATAAGAGCTCGTCAGAGGAGGTCGGACCTTCTGCAAATGATCACGACGATCCAACAAGCCGACCGTCCATTACCTATGGCAAGCGAGCTCTCTGAGCCGGCTCTACCAACGCTCGTTATCACTCTGCCACCAGCTGCTCTGAGCACCTTCAGGGGCATGACGGCGCTTCTGGTGGCAATTCGAAAGATCCGACTGCACGCCACAGGAGGACGCCATGATCGGCATCAGCTCAAAGGCTCCGACTCCAGCTTGAGACGTTAAACTCAGCAGGACTATGTTTCGGTCTTGAATGTAGAGTTGTTGCAGATGTCTTCGATTTCGACTCATGCGCATCGATGAACCTGTTGCCCTTGATCAAGACTACCGGTTGCAGCCCTGCCACGCGGCTTCTCACATGCTTGTCGGCAGAGTCTTCATATTCCTCTCACCAAGGAAACGTCGTGTCTTATCACAAAATGCGCTGGGATGCAGAATTTAAACGCATAATTAGTGCCACGAGTTAAGTCATATTCGGCCCGCTATAAACGGCCCGAACCCTTACACCGCTATCTTGGGTGGCTGATGACTTGGCAGGCATTCGGCAACAACCTAATCATAAGACAGTGAAGTTTTTGAGCGAGCGGCACTATATGGCCCAATAAGGAGAATAATATTTGCGAAACAAGAGTAAGCAACGCGTGGCCCATATGTAGGTTTAGATCCGCTGCGCGAAGACTCTTTGCACCACACCTTTGCAGCTGAACGACTCATACGCATCCCCACATCCCCACACAGTCGATCATTACTACACTCAACATGGCCTAGACTGCCACTTTGTAGTCCGCTTTCAAATTTGACGAATTGTTGAAACCAATCAAACATTGTTGAGCTGTGCATTTCAGCCGGTTGCGGCATGATTGCCATGGGCTTCGTCATCTTGTGATTGGCAAACGCTGCTGATGCACGGGCAGGGCCGATGCAAGTCACAGGAAATAAGTGTATTTTTTAGATCGACGTGTGCCCATGTCTCTACTTCTGAGATACTCTACGACACAGCGACATCGAAAGGACCCCTTTCCTTCTAGAAAATTTCCGAGACCCACACCACGACCGCTACATATCCCACTCTCAAGGTCTCCCGCACACTACACCACAACCACAGTCAAGATGTCAGGCGTCATATGCACGTGGGCTGCCAATATTCCCGAATCCTCCGAGCAATGGTACGAGGACGAGTACATAACATTAATGGCATCTAAGCTTGCGCAGCATGCCCTGCACTGCGAGCTCGTTGAAGTTGGACTAGATAACGAAGTTGACGGGGTCGGAGAACGAGAGGCGTCATGGAAACTGCTTACCGTCTACGAAATGGACAATGCAGACCAGGCAACGGACTCAACATACGACAAGAGCAATCACATAGATATGACGGGACCAATGTCGAATGCGAGATTTGATGTCAGGACTTATGAGGAGGTCAAGAGGTGGCAGCAAGTCGACTGGGATGGTAGTACGTGAATTGAGGCTCTTCACTCAAGTCCCGACGTTAACAAGAGCATAGATCACGCGGACATCGTCAGTGTAGCCGTTATGGAGTGGCAAGTCGCAGAGGGCGATGAGAAGGAAATCCTGGACTTCTACCAAACGGTGGCCGCTCCCACGATTGCATCGTCTCCGGATTGCCTGCGATTCCGCATGTTCAAGATCAAGAATGCGACAGTACTGAAAGCAGGCTCGTACGAGACACTGGAGAAGGAGAAACTGCACACGTATCTCACATTAGCGGAGCTCGAGACAGAAGAGTGGCCTTGGGACGTCGTCATCGCGCTCGGTGAGAAGCCGAAATGGAGAGAATACTTCGAGGGACAGAAGTTTGTGGTAAGTGAGCTGGCTTTGCGCTTTCCGCGATAGTAGCTAACAGGACACAGAGGTGGCAGAGCAGCCACTACCTCGTGAAGCGGAGTTATCCTGAGGATGTCGACGATTGATTTGGGATGAGCATACCCGCGAGCGTTGCCAGTGCTTACTCTACCATGAGCAGCGCTTGAAGCCTAATCACGGTCATGTGTTGAACCTTTGCGATATCAACTTGGTTCTCTCACTTTCTGCAGCAGCCAACTTCAACTTGGAGGTTCCAGTCGCCAATATACCAACTTCCTCGAGCCATTTGTGCATCTTCTCTTTCTTCCTCGTCCTCTTACTCACTCGTACGTTTGAAAGCTACGCAGCCACTAACTTCATACCGTGTCCCAGCCTCTCGTCTTGTAGCGCGCGATGAAGCTGAATCCATGGAGCGCGAAGACGAGAGTGACGACAATCTACCACGCGAACTTGAGCACAACCGATGCTCCGACCTTGAGGTTATGAGTGAGGACCTCGCCGCAGTGGTGGATCCCGTTGTACACTTGCTCGAGGAGCTCGGAGATAATATCATGAGCTCACTAAGCTTCATCATGGCGTAGCAGGAACGACCAAAGGCCAATATCAAGACCTGAATAAGGGAGGACTTGAAGGAGAACATTCAGGGACCGAAAGACGTCCTCAGAAGCGAGATCATGGCTCAGGCTGTTGAGCAGGTGAGGGCGGAGATCGAGCTGCAAATTGAGCAGGAGCTAGAGAAAGAGTGTGGTAGACGCTAAACAGACTGTCAGCGGCACTCGATCAGAGAAAAGTGAAGCTTCAGGGAGGGCAGGATGCGCGGACAAACTCAAGCTAATTTCGGTCTTCTCATGAGCAGAGAGCTAAGATACTGTATGAGTCGCGCATCTTCGACATGCGGGGAAAATTTACAGCGACTTCGCAGGAATGATATTGTATCATTGCTCAACCACACCCCATATTGGCACGGCCCAAGTATCAAGGGCTCCACCACACAACTTGTGCCTGGTTCCCCCATGTCTTAAATGTGCAGGGACTCGTCGCTTACAGCTTGGCCTTTAGCGCGAAGCTCTTCTCCACCGCCTTCTTTCCCGCTGAGCTCACATCCTCATCCTGCGCCGGCGTCCCTGTGCTACACCCAACAGCACCGACTACAACTCCATCCAAAACAATCGGCAAACCACCGCCAATTGTGTTAAATCTGCCGCCATTTGTGTGATTGATTCCGTACGCTGGGCCACCAGGCCAGACATTCTCTTTGTATACTGATGTAGGTATCTTGTGACCTGCAGCGGTGAATGCCTTATCAATTGCGATGTTGATTGATGTGAGCTTCGCGCCTTCCATGCGGGCGAAGTTGAGAAGGTGCGTTGCGTGGTCGACGATTGCGATGTTCATGGGGACGCCGATTTCTTTGGCGCGTTGTTCGGCGGCGGCCAGCGCGATGCGCGCGCCCTCGAGCGTGAGTGTGGGGATCGTTTTCGTTGTCATTATGATAAGCTGATGGTGGATTTTTGACTGATGTGTCGCAAGTAAAGCGAAGTTCTACATGGTTGATAGAGTGTAAGTAGTATCGGATACTGCAATATGTGGAGACGGCTCGGTCGACAGGGATGACGTATCAGTGCATCGGCGAACTAGCCGCCATCAACATCGACGCGCTACGGGCATCTTTCCGCTTTCTGTTCATCGTCTTCCCATCTTTCTATATGGGTAAAAATGCACGAAAGCCTGGAACTTCTCTGTTAAGAAAAACTCACATAACGTGTTTTATAAGCGAGTGCGCATTACAAGCGAATGCGCACTCTACCAACTTTGTGCACCTCTATATGCAAACATCTTAACCACGTTAAGAGACGACATAACGTGTTTTACAAGCGAGCGCCGCGTACAAGCGAGCGCCGCACCCTACCAAACTTGCGCACCTCAAAGCCCTGCAACTCAACAACGTGATAATGCAATATACAGGTAATTATGGAGTAGACTAAGTAATACTCTAGGTATCCTTTTTACACGTACGTGAGTTATGGCCAGTCTCTCTGGACCTCTTGCAGCGTGCCAGAGCCTGGCGGCTGAGGCCTAATTGCTCACCTCCTTGACGCTCTTCATGAGCAATCTGCTGATCAGCCTCACGTTGAGCGAGTAGATCCTCTCTAGCTCCCTTTGTTAAGACCCCACGCTGCTGTATACGCTTTTTCTTACGCTGTTTACGCGCTAACGCTGCCTCATTAGCCTTCTCAAGGCTGGTAATCTGATCGCGCATTAGCTCAGCTGAGAGCATCATTACCTCAGCGCCCTTCTTGAGTTGGTTAATCGACTCAATAATTGAGGCAGGCAAGGAGCTCTTATGCCGCCGCACGCGATCACGTATCAATGTTGATTGAGCCTCAAGCTTGCGTACATTGCTTGGTGTACAAGCCTCCCAGAGGCCTCTGGCAGAGCAACTAGAGTAGGCGTACGCAGCTGCACATCAAGCTTTGATAGAACAGCGTCTGGCTGGAGAGGGATAAGGCCTACACCTTGAAAGGCTGAGCAGATATTAGCTGACGTGAACAACTGCTCAAAGGCTGCCTTAAAGGCTGGCAGAAACTTAAGCTTTGTAATATGGTTAATGTAGTAGCAGATTAGAGCCTTAATCTCACAGCTGTACGCGCGCTTCAGCACTAAGAAGCAGACCACGTTAAGTGGCTGTAGCAGATGCGACAAACAAGGCGGCATGCAGAGCGTGTAGATGTTGTTCTCCTTGCAGAGCTCTTGAAATTTAAGAGACTAGTGGCTCTTGTAGCTATTAAGGATAAGCAGCTAATATGCTCTAACTACCTTGCCCTCTGTATGCTTGATAAAGTGCCTTAGCTACTTAACTCTAAGCTTGTTAGTTGTCTAGCTGTTGTTGCTAACAGTAATAGCCTAACTTTATAGTATATCCTCCTTATACTAGGCAGACAGATAGTGCTGGCTAGCAAAGATAATAAACAGTGGGATTACCTAGCTAGCAGCGTTAATTCCTTAGATTACTGTCGCGGCCATAAACTAGCCTAACACGTTTGTTAAACGCCGCCCTAATCTCTAAGTAAGGTTTAATTGTAAGTATAACTACAAGCAAGCCCTCTGTGAGGATTAAGAGATTATACAAGGCTGGTTCTGCCTTATAGAGAATACTAAAGCTAAGTTAAGTATAGTATCTAGGACAACAACATGTACAACTTTAATAAGACAGGCTTTATAATAGGTTAGATATTAATAGAAGTAGTTGTTACAGGCTTAGAGCGTTAAGGATGGCTAAAAGTAGTGCAGCAGGGCAACTAGGAGTGGATAACAGTTATACAGGGCATTAATGCCACAGGGTGGGCTATTCCACCCTTCATCATCTTTAAAGGCCGCAACCACCTCTCTGCCTAGTATAAAGAGGACAACCTGCCACATGACTGGGTTATTGGAGTCTCTAAGAACGGCTGGACCACAAATAAGCTTGGTCTGGACTACCGGTACAATCGGCAACACTTCACTGTTTTTGGCTAAAATTCTGGAATTTTTCACAGTACTTCCCTATGAAATACTACTTGGGACACAGATAAACGACATACACTCGACTCTTGATACTGGAAGTCATTCAACAGCAATCTTTTGTGTCTGATGCCATGCTAGCAGCGTCATTAGCTGATTGCTGTTGCCGCTCAGCGAGAAATCGCAAATCAGCTGCCCACCGCAACGGAGGCAGGCCCAAGTGATCGCGAGTTGCTAGATACTCGTTCTGCTCTTTGGTAGATCTTGCTAATATCAAGTCGGGATTGCAATCGAAGTGAAGAACCCAGCCCGCAGACATGGTTCGAAGCCCGTTCTGTTCCGCGGATCTCCGCCACATCCTCTGGCGATCAAGTCCAATTCCAAAGATATACCGCAGGCGAACATTATCCACTGTTCCAATGGCCATACTTGCCACAATCCTTTCATTGCCCTTCCGAAGTAGATACGGCTTAAGACGATAGTGCTCCGTGAGTACAAGGCTTACCCTACCATCTAAATAAGCTTCAGTGTCTCATCAAGCATGGATGTTGTGAACAAACTGACCTGTAATAACTGGCGACGCTCTGGGAGCAATGAGGCGCAAAGCACGCGGGTCCAGGCTCCCGGGATCAGTCGATCTTTGTGAATTCATAACGTGTAGTAAGGAAAAAGCCTGGTTGACTAGAACGTATGGGAAGATGTTGGTACGGAACAGGGATCACCGCTATCAATCGTTACAATTTGGCAGTGGTGAAAGCGGAGATATTGCACTTGCAGTATGCTCAATATGCGCCTAGTCTCCAGGATCTTGGTGAAAGGCGCACAATGTTCGCCCACAATCTGAACTCTCTCGAACATTCAGATAGCTGAGCTGATATCCTCTTGATGTGTCTGCTAGGGCTAACAAAACATCTCTGGGAATTTGGAAGTACTTCCATGTCGTGCAGAACGTGTGAGACAGCTCGAGAGTGGCTAGATCGATCTCTACATGGTGTTATCTCCCTCAGGTCTTATATGGGCCTAACAATATGCCCTGCGAACTTTTGGGGCCAAGACGCTTTTTGGACAAAGGTATTTAACGTGTCATTCGAGAGTACATGTCAGCATGCGTGTCAAGTGTGAGGCGGTTACGGGCACCATGTCCCCGATCACGGCTTGCGAACTATGCTGCGAGTATTTAAGTGAAAAAAGGGATACTACTTTGACACTGCCAGTTACGAATGCGTCATGAAATGCGTAAAAGATGCGCTAAGGGTACGATATCTTGAAAGAACGCCGGGAGTCCTACTACACTGTGTACGACATCTCGGATTGAACAAGGAGTTGAACATCACCCGAGAGTATTTCGGGAAACTTGATGTGCAGACAGATAAATGGCATAGAGACAAAATTTGACAGAGATAACACTGATGATACATAACAAAGCCCGAATTTTGTGACTATGGCTCGATTACGTCACACGATGCACAGTGCTTGCCTCTGTCATGTTCTAATCTTTCTGCCGTGTTACAACATCGCTTGTCTTAACTAATTGTCCTCGTCACAACCGTAGGAAGACAGCTGTTCGGGCCATAAATCGTGCTCGTCGTGATGGTTGTATAGGTCAACATTGTGCAGATTGACTGCGAAGTGAGTTGCAGGTAGGTAGTCGGTGTAGGCGCACCCAGATAGCATTAGGTTGAGGTGTAGATGGTGAGCGATGGAGTTGACGTTGAGCTGGTAGGTTCTGCAGACTTGACTTGGACGGGCGGAAATGGAAAGGCTTCGCAAATTCGGATATCTCACTTCTCGGGATGCTTGGGATCACAACCTTTTGCGCTTACAAAAGCGTGAAGGAGCGGAGTAAAGACGAGAAGAGCGAGCTTCATGTTTGCTGCGGAGTTGAGTGCTGAAGATTGACGCCGAGACAAGGCAGCGAAGTGGAAAGTGAAATCTGTGGTATTTCTTCTCGAACTCTGCTCCACAATCTTCTTATACGTCTCGTCGAGGAGCCACTATTCAGGCCTGTATGATCCTGCCTCGATCTAGATGTCTTGGAGCTCAGTACTTTGGGCCCTCGTGCGACACAGGCGACCGCTACGATTTTCCTCAACGATCATCATCGAACGATGTCCCTACGGATGGGAACTCGGTGGCGAGCCTCGAACGGTGCCCGTTGTTCACACTGCCTCAAATGGCGTGTCGCCGAGGAATGTGAAAGTCTTGTGCAAGCAGGGAGGCAATCATTGTAACCACACTAGCTCAAAAGACGCCAACAAGCCTAGTCCATCAGAACCCAGGCCGTTTGTCAAGTCTATTGGAGCAAAGCGACTTCGGTCAAAAGGACATGGAACAGCCTGTCCTGGGCGTCGATCCTAGCACTCGTCCCAATTGTCATTTAACGGATCTGTCCCTCTCTTACAGATCTTTTTGGAAGTCCGATCCTGCCTCTAGCTTCAGCTCGCGCTTCTGCTCTTCCTCCTTGAGCTCTTGCCACCAGGTCTCGAGTTGACCTGCTCATATCTCTTAGCTCACCATTCCTTCAGGTGCTTCGGCTCGATCTGGTGTAACGGCACCCAAAGGTCTTTAGACGCTTTGTCCTTGACATAAAACAATACGAGTGCGGACTCGTACTTTGCTTTCTTCTGCCACTTGAAGTCCACAAAGAGAACTTATGGTTCTCTTCCTCTACCCTTTCCATCCTTTCTAAAGTCTTCTCCAGTCCTCTAATTATGCTGTTTTCGCTGTAAACGCCGTGTATGATTTCATACACCCTGTACTGTGAAGAAAGGTGGACTTTGTACTTCCGAGGATCTCCAGACGTGCTGACAATTGGCTCACAACATAGACCCTCGACCATGAAAGGTATGGCTCAAGATAAACGGACAGCTTGCGACGTTGCCCGTTTCCAGCATTTCCGCTATCAGTTGCGTGCCTCTGGGGCTTGGGATCGTCTAGTATCAGGCGTTCTGAAACCATACAACGAAGGTTCAATCAGTGAAAGGTGAAGTCGAGTACGAGAAGAACAGAAAGGGAGGTTACTGGCACCACATTTGCCCCTATAGCGAACAACGGGAAGTATCATGCATTGCCGCAACGACAAGGCCAGACCTCTGATTCTACATCCCGGAGCACATGACGAAACACAGCGGATCAAGTGAAACTTACTGCAATCTGAGCGCACCGACGTAGATACGAAGCAGTGTTGTATGTATGGGGCGATAGCTCGTGTACGCATGTCACATACAGAGAAGCTCGGGCAGCGTATCTTCGCTGGACGATGTTTTGCTTATGATGGGACTTACCGAGGATATTACGGGCTGGGAGGCTATGGGTACTAGGGAGGACCTGTTCTACTATCAGCGCTGGTTCGCATTACGTTCCTGACTCGTCCAAGCGGCAGCAAAATTAATCTGAGATTGATACAAGAAACACATGTGCGTGTCGCGGGTGTCCCAAGATCGTTCGAAGAGCGCGCAGCCATACCCCTGGCCATCACCAGTCATCATCAAGCTCTTCCGCAGAAAGACCACGTATGGTCGACGAGGTATTGAGTCCAAGGGTTTCGTACGTGTGGTACCGCCGCAATGCAGATTCGGTAGAAATGTCGTACACATTGAGTTATTAGCGGTCGAGTGACTGTCAGACAGTCACCGGCGACTTAGCCCCATGACGTAGCCACGAGCGCGCCGCAGTCCACGCGTACTGAATGACGAGTATTTTGCTTCGCGACATTACAATACACGGTAACGTTGCAGTGAAAGCAGCGTGACCCAAGCTGTACAGCTAATGACAATCGTTCCTCGGCAGCACCGCCACGCCTCCAGCCCCGCCACCAGCCCCGCGTCAGTAGCACTCTCCCTGATCACCAGATTGCGCTCAGCTCAGATGGCATCCATGTCAGCGCTTCCCGGAATGGCTGCGCCATCACTTCCCGGGGCGGATGTGTCGCAGTTAAAGGCGCGTGTGATCCTACAAACGCCCAACCAACCACCCGCACCCGTCCACCGCCCTTCCCCCGCTACAGACATAAGCACAGCCTTGGGCAGCTGAGCTCTCTTCCTGCCCAAACAACACCTACGCAACCTATTCATACTACCGAATACAACCGCCATGTCTGGAAACGACTACTACGGCGGCCAAGGCCACAGCTACGACGGCGCACAGCAGCAACAGCAAGGCTACGGCGGCTACAACCAACAGCAGCAGTACCCTTCGGCGCCAGCCTACGGTCAGCCCCAACACGACCAGTACGGCCAAGGCCACAGCCCGTACCCTCAGCAACAGGTATGTACGGATGCGCACGGAATGCGCTCAATCTACTGCACCATGCGCCGCTGCTAACAAGTACCCAGAGCCAGCACCCTCCTCCGGCGCATGACCAGTACGGCCAGGCTCCCCAGCAGCACGGCTACGGCGCTCCTCAGGGTCAGTACGACCAGGGCCACGATACCAACCGTAGCCAGTCTCCCTACCCACCGTCCGCGCAGCACCAGCAGCACCACGACCCCAATCAGCAGTACGGTCAGCAACACCAGCAGCACGGCTACGGCGACCAGCAACACCAGCAGCAAAGCTATGGCAATCAGCAGCACCAGCAACAAGGCTATGGTCAGCAACCGGGCCAGTACGGCCAGCCTGGTGCGCCAGGCGGTCCTGCAGATGGCGACCGCGGCTTAGGCTCCACACTCATTGGGGGTGCAGGTGGCGCCTTCCTCGGCAACAAGATGGGCGGTGGCGCGCTTGGTACCATCGGTGGACTGATCGCAGGCGCAGTCGGCGCAAACATGCTGAGCGACAAGTAAGTCCCCCAAAACATCAAACCAAGCACGTCTCGACGCTAACAAGCACTCCAGGAAGGACGAGAAGAAGAAGCATAAGAAGCACAAGAAGCACGGCTCTGACCACGGCTCTCATCACGGCTCGTCGTACGCCGGATCCTCAGCCGCCGTGGGCGGTCTGTACGCAGGCAGCGCGCACGGCCACGGACATAAGAAGCATAAGCACAGGAGCCGCAGTCGGGGAGGCAGCAGCTCGTCGTCCAGCAGTGACTCGGACTGAGCGTGCGCTGCGGCATTACAGCAGTTGTCTTTGCATATCCACTTGCTGCGACTCGCCCACCTTGCGGTAGATGGTGACGCAGACTCTTGCTCTGAGATACTTCACCTTTAAATAATGAAATTCTTTTCTTTTGAATGTGAGCTCGGCGTCGTGATGGTGTGTTGTGAGTTGTTGCATTGGCTGATGAGGTTATGAGGTTGATGACCTGTGCGAGTGTATGGTTTTCGTGGCTATGTGGCTTTTCTGTGTACACGGCTTCTATGGCTATAATTAAGGGGTTTGTGGGTATAACTATGGCTTTTCGGTATATGGCTTTTCGGGGTTTGGCTTTTCAGTGCATGAATTCTAGAGGTGTATAATGATCAGCAGGTCATGAAAATTACTGCTTCTGACTCGGAAATGTGTCATGTTCCGAGAGATGCTTGAAAGGGCGGCTGCAGATGTCATGCTGCCTGGTAGGGCTGAATTGTCAGGTTCCACTTGCTAGCACCTTCGTAATTAATGCCAACTAGTGTCGGCGCTAAATTGCAACATTCTCCACCGAGCATCTTGGAACAAAATTCGAGAACACCCCGCAACGACACCTCGCAATCGATAAGTAGCCAGAATGGGGGACGTTTTACTACAGTTCTTCCGCACAACATTGCCGGACGAGCTTGCCGCTGTTCTACATGACGTTCTCAGGGCGACAGAAACTGCCGACCTGCCCACGCTTAGTCAGCTCCTGGAGGTTCAGATTTTACTTGGACACCAGGACAATGATGCCACCAAGGGAGTCAAGAGGGAGAACTTCACAATCTGGAGCGACTACATCTTTCATCGACTTGGCTTGTTGTTCCCATTCAGGAGTGAAGAGAAGGACACGCCGATAAAGGAAACCTTGCAGTATCGTGTACATCTGCTCTGGGCGGTCGCAGTCGCATCACTGAATGCTTTTGTGCAATCAACCGTCACCGGACCACCGCTATCGTTCAAGCCGGCTGAACTTCTGTTCACCAAAGATGTATCCAGGGATTCCACTGCCGTTCGCAAGATTCAGCAAGACCTGATCGCCTCTTTGAGCTTGGACGGCATCGCAGCGTACAAGCTGACTCCAAATATCGAACTTCTTTGTCTCGCGGATACCATCTTGATCAATCCGGTGTTTCAGAAGTTCATTCCGCTGTCGGTGTGGGCGAGATTGAGGGTTAGCTTCACCTATCAGAGGCTGCTTAGTGAGCCGGCGCCGAGCTTGCAGACTACCATCTACGATGATCTGAAGGATGTTGAGAAGCTCGTCAAAGATGCTGGAGACGACGAAAAGATTCCGGATCTGCATTCAAATTTCCTGCTCGAGCGCGCGGCGGTACACACGCACCATGGCCTGGACAAGCAAGCAAAGGCTGACCTGGAACAAGCGACTGCTGAGCGCAAGTTTGAATTTGCCTTGACTGGTCTGATGGGAAAGAGGACGAAGTTTCAGCAGAAAGATACAAGCCAACTTCTTGTACTGGCCAAGAGCGCGGAGAAAGGCTCGAAAACCGCAGCTACGGAGGCGCCAGGACCGAAGGCTCTGGACCTGAATGACGACACACTCCATGAGACGATCCAGTTCACTGAGAAGGTTGCATCAATGGATATTAAGGAGGGGTCAAAGCTCCCGCCCAGCCTCGCCGAGCTGGATCCTGCGAGCCAGCCGCTTCTGGAGCCTCTAGATTCGGTCATCTTGCTTTCGCTGGCCGAGAGTATTAAGAACACCAATCCAGCTGATGGCATTACCAGAGAGCAGACAATGCCCTATGCTGAGCGCGTGCTTGAGGGCGGTAGCTCGAATTGGCAGATCTACACCCATGCCTTGCTGGTCCGCAGTAGGATGGAGGGCTACAAAACAAGGACAATGGAGCGCGGTCTTCTGCAACTCCAAGCGCTTGTCGATCAGGTCATTGCCGAGACGTCTGGTAAAGCGACCTCTGACGCAGAGACGGATGAGAAGGTCACAGCTTTCCTGCCTGGAGCGAAAGAGGGTGAATCAGCATCCGTGGAAGATCGACTACGCTACATATTTGCAGTCTGCTCGCCGTCGAGATGGGAGTTGGAGGCTGAACTTGCTGCGAGATGGGTGCACATTGGCGGTCTCAGATCCGCACTTGACATATACGAACGTCTGGAGATGTGGGCTGAAGCAGCGCTCTGCTACGCAGCAACAGAGAAAGAAGAAAAGGCTCGCAGGATGATCCGAAGGCAGCTTTTCCATGCGACGTCTGGAGACGATGTAATCGCAGATCTTGACTCGGAGACATGGGAGGGTGCTCCCCGCGATCCACCCCCTGCGGAGGCCCCTCGATTCTACTGCATCCTCGGTGATCTCGACAGCGACTTGTCCATGTATGAGAGGGCCTGGGAAGTCTCCGGTAAGCGCTACGCCCGCGCGCAACGCTCTCTCGGCCAACGTTACATCGTTCAGCGCGACTACGAAAAGGCCGCGGAAGCGTACCAGCTCGCCATCAAATGCAACGCGCTGAACCACCCCGCTTGGTTCGCGCTTGGCTGTGCCTACCTCGAGCTTCAAAAGTTCAAGAACGCCGTGGAAGCATTCAGCCGCTGCGTACAGCTGGATGAGCAAGACGCGGAGGCCTGGTCCAATCTCGCCGCATCGCTCCTCCACTTACGACCCAAGACGCGAACACCAGAAGAGGAGGCAGTAGAAGGCAAGGTAACGTCACACCCGCGTACAGACGCACTCAAGGCCTTCAAACGCGCCGCAGCACTAAAGCACGACAACTACCGCATCTGGTCCAACGTCCTGATGGTCGCCGCATCCACGAAGCCACCCAGCTACTCAGACATCGTCTCCGCACAACGCCGCATCTGCGAGATGCGCGGCTCCACAGACGGCGAGAAATGCGTGGACGACGAGATTCTCGATCTGCTGATCAAGCACCTGGTGCAATCAAAGCCTGACTCAGGCCTTGACCTGAGTGCGCCGGGTCTCCCTCGTCTCGTCAACGAGCTTGTCGAGAAGCACATCAAGCCGCTCATCACTTTCAGCCCTAAGCTTTGGGCGGTGCTCGCGACGCTGTACATGCACAGCGGTCGCCCCACCTCGGCACTCGAATGCCACGAGAAGGCGTGGCGCGCAGTCATGTCACAGCCGAAGTGGGAAGATCAGGATGAGAAGGTGTGGACTGCGGTTGCGCAGCAGACCATTGACCTTGTGGACGCGTACGAAACGCTTGGCCCAAGGGAAAGGACTGAAGGCTTGGCTGCCGGAAGCGGAGAGCTGGTTGCGAAGGACTGGAAGTTCAAGGCGAGAAGCGCGATTAGGAGTGTGATGGGTAAGGGGAAGGAGGCGTGGGAGGATAGTAAGGGTTGGGAGTCGTTGACAGAGAGGATGGAGGAGCTGAAGAGCGCATAAAGAGATACCAAAGCATTTGCATTTCGATATCATGCACTCAATCGATCGCAACATCCAGATCAGTGTCAACACGGAGCGGGAGTGGAAGAAGAAAGGCCCCAAGCTGGTTAAGTACGAGCACTGGGGGACAGAGCCGAACTGGGAGAAAAATGTGATAATGGGCAAGATGACGCAAAGTCGCACTGAATGTGGACTTGGTGTGTTTCAGGCACTCATGTGAGCACCTCCCTTTCCCAGCAGCGTTCACCCACTAATACGACAGTGTCAAAGCATACATTGCGACGTCTCCAGGGGCTCCGAGGCCATTGGTGCACGCGAATCGGCAATTTCACGAGGTCGCTTGGCGTTCATACAAACTTCTTGTCTGGGACTAGTACGCGCGGCTTCGCCATCATGTCAAACGTTACGGGAGGCCCCGCCATGGAACTGCACCCCGAGAATGGCTTGACTGCGATATTACGCGGTCCCTATCGATATGCCAAGCTCCGCGGTGGACCACCCATGCACTGATGAGTTCAGCGCTGGGTGAGATAGATGCGCGACGCTACCAGGTTCGGCAAGCGTACATCGGAGAATACGAGAGCCTCGTCGTGCACCTTAGTACCCTGGTCATCCCGGCTGATCCAGCTTTAAACGATTGCCGTTTGAGCAACTTATTGTCGGTACAGCTTTCGCAGGGATCAAATCAAATGCTGCTTTCAGTTTCGGCATGGGCAGTTTTGATGTTTGGTAACGTAGCAACCCATCAAACTCCAGTCTTGCCCCGCTTGTGCCATTCGACGACGCCTTTACGACCCGACGCAAGCTACAAACTACCTCAACGGAGGTGGATTCAAGACGGTACCTTCCCGTCTCGCCAAGCAGCGGTACTTCTGCGGATCTATGCTTTAGCAGATCCTTTCCGTAGTCTGCAAGTCAAACAACCACACGACTCCACCAAGCCTTGGTGGTCCCCAACTGGAAGGACATCCTGCCAGGAGAATGGTCGAACATCGTATTGTTAATATGGACGAGATTGGAAGGTCACGGTAACCGCTACCACTTGTATCCAAGCTGTCATACAGAATATAAGTACGACAGACTGTCACCGGCTTAGAGCATCAGCACTCGCAACTCTTCAGTCCGACCAGCCTCCAGTCTACATTCAGCGAGTTCAGCCCATATAACCACCATGAGCGCCAGATCCTTCATCGTCGGTCTTGCCGCCCTCTCCATCGTCTCTGCCGCGCCTGTCGCTCAATGGGACGAGACCGATACTGCCGACATCGTTGGTGGCGTTCCTGCCGTAGCTGGCGACTTTCCATTCATCATCAGCCTGCAGAAGAATGGTGCCCACTTCTGCGGTGGCTCTCTCCTGGATTCAACTACTGTTCTGACTGCCGCTCATTGCGCTGATGGCCAAACCACCACCGGTCTCACTATTCGCGCTGGCTCACTGGTAGGTCCTTCACTGACATCTGCATGTAAGTACTTAACGCTTTGCTAGAACCGCAATTCCGGTGGCGTTACATCTTCAGTGGCTTCGCTCCATGTCCACCCCGAATACAACGCCGACACTGTCGATAAGGATGTTGCGATTCTGAAGCTCCGCACTGCCATTCCCGAGAGCTCTACCATCAAATACGCCATTCTGGCTGCCTCAGGTTCCGACCCTGCCGTCAACACAGTAGCTAGGACCGCTGGCTGGTACGTACCCAGTTCATCTTCCCACCACCACAGCTAACGTCTCGCAGGGGTGCAACCCAGAACTCTGCGGAATCAACCGTCAACCTTCGCAAGGTCGACGTTCCTATCGTTAGCCGCGCTCAGTGCATCGCCGATTACCTCTTGGACACGCCACCCAAGGACGTCACCACAAACATGTTCTGTGCCGGTCTCGATGCTGGCGGCAAGGACTCCTGCCAGGGTGACTCCGGTGGTCCTATCGTTGACGCTAGCACTGGCACCCTGATCGGTGCTGTCAGCTGGGGTACTGGATGTGCACTTGCTGCTTTTCCTGGTGTGTATGCTCGCATTGGTGCTCTTAGAAGCTTCATCGATCAGTTCTGAGTGTGCGATTCGTTTGGATTCTATGCTCCGGTTTTATTGCGCCGGGGCTGAAAAGAGCTTTAGCTGGCTTTCTATCTATTGTGCTTTACCGCAGAGACGAATAGAGTGAACTTTTACTTTTCTCACAATGTACGCATTTAGTATATGTGAGCTTCTGAAGTGTGTTGAAGGTGATCAAGATTCGTGCTGAAGCTTCCCACTCAAGAACTCGAGGCCGCTGTCATTATTGAATGCATCGCAGTAGATTGCTTCTTCCAATGAACTGGCGTAAACGATGTCGTTGGTATTGAAATATGAGACACTGGTAACTCAGGGAGACATGTCCGTAATCTGAACATTTTCAGATGTTTCAAAGAAGGGAGAAAAACTGCATCGGAGTTATTATTCATTGTTTTGGAATAATGTATTTGAATGTGTCGCTGTGAAAAGGGAGCAAAAGAAAGCCAGTTCAGATTTTGTTTTGTAACTGCGTGAGCAGTGTCGGTCCGAGACTGTGATCAACAATTGTATTGCTATCTGTTGTCGTATTGTGTGTTGTCGTGTTGTGTGTTCTTGTGTTGTGTGTTGTCGTGTTACACAAGCTCTCAGCTCTCAGGTAAGTGCACTTGCCCACCGGGCAGTGCCTGCTACAACAGGATATCATGTGACCTGAGCCACGTGGTTACATGTTTTTAGAGGGGGCTCAATAGTGGCTATAACATATTCGACAACATCAGAAAGCGAAATAAGCGCTCGTCAGATTGCGTTTCAAACTACGGGGACTGTGCCATTTCTCTTTCTGTTTGAGCCATTTCGAACCGGACAGAACGATGACATCATTCATACCGCCCCGTCTTCTGGTTGGAAGATTAGGACTACAGGGACATGAAGCTGTGAGCCAATCCTGTTGACGACCAAAGCAAACTTTCAAGTAGGTCTGAAGAGTGGGGTTGGACTGCTAAAGAGAGGTGTCATAGTCTAAGGCAGTGGCTCGTTCTTGTCGCGTCTACTGCCGATATAGATTTGACTGTCTCTAAACCCATGAACGCTGCAACGCACCTTAATTGTTGTTACGTAAGAAACTGTTGCGGCAGACATAGCCGCTGTATAGTCGATGGAAACTGTGCTGAGTTGCTTGCTAGCTAGGAGCCGACCATATACACATGCTCTGAGACGTGCTAGTCCAAGGTAGTCAACAGAGGTGACGATCAAGGCCTGTCGGACCGACTTGCACCGCAACAGAAACCGCTCTAAGACATATGGAAAATTCAAGGATACGCTTTGAACACTCGAAAAGGCATATCAGTCTCTAATGTTCCCCTCGAACGCGGCAACATTGCAAGGAGCCCGTAATTCTTTCTATCGATCTGCAGAACCCAGTGGGTTGGAGAGATAGCAGCTGCAAAGCGTCTTTAAATTCTGTGTGCAGCTCAATCCGAAGGAATAAGGGCATGAGAGGATCGTGGTTTAATTTCTATTGCTCAACCAACAGGAGAGCATACGTTGCCAGAGCATCTTTGTTTTAGCAAATATTCGAAGTCGCACATGTACACGCTGCTGAGTGATTTCGGATGAAGGAAATAGAGCAGGAGCTACAGACAGAATTCAGGTACTTTTGATTCTCTTTCGACTTTCAACGTAATACAAACCCCAGAGATGACGTTCTGAGGTTATATGTACCCGCAACAGCTCAACTAAGCCCACTAGTTCCGCGTTAAAAGATCCCACAATTGAGCAGCAGGAGCGTGGCCATAGATAATCTCGGTAAACCCCTTGGAGTCAGGTAGCAGCTCAGCTTAAGGATCAATTCGATGACCAGGTTGGGGCGAAAAGCTGACATTTATTCTGGCGAAAGGCATTTGAAAACACAGAGGCTTTCACATAAACTGGCGGCAACAATTTCCTAGGATCATACAGAGTCACAAACATTGTTCCCCTGATCGAGGAATTTGACGGGCACACCAGGCGACTGAAAGACTTACACATGCGTGCAATTGCCCTTGAAGACAGAGGAATGTGTGCTGAATTCAATGGAAAGTGCAAGGAAAGCATTTGCCACTGAAATTTTTGAGACCTGAATGCGAGCATAGTCTCCCATTCGACAGTTCGACAGTGACAAAAAAGAGATTTTGAGCCCGGGAGCACATGCGTAGCCATCCATATTATCTTCCACGCTCAATCTCGTGCAAGCGCGTTATACCCTAATAAATATGACACCACAGGACAAAGATATACCGCATCAGTCCACAGCTTCTCAAGCAGAAGACATTACTCAAACTGTGAACGCTTTGGAGAGACTTTGACAAAAGTGAGGTAGCAAAAGCGCTTGCCGCTCAAGCAGATGTCGTCTTGAAGCTCGTTTAGCCGGGAGAATACATCGACTGATGTGTGAAACTTTTGAGAGGTAGAAGAGCTGGACATGCGATAGAGTCGCAGCGCATCGAAAAGAAGCTGAGCCGCACATCACGTGTGAAGCTCTTGGCTTTGAAGGAAGAGAAGGAAAAAATTATAGATACAGCGGAGTGAGGTCTTGGGACATAGTTAGCGGAGTGGATGATGAAGAAGTGTCCATGGCCGCCCGAGGGCTTCTGGTATACCTGCGCTAAGCCCGCCAATATGGAGATCGCCCAATCAGGATAGGATATATCACGTGAATACGACGTTCTGATACATGCGAGAATGGTATCAAGGCATTTCAACTTCCGCTGTACTAATGTGCATGATATTCACCTGAAAGAATTTCTGGTTACTGTTCGGGCCAACCCAACGGCGCACTGTCTTCTTGGTATCGACCATGACGTCCTTGCTGCGGAGGCTGCCTTGTCGAACCTGCCGATGATACATAGTGATTGCTTGCTTGTGCCATCGATATTGCGTATGTCCTCGCTGTGGGGCTCTGAGGCTGTTGTTGTGCTGGGAACGCATGGGTGTGGAACTGCATAGGCGGGGCAATAGGGTATTGCAAGGATTGTTGCATGTCCACTGCCGCATGAGTATAGCTCCAGTCATCCTCGTTGCTTAGAAGTACTTGAATTGGATAGAACGAGGGATGCGTAGAAGAACCAGGGTAGCCTGCAGCCAGGAGCTCGTTCGGGTCGCGGATTTCGGACCATGTGGGCATCATACCATGATCGCTTGCGTATAAATACTGAGCTCCTTCGTATGACGTTTGTGTGAGATTGTACAAAGGCGGTGCTGAAGTAGATCCGAACAATAACGGCGTGTCAGGATCGGATGAAGAGCCTTCAACACTGTCGTCGTATGGTATTGTCTGTGTAGCATTCCTTCGCGCCAGAACTGCATAACGATTCTTGGCGCAATTCTTCGACCGGTGAGGCAGGTATTGCTCCTGTATGTCCTTCCAATGTCGACCAAGGCGCTCAACAGCCGCAAGCAGGTCATCGTCCTCGTTCTTGCGCCACTCGCTACGGTCAAGGCGGGGATCGAGAGACTGCTGCCACCGTTTCGCGCACTGATCAGCACTCCGTGTATCAACGCAAGTAGCCACCTTTGTCCACTGCGATGCATAGAGGTGGACACCATGGGTCAGCGACTGATCTTCCGATTTTGACCATTGGCCCTTTCTCAAGCCTTCAGCGACTGAGTTGTGCCATCTCTTGCGACAGTCTTTGTTTGACCGTCCTGGAAGGGCGGAGGCAACTTGGCACCAGTCCCTACCGACGCCTTGTGCTTGTTGAGTATCGACTTGATCTCGTAGAATTTGGTCTTCAGCCGATGTCCATCGTCGAAGCTGCCGGTCAGCCATGATTTTGGAGGCTGCGAAGGGTCTGTGAAGTATCAGAACAGTTTGGGGTTATGTAGATGAAGCAGTGGTCTCGGAAATTCCTGACGATCAACGAATAGCACATATGAAGAATGTGTGGAGGATGAAGTCGTTCAGAGTGATCAGCTGGAGTACCCGCGGGAGAACTGTTCTATGAAGCAGTCGACATGGTATGGAGAAATCTGGAATTGTGATCCAGATGTTCCATGATGGACGATGTAAGTCGACCATTCCGAGGCCGCGAGGCCCGCCGGTGAAGCGTCATGTACGTCGTAGAAGGTCGATCGCCAATACAGAATATGCATCATCCTTGTTTGAAGCAGTTATCGTGGAAACTTCCGATTGCGATTGGATATCACGGTGGTGCGTTACAACAAGCATATGCGGTCTTGGCTTGTGGACCGACTCGCGGCTCTAGATCTTGGCCCGATAGCGCTGCAAGTGAACGTTGATTGTATGAGGAGACCTGCGTAAAACTCTGACCGGTACAATACACCGTAAGGCTGGAGGCGGTATGTGCAGGAAGCGTAGTCAGCTGATTGTACCACAAGGATAATCGTCGAGACAGGGCTGATGGGACGTCGTAGATATCGGCAGCGCTTCAACAAATAACTTGCTGGCGTTTGTTTGCTCGCTGGCAAGGCTGAAATTTGTTTGCACGCGAGGAAGGTCGGTGTAGACGAAGGCTGTGCAACTTAATCAGAGCGTCGCACGTAAGCAGTGACATAGGTGTGCAAAATCAGCGAACGAACGGGACGCCATTTTCTGAAAGACAAAGCAGTCTGTTCCTTGTAATTCGTGTGATGGTAGGGTATGACCGTAGTATTGGGACAATGAGAGCCGAGTAAGCTCGCCAAGTGTAATCATGTTTGGCAGGAGCGATTGACAAAGTCTTTCGCTGCAGGTACGAAAGACGGAGCTGGGGTGCGAAATGTTGTCTCGTTGTCGAACCCAGATTGATTGCTACGATTATGGCTGGATCTTCGACAGTGCGCCAGTGTATCGAGGACGCACATTAATGCAAAGTATGCATGTGATGTCAAGCAACAAAACAGGACGGCAGGAGCTACCGACTCGAGCGACAAAGCGGTGACGGCTGTGCCACCATGCTCGCACACCACATTTGGGTCCATTAATGCGTGCATTTCAGGACTCTGCCAGTTATTGCATGTCAAGGGAGCGTGGAGGCGTACACAAGACTGTGCCGGTCTCAAATGGCGGGGAGCGGCGCGCCTAGCTCAAGTGCTACCATGCACGCAGAGTGTGTCGGCGATGCGCGCAGTGTCCGACCGCTTCTCGATGCTGTTTGGCGCGCTTCGTGGCGATCTGAAATCAATCTCAAGATTTGCCCATGAGCCTCTGCGCCTTCTCCAGCAGGACCTTGCTCTCCCGCCCAAGCTTCCTCTGCCCGTTGGGGCCTCCTCTGGCCTTCGCCATGGCTTTTCTGAAGCGCTCACGCTCAGCAACTTTCTTTGTGCGCTCGCTATCTGCTTCCTCTTGTGCCTTCTGCCGTGCTTCTGCTTGCTCCTTCTTCTTGCGTGCAATCTCAGCCTCTTTCTGGAACGGATCTGCCCGTTGCCGCCTCTGCCGTCGATCGAAGGACGATACTGGAATCTCCTTCTCGGGCTCTTCGAGCATCTTCACGCGGTCGGGGTGGGGTTCGAGTGTGGGTTCTAGTACGGGTTCGGGAGACGCGTCATTGTCGACATTGGCCTCTGCTTCGCGCTCGTATACAGATTTGCGCGGCGCACCTTCTGAATCCTCCTCCTGAGCCTTCAGCTTGGCATACTGCTTCTTGAGCTTCACCTTGTAAATAATGTTCTCCTTGATCTTCTTCACTGCAAAATTGTCAATAATACAAATGTGAGCAGCAGAGTACAAAACTATACCTTTGCGCCTATGCGTGCCGTCGGGCAGATTAGCAGGACCAATCTGGAACCCTTTCTTCTGCTTCTTCACAGGTCCAGTCGACTCGCCGTCATGTGCTCGTTTCTCCGCCATGTTCACAGGTTTTCGTGCCTCGGTGTTTTCTTGCATGCGTCCACACACTGGAGAGGAAAGCGTGATCGTAACTTTTCCAGGCTTGGCACTGTAATCGATAAGGCAGGAGCCGAGGACCACCGATCAGTTTGCCCGCGGACAGAGCGCCCGCTTTGTGCGCCTCGATAGCTGAGCGTTATCGCGGGAGCCTCCAGGTCTTTGCAAGAAATGCTGAGGCCGTTTCTCGTCGTGTGACTTTCCCGCAGCAGCCAGACCCACGGCAAAACCCGGTCTGGCCGCAGCTCCGCTTCTCTATCAGCGGGCGATAAGACTCATCGAAGCAGCCGACCCTGCCTTTGTGTCCGGCATCACAGCGCGTCATCCGTCAAGACCCTGCCGCCATCACCTCCGCACCTTGCCCCCGACAGCTCGTCTTGAAGTTTGTTCGGCGCGTGCACGGTGAGGCGGCCACCGGAGCCAACGCATCCCTTGACTTGAATTGAGATTTCCTTCTTGTGTCATTCGCCGGGCCAGCAGGTGCTCCAACCGCTTGATCCTGCCCTGCCATCTCAGTGCTCCACGCTCTCGTCACGCTTGTCACACCCTCACTACCTCACCACTACATTGAACCTTTGTCAAATACTGTACCTATGTTGTCTTCGGCCATAAGTCGTTTCAAATATGCCGATATTTCATGATCCTCATGACAGTCCGCCCTGGCGGACTGCGTCCCTTCAGACATCGACAGATGAGCTTCCCAAAGAACCGACAAATTCCAGCGAGGACGCCTCGTCGTTAGGTAGCTTGTCTCTAGAGAGTATACTGGGTTCCAGTGCGACACACGAGCCTGTCAGCCAGGAGGCTCGACCGACCTCGCGAGACCGTAACGGACTTATCGAAAGGATCAAGCGAGTGAAGAGCCCTCTGTGGCAGTTCCGCCAGGATGTGAGTTGTCTTTTCGTGATTCCGGAAATGCCGCATTCAGGGATTCCGTTCGAAGCTTTGGAGCTGACATATGTGATCCCAGATTAGCAACCACACCGACCGTAGCCTGCAGTGCTCACGACCACCCTCTCGAGATCGGCCAAAGACGCCTACGTCACCTTCCAAGGATCTTCACGAATCACGCACATCCGCTCCTGACCAGATCTTCGACCAAGCATCAGCAGGGCTGGAGATTGCACGACCTCGCTCGGCCCTACACTCTGGAGACTTCCGGGAGCGTGAAGGTGGCGCAGAGGCAAATGATTCATCTTCTTCTACCTTCCTGGCCACCTCGCCAAGCGTCCCGTGGAACCGATCATTCCCTGCTGCTGCAGTGTCACCATCCCGGAACGCTGCGCTGTACGCGTTTAATGATGCCCTCAACTACGATGTATCGCGCGCTCGAGCAATCTCACAGTCGCCCTCGGCCTCGTTCACGTTCCTGCCCCCAACCAGCCCGTTGGTACAGCAGATCAACAACACGGATCTTGACACCAGCTCGCGACCGAGCTCTAGAAGAGGCTCAAGAAGTCCGGAGCGTAGCAGCCGGCGGCATACCTTTTCTCCGGACTGTTTCGAACAATATCAGACAACACAAACGGCAAGGTCTGCAGCCGGTACTCCTGCAGCCAGACGTCTGCGACGTGGACGAACCGTTGCCTACCAAGCACATCAACCTAGGCGATCGGTCACATCTCTTAGCCAGTTCGAACCGCACTCTAGCCCGCAAACACCATTTGCCGCTCGCAGGCCCTCCATCTCGGATGTCTCGCCCTTACAACATGCACCCATGGTAGGCTCGTATGAGGAATCGATACTTCGTGGTCGAATGTCAACGACACCATCGCGACCCTTGGACTTCGTCGCTAAGATCGGCGTACTCGGCAGGGGGCAATGTAAATCCAGCCTCAAATGTCCTCCACATGTCACGGTTCCCTTTCCAGCTGTATTTTACAGCTACAATACAGGAAATGGCAAGATCTCTGACAATGAGCCAAGTCCTTACGTTGGTCTTATCGACCTTGAGCATTCTCTGGCCCCGCCTGTCGAAGTCCATGATAACAGTAAGCGCAAAAGGCGAGCGGCTGCTCAGACTGCTGATCAAGAGAGTCTCGACTTCCGGCTGCGATTGGACGATGAGCACGCTGGAGAGAATGGGACTGCGGAGTTGCGGCGCAAAGAAAAGAGAAAACGAAGGTCGACCTCACCCAAGGCCCCGCCAGGTGGCTGCTACCGTATCCCAGCGGAAGGCCAGCTTCAAATTGTACTCAAGAATCCTAACAGGACTGCGGTGAAACTGTTCCTTGTGCCATATGATATTTCAGATATGGAGCCTGGTCAAAAGACATTCATACGCCAGCGTAGCTACTCGGCCGGACCTATCATCGACATGCCCCTGTCATCGCGTAAGAATTTGGGGACAGACCGTCCTGAAGCTGCACTGAGCAATTCAGATGATCCAAGAGATCGCCCGATACTGCGATACCTAGTGCACCTGCACATCTGCTGCACTGGAAAGGGCCGCTACTACTTGTACAAGAGCGTTCGCGTGGTCTTTGCGAATCGAGTACCTGACGGGAAGGAGAAACTGCGCAACGAGATCCAGCAGCCTGAGCCGAAGTACAGCACCTATAAATCATCTCGCGAATCGACGATCGCGCTGCCACCGAATGCCTTGACTATCGCTGAGAGAGCTTGCAGACGCCAGAGTGCCGCTTGGCCGCTTTCTAGCTCACAGCAAATATACGATCAGATGGATGGTCTGGCACAAAATCCTGAGCTACCTCCGCCTGCCGTACGTTTCACTGGGGGCTCGCGAATTACATCAACACCGGGCGACTATGGCTCAAGCATTCCCCTTATACAGCCTATACCCTTCAACCTTACACGCTTGGCCTCGATCGAGTCGCGTCCGGTATCGCGCGAGCAAATGGACATCGATACAAAGAAACCCTTCAGATCGCCGATCGCATCGCCCCCGCCTGGTTTCGGACATACGACTATCCACCAGGAGGCGACCTTCCAGAAGCTCAACAGAGGCGATGTTGGCTATGGAGGCAACGCCTTCTCTCCTCTGGGCAGCCCGGCTTCGCCGCCGGCTGCTGGTCTGCTGGCACAGCGTCTGCGCAGTCTCGAGGTGCAGCCTGACGATGACGCGAGCTGATCGCATGCTGCTCCCTCCCCTCCGTCTATATCCTTCATCCCACGCAACCATGGCATTTGCATCTTGCATATCGAGCATTTCATACCCTCGCCACTGCCTCTTCTTATCTTATCTTATCTGCGATTAGCGTTGCACGAATCGGACCGCCTGTCATGGGTAGAGTAGGCGTTCTTTGTTGTTTTTGTTGTATATAGGTTTGGATACTTCTCACTCAACATGACCTGTTGTTCCAGCCTTGTGTTACCAGGTGACTTTTCTAGCAGTCATTCGCAAAAGTGGCAAGAGCCATGTGGCGCGTCCCTTGCGTTACAGCCATCACGAACATCATGAGCGACTCTTCACATGAGTACCTTGCGAGCCTCGGGACAATCACCAGCGGTGAGTGTGCACACATCGCTGCATAACTTGTGCACACCACTCGAGCTAGACCGCGAAGCTTTCACCCGCTAGCACGGGAACTACCCACTAGTCCCTACGCTACGTCCCTAGCGGCTTCCTCCTCTCAGCTTCAAGATCTTCGAATCGCGCAATCTTGATCGCCGCTCAAACCTCAGTTCTCTGACCGTCGCAGCCTGAGCCTTGGTGTGGAGTTACACATGCCTACCATGACCAACGAGCGCACTCCGCTGCTCGGCGGGAATCCCCTGCCCTTTCTCAACTCGGACTTCATTGGCAACGGCAGCAGCCACAAACGCGACATCCACCAGGAATTCTGCCTGCTCGTCGGTGTTCCGCCCTCCAATGGGCCGAAGAACGCACCAAAGCCCGCAGGCTTCAGCAGGTCGCTGTACGGCCGCGCAACACACAAACGCAACACCCAAAACGCAACATATCTCTTCACGGCCGCGCTCTCAAACACGCTCCTATTGACCCAGGTTGTGCTCGGCGCAGCTCTCACAGCGCTAGGCGCATCCGAGTCTTCGCACATTCTCATCACCGTCTTCGGCGCACTGAACACTATTATCGCTGGCCTGGTGGCGTATTTGAAGAGCAGGGGTCAGCCTATGCGGGCAAGAATGTTCAGAGATGATCTTGATCGCGTCGTGGATGAGATGGAGAACAGCGAGGTCATGTGGTTGGGGATCCAGCAGGGGGTGCATGGGTATGATGAGATTGCCATCGATGACAGTGTGAGCGTGAGAAGTGAAGTGGCAAGGCTAACGAGGCTGTTGGACAAGGCTGTTAGGAGCAACACCATGAACGACCGTAAGTTTTCTTTTCATAGTCTCTTCAACATACAATCCTCGTTTCCTGCATCATGATCCAAGAATATCACATGTTGAGACATACTAATCGCTCGTAGCGGACATGTACATGAACGCCGTCGGCGAGGGCGCCAACGCCGCCCTGCGCGCGCGCCCACCGCAGCCTCAAATCATCACAGCTCCAGAATCCTCTCCGAGCGCCACCAGCAACGCTTCTGCGCCTGCGAACAGCGCTGCGCCACCAGCAGCAGCAGACCCGGACGCGAGCCCTGCGACAGCGCTGCCAAAGCAGAAGAGCCAGCCCTCGAGTCCCCCGCCAGAGCTGGCGGATGAGCCTGTTAAATCCGTTGAACCTGCAACATCTGCTGCTCCTTCAAAAACTGCTGAACCTGTTTTTTCCACTGAACCTGCGTTGTCCACTGAACCCGCAAAGGAGCCTGCGCCTGCGCCTGCACCTACCCCGGCCCCTGCACTCTCGCCCATTGTCGTTGTCGGGGAACCACCAAAGGGCACAGCCGCTCAGCCAGGCGGAGAAGATCTCGAAGCTGTCGTTGCGGACGGAAGCGGCGCAAGTTCGAGTGACGATGGACTAGTCAAGAGGGGAGAAGAGAATGTAGATGGGTTGTGACGACAGGACTGTGAGCAGGTGATGATATTTTGTGGCGTTCAAGCGATGACTCTTATTGTAGATATGTTGACGCGTAATGAAGACTTGCGGTACTCTCGCGGGCTGGGTGGGCGCAATCCACATCGTCAACCAGGCAGACTAGCTTACCGAGTCAGCTCGCTTTGACCTCATGTACAGAAAATCTCGCTTCTCTGTAGACGATTACTCCAAGTATTCTCACGTTGACTCTGCATTGCAGGCAGAGAGCTTCATACAATCTCTCCCTCAGGCGGCGCAGGGTCACACAGGAACCCCATGGCATCCCGTCTTCCAGCCAAGCAAGGGCTGCGGCGCACGCGAGGGTAGCTCTTCAAGACGGCCTTCACTTGCACCCCCGCCACCGTTTGTCAGCGCGCCACACTCAGACGCACCATCGGATATATGAACACTTCTCACCCCGCCCAGCACCACTTCCACCTCACAAGCCCTCATCCACCTCACAAGCCCTCATCCACCTCACAAGCCCTCATCCACACCACCCAACCCACCCACAGCCACAATGCACCTCACAGTCCTAACCATCCTCAGCCTCAGCGCCCTCGCGAGCGCACGCCCCACAGCCGCTGTGCTCGCCAGCGACGCCCGCGCAGCAACCATCTTCAAGTCCGCCAACACCAAGGGCGAATCGACGTTCATCCCCGCGAACAACTACTGCACCAACATCTCCGTCGTACCCGGCGGTTTCGACGGGAAGATCAAGAGCGTGAGCGTTGAGAAAGATCGGAAGTGTGATTTCTACCAGTAAGTTCTGAGTTCCCAGCGCTTTTACACGTGGAAATGACAGCAGGTCGCCTGCGTTGGGGAGAGAGAAGTGTGCTAACAAAAGGCAGGGAGGAGGGCTGTGGCGTCAATGATTTCACCGGTGGGGGCGCGGTGCTGGAGGTTGGCTCTAGGAAGTATAAGGATGTGCGGCGGAGGTTGGGGCGCTGGGAGGGCAGGATTGCGAGTGTGTACTGTCAGAAGCTGTGAGTGTGCACTGTCAGAAGCTGTGAGTGCGTACTGTCAGAAGCTGTGAGTGCGTACTGTCAGAAGCTGTGAGTG